GCAAATGCAGCGCAGCCAAGTTCTAATTAACCATTAAAATAGCTTAGGCGAGGGAGGACAATAAGGATTCTAGGCGCAGTCTGACTGCAGTAGAACCGCAGTTCAGCGCAGCAAAAGCACAGTAGAACTATAGCGTGAAAATTTCATTTTTTATTCAGTTTGAGAAAAATACACTGTAAATAAATCCTGTAAATAGAAGGTAGAGCGTGAAAAAGGAAGGTGACCCAAGGAGTATAAAAGGGAGACCCTTTCTGTGACTTTTCGCCCCCCTTAGAGAAGTAAGAAAATAGAGTATTATTTTTCTCAAGCATTTCTGGTTGTCACTCCAGTGCGAAAAAGTGATATACAGTTAAGATTGCCACTGTAGTAAAAGGCGGCAATTAAGGAGAGAAATATTAAGTAGATATTTCAACAGGAGAGCTGGTTAACACTCCAGATTTCAAAGTGTAAACACAAAACAGTTATCTTGCTACTGTTAAAACAAGCAATAAAATAAGACAAAAATAAAACAAACCCAAGGGACACTCCAGACACAATCCAAATTCATTAACTGAATAGAATCTTTGAAACTTCACCAAGTAGAAGATTAAATTCAAGTTTAAATCCAAATTAAACAATGCTACACAGAATTACACCTAGACAAATTAAGAAATTTCAATAAAGAAACAGCTCCGCAGGGCTCGGTTTATCTGTAAGTCAATTCCCAGGAACTTTAAAACTAACCCATAAAAATAGAATTAGCCAAAACACTCGGATTGGTACTATATTTACAATAAATAACACTAGTACACTTCCCCATCCTAACTAAAGAACCAGGGAACAGCTTGGTGGTGGTCTCGTTTGAACCTCCCAACTGACCTTCCTTCGTTCTCTCCTTCAACGGAATGGTAGGCGATAACCCAGAAACGGAAAGGAGGGATAGGCCCGAAGGTGGGCTTGCAGGGCAAGCAAGTGTATTGCCCAGCGGAGGTGGGAGTGCGCTAGCGGACGTTGGAGCTGTCTGGAGGCCTTCAGGGCTCTGTACTTAGGGAGGCATAGGTAATAAATTGAAAAGGGGGGTGGTGACCATCGAGGGGTACCAAGGTGATTGCGGAATACGGGAGCTCCGAGGTTAGTGAAGGAGGAGTGGAGGTAGACCAGAGGGATCGGAGGGAGTGGAAGTCAATGGCTGGGGATGGATATGACACCAAGCTCTTAACATTCTTCCTGTTTCCATTGCCACCATCCATCAGCTATTTTCCTTGTTTTTTTGTTCTGATTTATCCTTTTTTCTATATATACACCCAGTTTGTGTTGTACTGTTATGGATATAGAGTCTCCAACAACCATATCCGTTGCACAGTCAAAGATCTCCCCTTCTCTCTCTCTCTCAATACCTTACATATTGTCAGGGCACACCTGTCAGAGACTGGATTTTGTCAGAGGCTGGGATATTGTCGGAGTCGGAGATTGTGGCAGAGGTCTGTTGGAGCGCGCATGCGGATATGTGGGCGGAAATATGCGGCGCGTCCGGAAGCGCTGTTCAAGGTTAGCAGAGTGGGATCGCGGCCTCAGCGACTCAGGTGGAGCGCTGTGCCCTGAGCTTGACGTTTGGGGGAGATCCCGTATTTACGGATTGACACTCACAGCGGACTTCAAACAAGACTTGCGGGCGGAGCGGACCTGTAGGAGGAGTGCGGACTCCGCGAGCACGGACTCAGGGGGGGGGAAGCCCCCTTTGCAGAAGGAGAGACTCAGACCAGACAGGGGGGTACTCTAGTTGATTTCAGACTGAGGTCCCCAAAAGTATTTACAAGGTATATAAATAGGCAAGAGGGAATATAGAAAGGCCGGTCAGTCCGGCGTGGTCCGGCGCGGAGATAAGCGGGGATTGTCAAACTAAATAAGGACAAGAGCCTGGGAACTGGAAAGGAGGAACAGATCACTAAACAATAAGTGGCAAGGGTTATTGATGAATAACTGAATGAGATCAATAACCTAGTGCCAATAAAGAGGGGATCAAATGCCGATATTGGCAGGGAAGCAAACAATAAATGGCACTCGGCAAGGAATGAATGATAAGCTGCCAAGTGACAAATGGCCAGAGGAAAAGCGGAGGTCAGCACGCGGCGCCGATACAAGTCCGCAAATAAGCGGGGTCGGTGCGGTGCCGACACAAGTCCGCGAACAGAAGTTGATCTGCCAGCACTGTCACACAAGGACAGCATGAAGGCCAACAGAGGTACAGAGGGGAGTGGGAGTGTTGACCTGACCAGAGGTGTCAAGGGCAACCAGAAGTGGCCAGAAGGTGCAGAGATGGGCAGAGGGTGTGGAGTGGGCAGAGGGTGCGGAGTGGACGGAAGCGGGGCATGGCTGTGACCACATAGCGGGAAGCGATGAGTGTGGTTCAGATGGAGACAAGGCAGGCGTGACTGAATGCCGGGAGCGCCAAGGGCTCAGGAACTGGAGGTAAGGTTGGAATACCGGCAGGGTCTAGGTTCTGATTCTTGGCCAAGTCTCACGCAGTAAGGCAGGGGGCCAGGCATGGGGTTGGGGGCTGGTTAGGATGGGTGTCGGGTCGGCGGATTCGCCTATCGGCATTGGTTCGCCGCTGACGGAGCCCTGGGATTTGTCGGTCATGACAACACCCGCCTGACCCCACTCCACCCAGTCCAACCCCACCCGATCCCACTACCCTCACCCGATGCCCCCATTCTCCCTCCTCCTTTCTCTCCTTCTTTTCCTCCTCTTTCTTCTTTCCTTTCTTTCTCCTTCTTTCCTTTTCTACTACACGGACGACTTCCTTGCTCAATGTACCATTAACCAGGCTGCACAACACGCCCGGACCCGGACACACCGGGTGACGCCCTACACACCGGACGCTCCTGAGACCTCTTACGGAGATACCCGGGCGGACACGGCTGTGCGCATAGATGACGTGGCGCTCCCCACGTGACCTCCAACCGCATGTACATAAACACAGCCTAAGTGGGAACTGAGAAGTAACCTTCTTCTCACACTTCCCACTTTAGGCAAGTAGCTTACATTCCCCTGCTAATAATAATAACACACTTCCCACTTTAGTCTAAGTGGCCAGAGACCCTTGCCTGCTCCGGGCCCATTGTTATGCACACCCGCACCGCACCCTACCGGGCCCTCAGCCCTGGGCGATATACCTGGACGCTCTCGACCCGGGTCGGTCCCTGACACATATCCTCTCCCATTCTATCCCTTCCCCCTCCCTCATGCAAAGCTTTCCCCATGTCACGACCCAGCAATTCCCATGGTCAGGTGACCACTCCCCACACCTTCTCCCTCCTCCACTTCGACCCTGCTAACTCCGCTACCCGCCCAACGCTGCCTGGACAAGCCCATCACCCCTCCCTGTCACTGCTACCTTTTCCATGGCCCATCACGGGCCTATGAGTCATTCCTTGTTCCTCTTGTTTTCTTGACGGCCATGCATGGCCATCCTTCTCCCACGCTCTTTGTTTGTTTTGTTCCTTCTTAAAGCTGCCTGCAATCTCCGTGAGATCTGGCGACTTATTCCTATTCATTCCATTACACTTAAATACCGGTTGTACACTACCTCATACTGCAGTTCAAAAATCAACTAGGGTTACCCCCTGTGCTCCCTGTCTGATCCAGTTGCACCCTCTGCCCTCTGAAATATCGGGGCCATTGTCAGGGGACAGACCCCGGGTCCCCATGACCCTCTCTCTATAGCCCACAGCCCTGTGTGTAAACAGCCTATCCTACTGTGGGTAAGAAAGTGATATAAACAAAGGGGCAAGTAGATACACTTGCCTACTGTGGGTAAGAAAGTGAGAAGAAGGTTAACTTCTCACTTTCCCACAGTGGCCCCAATATGGCAAAAACTTCCAGGGATACCCGGAAGTCACATGAGGTGGGATCCGGGGTCGGATCATGTGGCGCACGGAGCGTGCAGCGGGGGAAGTGCGCGGGAAGTGGAGCGGGTCCGGGCGCGGGTCCGGGTCCAGGCTAAGTCAGGGTATGTGCCCTGACAGCCATGTCAAGTATGAGGCACAACGCTCATGGACGAGTCGTTGAAGCCGAAACCCCGCTTCGCTGCAATTGTCATCACCGCCCTTAATGGGCTGTTACACCAGAGTAGCAGACCTTAACGGTCGCCGATGGCGAGTCACGGTAACGCTTTTTCCCATGCCCTGACACCCCATCAGGGTTTTGGTGCTGGCCGAGGTTATTTGTATTTTGTGGGATTTCCCACAACCATTCACTTTGTAGATAGTCATGCATCATGTACAGAAACTGCCAGAGGCAGTTCCCACAAACTGCTATGAACTACCTTGTGATTCCTTATAGACACATATGGCTGAGCCTCTCTGGGTGTCTCCATGGGAGATCCCAAGGGTGCCCACTGTGGATGTGAGGTGAGTGTGGTGGCAGTGGCAGTGGTGTAGGAGTTATAGGTACAGGAAGGGTGCACAATGCACCTGGGGTGTGCATGCTCTATGGGCATGTTGGCAATACCTAGATAAAGGGAAAGGTTGTCCATGTGGTAGAAAGGAAGAGGGAAAGGGGAAAGAGAGTTAGAGGAGGGAGGAGTGGGTGTGCCCTGACAGGAAAGAAGAGAACCATGTCTTGACAAGTACACAGTGGTAGGCATGGCATATGTCAGTCTCTGAGAGCTTGGTTGGATGACCACCACTGGGCTTAGAAACATCATTCTCATGATGATTTCATCTTGCAGCCTTGCATACACAACTCAACAAAGAAAAGGGTACCGGTGGTAGGCTGGAAATCATGGGTGGTGCAAAATATGCGAGTGGCTGGTGGAGCACCAGAAATGTAGACAGCAGTTGCCATCCAATTTTTTAAATAAAACTCGCGCAACCAGTCCAAGCCTCAAAGATCAACACAAACTTATCGGTCTAAGCCCAATCATCCTCCAGGGATTGCAAGCGAGTCAGGAAATCAATAATCAACTCAAGAGAATCGTTACTGCATTGAATAACCGCCCAATCACCGTCCTTGGCTCATTACACAAAATCGTGCATTTCGGTACCATCGAGTTGTTCTCCTTCAATCCATCTGACTAAGGTCCTCAGCCTACCCCTTACTATCCACCGCGCCCTCGCGTCTTCACAACAATCATTGTCACGCATGATGGGTAAACGCATCACGCACCCGAACGCGCGCGAGATATCCTGCCAAGCAGCCCGCATGACCTCCCGGTCATTATGTGATGTTCGCGCAAATGCAACAAGACACAAATATATGATGTCTGGGTTGATGGGGGGGTTGGGAGGCGAGGATGAGTCTGGGGAAAGGGGAGTATTGGAAGGAAGCATTTCGAGGAAATGTGAGAATATTAAATTCAGATCTTCTGAAGTCCATGTTGCTGCTTCGGGGTGTGTAGTAGCGGTGGTGGAGCGAGCGAGTTCGAGTTGCCTTCGACCAAATCTCTTCCTTTGCTTTCGGGCTGCCCAAGTGTTGGATATGTTGGGCGACCATGCAACACCTGTATTAGCAAACCCATAGCTGATAATTCGATCTACGGCATTCTGAACGGGTGCAACGCCATGGCGCGTGAAACCAATGAACAATGCCCGAAAGACGTCCGCCGTTGCGTCATATGTTTTCGTTCCACCGTCGACGCGGGACAGCCGTCCAGAACGCCAAGGTTGTCTCCTGCAGGGCGTAGTCAACATGTCACGGAATACCTCTATGGCGCCAATGAAGTCTCCATGATACGCCAGGCACTGAATGATGCATCGAAAAGTGATGATGTCCGGACCCTGGTTCAAACAATTCTCGATGCCAGAAATGCACAGTATGGGATGAGAATCCATCTCGTCTGGAAGTAAAGAACCCTGTAAAGCACGATATATGGAAACGGCGTTCTCCAACCTTCCTGTCCGCCCATATGCCCATATAACAGAGTTAATTCCATCAATACCGGGATTGATATCGTTACGAAGCATGGTTTCTATAGTGGGGGGTATGCGTTCAAGTGCACCTGTGTTACCGTAATGCTTGATCAGAGTGAGGTGGGTTATTCGGTCCCTGTCTATACCGTATTCATCAAATAACGTCAAGGCACGCTTGACGAGGTCGGCTGAACGTGTCCGAGCGGCTACATTAAGGAGGGAATTAAGTGTCCATACATCCAAATTCGCCTTCGGAAACACCGGTCTCGTAGTAAGTGCTGAGTCACGATGATCATCCCCTGAAAAAGACGATTGCATGTCTTCCACGATTTTCAGTGCCGCGTCAAAGTCCTCCAACTCTGCTTTCCGGAATCCACTTCCAGCAAGATGAATAAGTGCATTCCATTCCCATAAATGAACCTCTTCTTGCATATTTCTCAACTCAGATATAACGGCGAGGAGTCGAAGAAAATTCTCTCGAGTTTTCGGACGTGCCTTGGCAAGGAGCAGAGCAAGACGGTGGAGCAGATCGGGTTGCAAGAGATTCGACCCCATTGGATGTGTCATTGCTATAGCCTGATATGCGTCCCATGCCTCCGCCCGATCAGAGCGCCGTACGGCGCGATGGAAGTTAGAAACAAGTGAAACAGCGGATGGGTCGTGTCGGATAAGACCCGGCAGTTTGTCTGCATCAAAGGGAGACAATTGGGGATATTTGAGCGGTGTTCGAGGACGCGACCCTAGCTGATATGATTGACTATGTTGTTCAGGGCCATTGTGTGTGGGTGGTGGCTCTCGTAAGTCTCGTTCTCGGGAAGTCTCTCTTGGCCCCTCCTTTGGCCTAAGCCGTGCTGCATTGACAAGCGCATACGACAGCGTGTCTCCGACAACATTAGTTCTCAGCTCATTTTCAGAGATACGACTAGACATAAGGAGATATCAGAACGTCGAATGGGCACCAGGCTGCATTCACATAACGCACGAACTAGTCGCAAATTGGGAAAGTGCGCGTGGGGGAGTTGGGATATGGACTCTCGAGGGCGTTGTTCTGCATAGCATGCGAAAAATTGTCATAAAGAGACTGCACTAGCAGTCCCGACCATCCCGGCCAAGGTACCTTCAAGTGGAATTTTCCTGTCGTTGATGACGCCCCAAGACTGTACGGGCTTTGCCGATCCGAGGGTATTGCGTGTGAATTTTTGGTGATGAACATGCGCATGGTATGGACTGCTCAAAAACATACTGGAAGCTTTGTTTCTCACTTTTGTCTGCATGTAGTTACGTGCTTCTTTGTTACCGATAAGAACAGCCCCTATAGCGTGCAGACCGTGCGTTTCTTCCCCAACAAAGTGCGCCTTCGTAAGCGCTAACCTTGGGCGTAGTCCAGCCCGGAGGTCACTGGCCACGGCAGCTGAGGCATCACCGGCCTCTCCTACCTCTTCACCAGCTAATGTGGATTCAAAATTAAACAAAATTGTTGACGACATCTCCGGTCTTACATTACTGCAAGCAGCTGACCTGGTGACACTCCTGAAGGTGTGTTCTAGTGCGCTTATTCCACGTAGATTATTGCATTGGCCTACACCTAGTCTCGCTTGAACATTCAAGAAATAGCCATGCCCGCCCCAACTACTGCTCCCGTTGCGAATGTCTCTACTGAGGACATTACACCCCCAGAGGTTCGCCAGATTAGTCGTGACTTATAATCTCCGATTCTTCCACTAGGATGATTAGGAAAAACCAAAGGAAAAGACGATATTCAACGTAACGTTAGAGAAATTCGATTCCGTGGCCAAAGCCAAGATCATCAAAGAAATCAAGTCCATTATTCCCAACATCAACCTTGTTGAGGTACGTCTTGTTCTAATGCCCTGGTATTGATTATTTACATACATACATTCATTGCAGGCGAAGAAATTTGTCGAATCCGTGCCGAGGGTTGTCAAGGAGAATCTTCCTAAAGAGGACGCTGAGAAGTTGAAGAAAACGTTCACTGATCTTGGAGCGACTGTCACTTTATCGTGAATCGTAGAGCATTCAACTAATACAAATCAGCATCACAGTACCTTTTACCCCCCTCAATCGCTACTCGATCATATGGGGTTACGTCGGCGGCCGGTCAACATGGCACAACCCAGTAGCAGAAAAATACGGGCGCCTGTAGCCCAGTCTCACGAGATGCCTGCCACCAGACCGAACCACAGGAGATTAAGTATGACAGAAGGAGCCGAGTGATGAAGTCCACAGCAACCGCTCAGCCGGCTGGAGCGTTGTCCATGACAAGCACTATCAGCTCGCTGAAAGGGGAGATACTCGCGTCGAATCGAATCGAATGCAAAAGAACAGTTGAAGCTATAGCCAGAATGCGTAAATAAGCAACCCATCAACAACCTGCCCCCAGGATATACACGACGTCGGGCCACCAGATGTTGTTAACCGCCTAGCAGTTGCCGGAATGAGGGATGCGCTGTCTCTCAAAACATCAGTCCCATTCCATGCAACAGCAAAATCATTCAGCTGCCTCTACGCAAGTGCCAGACGTGTAATTGCAGTGCTACCTATTTAAAGGAGCAATGCTCCGTGACTTGCGTTCTTCGGCGGCCCGTTTCCCTGTAGCTGCCTGGTCCTAGCACTTGACAACCCTCGCCCGCATCTTCTTCCGCTTCACGATGAGCAAGCAGGCTTATCTTTCCCCAATTCCCCACGATGTCCTCTCTGAGCGAAGAGGCACTGGTATCTATCAAAGTGACGACCTCTAATCAAGCCACCCAATCTCGTCAAATAAATGCAGCTAAACTACAAAGACTCCACATACCATTGTCGCTAGCCGGATGAAGTACGTTCACCACAGCACTCCTCGATGCAGCTTCTCTGGATTTGGACAAAGCCCCAACGCTTCCGCCCGCAGCCAAGGTTAGGTCAGACGTCCCAATGGAAGGCTTGTCACCCTCGGATCTGGTGACCTACAGATCAATGACGGATTCCTTAGGTGTCGGCTAGAACAGCTGAGCAGAATGAACGGAAAACTGTCGTTATTTCTCGCGGAGTTGTTTCTAAATGTTCTATTTTAGTAGAGGCTAGGATCCTGCCTATCTAAATGTTACAGGATTACAACAGGTGCGGCATATGAATATAGCATTTCTTGGAAGGACCCCGTCCCAATATCAGCGATGCCCTTCAGAACGAGCCATTTGGCGGGTCTCAACCAGTTGACAGTAAAGGCGTCATTACCCATATTTTTATTTCGATCCGTCTCGCTATCAGTCTTTTCGCTCGAAGCGATGGCACAAAGTTAGCGAACAAGTCGACATTATACGTGGACGCCTGCAAACGTATTTGCCTGTGCTGGCTCAATCAAGGTGAACGTGCTGTAGAGCACCTCAAAGTCGCAATCGATATCACTCTGAGGTATCCAAACCTAGGCCCTGTTCAGGATAGCATTCTCCGCGCCACTGCTCAAGGTCTCTACAAGATAGATGGGAAATGAGGAAATGATCTGGCTTGAAGTTCTGGAGAGAAGAATCGGCGCGGGGAATTCGAAGGCCACGGCACTAAAAACCTTGCCCGATCATATCCCTACTTTCTGTTTCTGAAAGTCCACAGACACTCAGAATCTTAGCAGCTTGCCGCCAGCACTTCCGACGATCCAAATGCGCGGTTGCCGCGGAGTCTGCTGGCGTAGTACAAAGTATCTTGGCCATGAAAAAGGAGAAGAGCCCCCTCGAGGTGCGGAAAGGCACCCCTTCACACGCACGCTCGGTGGCGACGAGGTCCCCCATCGATTCCATTCAGGCTGGGGCCCTCTTCTTCTGGCACTATTGTGCCCAAATTGAACGCATGCTCTCCGACGCATACCAGTTATTCATAACGCTGGGTAGTGGTCAAAAGCAATTGGACGTCCATCTGGTTTTGCAGTACCACGACAAAAGATAATAGTGCCTCCATCTCTGGTCACGATCCGCACCTATTGGCGCCTCGGAGTCAATCCAAGAACTGGTTTTCTTTCCCGCATCATTAGCAGAAATGACCCATGAGGGGGACGTGTAGTCATTCGTTGAGTGGTACATGAAGCACTTGGATGCCAACGGCTGGACTCAAGCGGGCTCCGCAATCTCCGGGGATGTCAATCCAGTAGATTGTGAGAAACCGCCTTGTGCAAATCGGGTCGACCTCCCCTCTATTCGGATGGTGGGGAGCAACCGTCTGAGGATGCTGCTAGCCTAGCGTTGGAAAGAACCACCTTTCATCTCGGGCAGATCAATGCATGGAAATGCCGGAGATTCCCCCCAACTACATGCAAATGCTGATGCTGAGGCACCGCGAGATGCTAAAAAGTATCTCTAATGTCTACTCCTTCCTCAGAGCTTGCGACGCGATATAGGATATTTGTGAAACGCGTGGGGACCCTGGGACCGGATTGATCTTGGCCAAATTTCATTAACAATTGCCCCTACAGACCTCTCGCTGGTAAAGTTGTTCATGGTCGCAGTTGATGATCGGCGGCAGCTGGAGACTCAATAAAGCCGTTCTGACGGTTCTAAGCGTATTCGTCTGTGAAAATCCTGGAAGCGCCAGGAGAATCGAAGCTGAAAGCTTCGCGTCATAAATCGGTTACTGATATGTACGAACATGAAGTATTCGACGTTGGCACTGCATGTAGTGGTATTTATTGAGAATTCGATTGGGGAGCAGGGCATGCCTCCACACTTGCACAGTCAGAACGCGCACTGCGCCTTCAGTACAAAATAAGACTATGACTGGATATCGGGTGATATGCGGAAAGCACAAAGATCCGCGGATCTATGCGGACTTGAGATACGATGTTGCGGGCAATGTGGCAGGCCGACTTTATGTAATGGGCAAGTTTTAAATTACGAGATCATCACACGTGCTGTGTTTTGGTTTTAATTGATAATATAATATTGATATTCTCATTCCACAACACGTGACCTACGTCTTTATTTATGGACTGTTCCATATTCACTTAGGATTTATTTACACATAGTGGCGTGGCATAAATTCAGCCCTATGAGCTACTGCTGCGCATGGAGAAATATCCTCATTCATGCTCTCCGCTTGACGCGCTATGACTATCACCTTCGTCCTGTCTATCTTGCTTGCTTACATTGTGCAAGGACATGCTCAAGTCACTATCTACACTACACCCACTGTGCTGCCCGATGGCAGTCCTATTAATCCTACCTCTGTCCTCCAATCTATAGAGGCCCAAATAACCGGTCTCAATGGTGTGGTCAACCCCTGCTTTCGCCTCCTTTTATTCTCACCCCGATGCATCATGTAGCCTATGCTTCAGTAACCCTTCAGGCGCCCCCATTGCCAAGTTCGATGCCCCCTTGAATTTCCCCGTCCAGCTTTACAGCGGTGAGTTATATGCAGAAACCCATTTTCTGTCCGACTGAAGGGTTGGGATCAGGCGGGATGAATAGTCTCAGCCAGAAACAAAGTGGCACTCTCACGGGCTTTTCCATCGAACTTTCCATCGCAAACCAGCTTTGTAAGTGGTGGCCGTGGTTTTCAATCAACAGAGTGCTCATGCAAAATTCCATTCATTCATTTGACAGTGGGACGTAACTCTTCATGTAATCCAGTCATCCCTTCTACCAAGAAACAACTCGCTGATTGTGTACTAACAGTAATCAATGTACCTTTCCTTAATTACCTTCAAGGCATTCGCTCTCGTGCTGGCGCAGGGCCTGTCGTTCGGGTCGGTGGTAACTCGCAAGAGAGTACCGAAATTTTCTTGGAGACTTTCCAGCCTCATCATGAATTTCTGAACAAAACCGTCATTCCTGGCACCATAACTCCCGAAGTTAACATTGCGTTGGATCTATTCTATGCAATGTCCAACATTAGTACATTTGTCGATGTTCAGTGGTATGCTGGCCTACCGTTCGCCGCTCCTTTGAACCTTTCGGGCATTGCCACGATGACGGCTTATGCGGAGCAAGTGCTTGGGGATAACCTAATCGCTCTCCAACTAGGTGAGTTGCGATCCTTACCACTCGTGAAAATCGTTATCAATGATCCACGCGACCGAAGGCAACGAACCGGATTTGTACGTCTCGCCCACCGGAAGTTTGGTGCTGCCTAACATGACACTAGGTTCGGTATCGGGGCCCGAGCACGTCCTACTGGATACTCAATCCAAAATTTTATGTCGGAATGGAACCAATCCATTCAGGTTATGCAACAGGACAGCGCCATTACGAATGAATCGATCCTTATCGGGCCTTCCATCTGCTGTGACATCGATGGGCAATGGAGCATCGATCAAGTCATTAACGCCGGCTATATCAGCACGTTCAATAAACAGCTCAAGCAACTCGCGGTGCAGTATTATCCTAACGGTGAGTCTCCCGGTGCAGCGACTTTCGCACTCTTGAGATCTGAGGACGATCGACAAAAGATAATTGCGCGGGTTACAACCCCCCTACTGCGCAAAGCATTTTCCCTAATTACCTGATGCATACTATGGCAACGAATTCGGTTCGCCAGTATCTAAATGCCTCAGGTGCGTAGACTAGGGTTTTATTCTGAATGAGACGAAAACCTACAGACCTTTGCAGTTGTTGCACAGAAGGCTGGGAAGCCTTTTATCATGTTTGAGACAAACACGGCTTCTTGTGCTGGTTTCCCCGGATTGTCGGATAGTTTTGGCGCTGCATTGTAAGTCCTTATATTTCTCAACCCCAGCCCACGCTCACAGCTGGCTATGACAGATGGGCAGTCGGTGAGTGTGGAACTCTCGTCCCCCGAATGTGCCAAACTAACAGGTGGAGCGAAGATTATACATTACAGCTAGCTTATGTGAATTTTACAAGTGCGCGTTTGTACTCCATCGTCCAAGGGGGAAAACGCTGATTTCTTTTGATTCAGATGTCCTTTTCCACTTTGGTGGTCAAAATTCTTCATACAACCGTTAGTCACGGTGCCGCATTAAGGGCCTCCGTAGAAGCTGACGCAGCTATTCCCCCTAGCGTTCACCCCACCTCCATCCAACTGGAGTCAGGCTCTAAATAATATGTGGAGCACTGGTCCTGTTTGTAAGGGGGTTCCTTTACATTCAATGCTTCTTATCTAACGCATCGTTAACATCTAGACTATTCTGCCCTCATGGTCACAGAGGCCCTTGGATCGTCGAACCAATCCCAAATTGTTGACCTAACTCTCAACAACAACAACCCATACACCGTAGGCTATGCCATCTACGAGAATGGTAATCCTATGCGCGTCGTTTTAATCAACTTTATGAATGATCCAACCGGTGCCAGCGACTTCACCGCAACTGTTGCGATTGGTGGTGGCACGTCGGGACAGCCAGCAGCCAATCCAACGTCAGCCACAGTGAGATACTTGAGTGCGCCCAGTGTGACGGAGAAGCGGAATATTACATGGGCTGGCCAGTCATGGGGGGCATTATTCAGCAGTGATGGGAGACCGCAGGGTAACGTTAGCACGCTGACCGTCCAGTGCAATTCGAACAACGGTAAGAGGCATTTCCTTCACTGCACCTTCCAAGTTGCCCAACCCCTATCAGGTTGTCCTGTCAAGGTTCCTGCGCCAGGCGCAGCTCTCGTATTCCTCTCGGATCAATCGGTAACTGAGTCTGGACCGGGGACACTCACCGAAACATTCACAACATCCGTGTATAAGTATCCGAATGAACCAACTATTGCTCAAGCCGTTTTGGCGACAAGTAATGGGAGGGGTGGCAAGGGTCAGCCTCCGCAGTTATTGGACACGAGCAAAGGACAGGGTAATGGCGATCCCCTGGGTGCGAGCGTGTCGGTGCTTTGTATTCTTTTGGCCGCATTGGGAGCAAGTATTGGATTGCTTCTCCGTGGTTGATCTAAAGGGCACCAACATTACAATATTCAGTTACGGACCTGTATTTCTTCTTCCAAAAACTTTTCCCTTTTGCAAGTTTGACGATGAGGATTTCAATGAGCATAGGCAACTTGCCTAATCGAGATAGGGGATTGCATTTGTCGTGCCCATCGATGAATTGCCCTTGCCCCTCGAAGTCGAGATTGTTAGTTGAACCGGCATTCCCCAAATTTTCCCACATCTTCCACACATGGCTGAAGGCGAGATTTGTCTCCCAGAGCATGCTTATTACTGTTTCGATGTGTTGCAAGCTCATCTCACCAACTCACCTCTACCCTCACCCCCCTTTCCCGATGCGAAGTAGTGCGTATTGAAACTATCCGATCGTACGCACAGTGTGTGATGGGGAGAATCATGATATCCTTAGCCCACTCTTCGTAACGTGGAATGTGCGTTCCAGCAAACCAGGCGGTCACTCAAAGCTGAGGGGGTGCATTGGGAACTTTGGAGATCAGGATCTTGGGAAGGGTTTGGCGGAATACGCTCTCATTAGGTATGATGCACGGTCTCGCTTGGCGTGCGTCCAGCCGCCCTGAATGCGCCCTGGCGTGAAGTGCCCTAGAGGATCATAGATTCAATCCAATCCAGGAGAAGGAGCTTCCGAAGCTCGAATGCTCGTAAGTTGGGGCTGGATTTTCTTACAAGCTTATGCCTAGCTTCGCGGATCAACGTTAACAAAGCGCGTACTGATGCCAATGGTTATCTTTCTCCCCTAGTGTCTCCCTCTTAACTGATTTTGAAGATGCCTCTAATTATCTAGACTGGACGATTGGCGTTCATGGGATATACATCTCTTTTGAGAACCCATATATTAGAGACTCATCGTTTCGGAACGTTTTCTCCCGGAGAAGGACATATTCAAGGAACACAATGACTGCGACATACCTACCAGAGGTTATACCTGAACAAGGATGGGATAAAGTGGAAGCTATCGAAGGTGCAATGCGTAAAGCGGGGTGGGATGGTGACATTGACGAACAGCTAAGACAAAGCGTCCGGCTGCGTCGGTATCGGAGCCGGAAGATTACGGTGTCTTGGGGAGAATACCAGGCATGGAAGGAGAGTCAAATAACTAGCACTACTAGTGGGACAGACACTCCAAACCAGTCCGAATAAGGACTCGAGCCTGAGCTACGATTTTAAGGTGTAAACTTTCCATGAGTTTTAGAGTGTAATGTTCTGTGTAGTAAATATTATTCTGAATGATTTGTCAAACTCACATCTTGAAATGTTCGTACGTGGAGGTAGAGTCTGTCCTATAGCGTGGCAGCGCCCTGTTTGGGTTCAAAAAACCCGTGCAATATAATGTGTCCAGCTGGTTCGAGAAGGTGACGAATGAAGTATCTAGGATATGAGGTACTCGCAGGACAAGTCTGCTCTGCGTTCTCCGCACCAAGGCTGCGCAGCAGGCCTTTCTACTGGCATATGGATGGATGAAAGTACATACGTGTCCATACCTATCGACATATGCCGTACTATAATGACCGGGTGAAAGATGTTGGAAGAAAATAATAGACGGATTACTTGTCAATGGGTGAGTGTGAGGAAAGTAGAATGAATAAATAACACATAAGAGGGGCATGCATCCCCTGCACTGGCATGAACTGTCAGATGGTGTGGGAAAAAATAACGCGATCCCCAGTGCAGAGGTCGCGCTGTGTGCTGTGGTAAGCCCAAGAGGTGTTGAGGTTTGTGTGTGCGGTTCGAGTTGAGGCGAAGGGTGTTGTCGAAGGATTGTGTCACGGTTGGCGGTTCGACGAATAAAGTGGCAGCGGAGGGCGTTGAATGATGATGGCCCCCAGCTCATGCAAGTTAAATGAAAGCATGAAGTGGAAAGGCTGTCGGTAAAAAAGGTAGTGGAAACCCAGCCGTCTCCGCTTCGTGTACTCGCACTGCACAATGTAAGAAAACAACGAAGTGCGCGTCGCTGTCACCTAAACAGCATTCGATCCAAGCATTTGTTACACGAATCAATCCACACTATTCACAATGAAGGTGCGCGTTCTTGGATGGAACATGGAGATCGGTAGAGTGTTACATTGTACACAGAGAGGACGGCGTAAAAAAGTTCTTTGAGTGCATGAAGATCAGTCAATCATGTATCAGACCAGAGCGGAGGATAGTGCTTGCAGAGGCGAGTCATCATGAGGTCTCCGGGATAACGGACACGAATGCTACTCTGTCGAGGTGGTTGAATTGACCATTAAATGCAAGGTGATTATAAGGACACATCGCAAACGGAGTTCGGGGTGAAATAGTAGATATGGGCGGATCGCTGAGAAACATCCAGTGGTGTCCAAGACATGAAGTTCCCTCCAAGTTGCATTGTCATCGAGTTGGAGAGGTATCGTGGACCTCAAATAGAAGAACTGGGTGAATTGACGATAACCCAACGAACGATGGGAGTCGCCATGCAAAATGGAGACAAGGATGTTATCCAAAGAAGACTGATTGATGACGACGGATGTTGCACACGCTTTTACAGATTACCGTGCACAAGGGAAAACCATAGGGCAGACATTGAAGCACCACTGAGTGGAACCCTTACACCTTTTAACGCGTATGTGACATTATGGAGAGTGCAAGTGTTAGAAGTTGCAACCCAACGCCACTGGCGGTCAGAGGAGTCGGCAGTTGCCTGGCACGAATGCTGCACTCGGGCCACAATTCACGCTTTGCTAACCTTTATGTTCTTTCACAACGTTGTTTTCACGCTTTGTTTTCCTTATCCCTTGTTTACGATTTACTAGATGGGGGCGAATACAAGACAACGTGTGAGATCAAGATTTGTCTACTAATCGTACGTAAAAAATAAAAGTCACAGATCAGCACCAAGGAACAGGTACATTAATTACGTCACATTCTCCAGAGAAACCCGCAATCAATCAATCTCCAGGATAACGAAGCGAGCACTGTATTGGGAGGAGTGATATCAAAGGTACTATCCGCATCATGCAATCCGCGAATTACCGGTGCGGACAGCTTTTGGGGTGCTGCCCTCACCAGCCTCACCTCGCCCTCCGGCTTCGGCGAATGACCCCCAGCCTAGATATGCCGTCCCAATGTTCTCGGTGACGACTTTGGGGATCCCGCAAATCGAAATCTTTACGTACCCTCTTGTGCAATCAGAGGCTACGCAAGCTCCGAGTCCGCCAACAAAAATGAAACAGGGTACTGTCCTCATTTCTACAATGCGCTGCTCCTTGGGTCATCACTTGGGACATCTGTTTGGCCACGCCTATTACTTGCCGAGACAATCTTGATGGTATATCAATATATCTCAACCTCAGAAATATTTACGTGCCTCCGAGGGGCGGTGCATGGTTACCGAAGGCTGAAAGCACATTTTTCCCAAGCGGCCCAAAACAGAGTGTATTTGCCGGTTCACTCATGGAACTGAAAACTGTAACTGATATACATACGGCGCCCATATTTATACTTCGCAACGATATTGAAGGATTTTCCATGCGCAAGCGCTTACACAGGCGCTAACTCACCCGTAGGATATTCCGAAACATTCCAGCTCCTCCCATACATGTGACTCGCATTACAACAGGGATCCCCTCGGTTCCAGTATTTATCCTGCGTGAGGTCGCAACAAGCAGTCGAGCCACTTGCCAGGACCGTAGCGTCCTCATGGTACGCACCCGATTCCCGTTCCTTTGTGTACTTCTTTACGAATTGTATGAACATCCATGCGTCCTTGAGTGTGCTTGCAAGTCCAAAACTAATCCGCAAGATCCCCTCTTCCTCGATAAAGCGCTCAAGATTTTCATTTATTGGGTCAGAATATGCTCGGATCGTGGTGTGAGGTGAATCCCGTTCGTTGTTAAGAGTCGATTGTGATTCTTCGAGTTTGAAGTTGGCAACTTCATTTGTAACCCCAAGTAACTCGGCCGATGCTCCTGGATTGCACATACAGCCAGATCTGATGTGTATCCCAGCCTTTCCTGCTTCACGCTCAACCCGATGAGGGGGAACGCGATCGCCAGTTGAGTTCAGCAGAGAAAACGAAACCATGGCTCCGTGAGTTTGCGGAGAATACGAGTTGGGAGAGCCGGATATAGATTTAGCCTTAATGGCAGGGGTCGGAGAGTGGATGCGAACGATGGGCTTTCCATTGGTGTGACGCAAGGAGTCGAGGTAGGATAACGTAAAGTGCATCAAAAGGGCTAAGCGAGAAGGAAGATACACCGAGTAGCTATTGAGGAGGTCAAGAGCAGGTTTTACTGCGGATAGTCTGAGGACCAGATCAGAAAAGCGCAATTTTGGATGCAACGAAACTTAGCTCACGATAAGAAATTGATAGTTCCATCCTCCCATCTTTCGTGATGATCATGAAGGAGCCGACCGATTCCGGGCACCTGTGACCGATAATTAGTACGGGCTGTGCCATCCATCCCCGCGTCAGCCACATACTTGGACGATTCGGACAGATCCGCCACTGAACCATCGCTTCTTTAGCTTGGTCAGGAACGTGCTGCGCGCCACAAGTGCTCCCACGCCGGTCGGATAGCCGATCATCTTGTATAGGCTAATAGCCATTGCATCCACTGAATTACCAAGACTGCGCAGCGAAATACGGGTAGTGGGCGCTAGGGCTGCAGCATCAAGCAACGTGTCGAAGCCATACAGCTTTTTGACAAGATTGAGGATCTCTAGGTCGTATTTATATCCAGAGACATTTGACTGGCCAGTCAATGCAAAAAGCCCAGGATTTGGTGATGTTAGACGAGGGAGGGCCGCCAAGGTCTGCGCAATGTCACCGAACAACGGTGTATAGGAAACATGTGCTCCTCCGGCGAACGCATATTCGCGCAAACCATTAACGGAGTTATGAGCGTCCAGAGGAAGTATGAGATGTGAGTGGTCGGGGAAGTATGGGTATGATTCCCCAACGATTCGGAGAGCATTGGATGCGTTAGAAGTGAATATAACTGTGTACTCATTGGGGTCGGCGTCGAAGAAAGAAAGGACAGCCAACCGCGCTTCGCTTGCGAGACGGGAGGACATCTCGGAACTAGTTAGAGGCCCAACTCAGCTCTTCATCTCACACACTCGAAAACTTGGCATCGTGCTTCGTACCTTGGAGATGCGCTGTGAGGGTTTCCGAAAACAGCTCGCTTCATAAGACGTGCGTGATTCTCCACGAGTGACTTTGGGTATAGACTGGCACCAGTATAATCAAGGTAGGTACCTGCATCATTAAGTCGAGCGTATTCACGTTTGCGAAGGAGATCAACAGGTTTCGAGGCCCGCCACTCGGGATGCGCCATGACGAAGAGCCTCTTGGCGGATTTATACGACTTGTTGGAAGATAAATTGAACGGACGGAGAACAGGCCTTTCGCACCCTTCGCGCAGAGTGCTCTTCATCCTGGGACAATGCAGAGGCCGCAGTGTTAAGGGTGTCAGCCATACGTGATGCTAACTATTTATACCAGAAACCGACCAAGGAGACTATCTATCATTGCTGATGCTTTTCAAACCTGTGCACACCACTGTGGAGGGGACGGCGTAGTTACCCCATATGCGAACCACGAGTTGGGTGCGTGATGCACTCATCCGAAAGTAACATTGATGAAACTGGAAAAAACTTTCGGGGTCGGCCAGTCATTGAGTTAGTATCGCGGCGCGATAATCTGGCGACAGGGGTCGGCCCGGAGTATGGGTCAGGGCAGCATCAAGGTGCCGCGGCTTTAGGAACCCGGACTAATTCCTTTGGGGCTGTCCTCAAGGTCGACTGCTAATGATTCATGGCAGCTAGAGTCCAAGCAATGAGTAGTGACAATATTTCTTAGCGTTACATCCGTTGGTGACTCCTGGGTTCAGTGATTCCAGAAGCTGTATGCATGTGACCGTGACGGCACTCATTCAACGTCTGTGACGCTTTCTTATTTGTGGTCGAACCTTGCTGCTCTTAGTGCACAATGGACGTGCGGTGCATGTCGCATGTAAACCACCCTTGGTTCACATCCGGACTCAAACGAAAGCGTAGTGTTGTGGGTTCATCGAATGCGTGCGACTCAATAGAAGCGGCCACAAAGAAACGGCGACAGAATGTCATCGAACGCGGTATGGCGTCGCTCACTCTAGACTCCAGTCCAATCATACAAGGCACCGCATCCCAATTGCCCCCGCTAGCAGCCGCATCCCACTCGCAGTCCGTCCTGTTCCTTCATTCCCCCGCTGTTGCTGAGACATCCCGTCCTGTGCAAGAGGTTCGAATGAAATCCGCATCATGGTATGAACCTGAAAAAGATAGTAAGTGATTGAGCTCCTGTAACCTCCCTGTTCATCTTCCTTTCAATGCCCGATTCCGCGCTTGTAGGAGTTGTTGTCCTGAGCTTGGATTCTGACGACGAGTCCGAAGACGACATCACGACCGGCGGCAATGTGCAAGAAGCTAACAACACATCATATTATGTGCTACCGTCCGTGGTGTCGCACCTCAACAGCTTTACCACAGATACAGTCCCGAGCAAAGACGAGGACTTATCGAAGGCTCTGGTTCTGTTCAGGCCTGTTTTTCAGCAATTCGAGACACCACGAACGCCCCTTCCTACATCCATCACGGCAGATGAGACAAAGATTGACGAAAATGCTCTTGTTGAAGACGTTGACATGATGGAAGTTGACAGCTGATACACCTTTAATATTTACAACGCCTAAACCAGATCTTGATAATGCTACAAGATTACTCAGTAGTGAGACCCGCAAGCGTGCGGATCGTTTAGGCTTCGTTCGGTATGAAGAAACAGGCCTGTTTCTTCCAGTTTTTCAATTCAATATTCTCTCTCATTTCTTCTACCTAAAGAAACACGCAATTTTTGTATTAAGAAACAGGAAGAAACAGACCAAAGAAACCTGTTTCTCCATACCGAACGAAGCCTTAATAAGTGCAATCTACCGTGACGCACTATACTCGTTCCCCATTGTTCCAACCTCCGTATAAAACGGACCCGTCACTCGACCCAGCAGCGGGCTCTTTATAAGTCGCAGACATCAACTCGTAAGGGTCCTGTCCGAATTCGTGCATGGATGCTGTGAGTCCTGAGAGTTGAGGCTGCTGTTTCTCGGAACTAGGTTCATCCGGGTAGTGTAGTTGTCGTGGAGTACCATTTTGCGTTTGCCCCCTTTCCCGGAGTTCCTGCTGTTCAGCAACGGTCAAAAACCGACCTCCTGGACCCCGTGGTCGTCTGAGAGCATGGCGGTGACGAGATTCATGCAGATAAGGCTGAAAAGCATACATACGGGCTTGGTCTTAGTGCGCCCTTTGTGTATTCATCAAGAAGCAAGAGAACATGCCTTCCGTTCCTTGGATAATCTATGCAATTCTTCTAATCTAGCTCGTGCAGCGCGTCGCTTGAGAATCCGATGATATTGTTTAGCATTGACGAATAATGGCTCATCATCAACGAGGTTATTATTGGCAGCAGAAGCTGCAGGATCATCCATCATGTCAGTTCCTGCGGATCCAGTCGATGGGGTCGTCCGCCGTTGCTGCCCGTGTCCTTCGTCATCGCCAGCGGTGGCAGTGTCTCCCCGTAGTTTCGGTTTCTCATTGGAGTTAAATGGCGTGCTCTGATAACTGCCCTCACCGTTTATTGCCGTCTGATACGCTGTATACGATTAGCAATGAGTCAGCCTAGACTAGCACCTGAACCCGTGCCCAGTGAATGCGGACCTGCAGATAAAGGGTCTCCATAGTTAGTGGGATCCTGCGTTCCCATTGGCTGCCTGTCACCACACGAGGCTGTGTTAGGAGAAGCATGACCTCTCGCAACTTGCCGTAACGCCAAACTTCACGCACAGAACACGACCATGAGCAAGGAGGCAAAATTGTACGTTCATTACCGTCATAATTTGCGTCAACATATCTGAAATGATTTTGCATACCATCCTAGAAAAGCGCTACGGGTCCCAGAACTCAAGGCTTTGCTGCAGAAGGCAAGTATTTGGCGCTCTGGGCCTTGTTCACCTTCCTGATTATTTGCAGGCTAATTTGCCAACAACCGGGAAAAAAGAGGAACTTATTTCCCGTATAATCGCGTCTCCTGCCGCCTTCGGACCTCCTGCTCCTAACAATCCCGCGCCGGCCCCCGTCGAGACGGCGCCATCGGGCGGCGATGATGATCTCGTGAGTGTCACGGTCGTTTAAACACAAATATGTCTGACGTTTCCCCATGATTCAATAGTTTAAGCCTCCCGAGGAGTATGTTGTATATCTTTGACGCGTTGCTCGCTCATCTTTAACGTCCTTCTAGGTTCGACTGGAATTTAGTGGCGACGTCCGCAGAAACGGAGGGAACTGGGACGAGTGTGGCCTCGTATGCCCCAGCCGGGGGACCAACACCCTTAACGGGGAAGCCGGTATGATTGTGTCATATAGATGTCACTGTGGTCCTCCCGAGTCATATATAAACAGCTGTCACCTAGGAAGCCGACCTCAGCATCAAAAGCGACACCTATTTCTACCCCCGCCCCTGTTCCTCCTTCGTCTACGCCGGCCTCCGTTCCCGCTGCTGGGATGAACAAACCCGGGGCAGAGCCATCCAAGCCGGTTGAACCAGTTCCTCTTGACCCTGAGGAAGCAAAAAAGAAGGCTCGTGCTGAGAGGTTCGGGGTCCCTTACGTGCCGCCTAAGGCAGCTAAACCCACTCAGCCTGTGACGCAAGCGGTGAAGATATTTCATTTTTTTGCCTAGATCATGCCTCAACTGCCAAATTTAGGATGAGGTGAAGAAGGTGGCTCGAGCAGCTCGCTTTGGCAGTGCAAATGCCGCCACTGCCAAACCGACCCGTACGTTGGACCCTGCAGAGGAGGATAAAAAGAGGAAACGCGCTGAACGTTTTGGGACGCAGCTAACTGAAGCGGTCAGTTGTAGCATAATATCCACACACTGCACGTTATTGACAGTCTGTTCCAGCCTGTGGAAAAGAAAGCCAAGACGACGTCTTAACCACTTGGGCTGGTTGTTTGCATTAGACAATGTAACTTATAGACATATGCATGTTGTATTCATACTTGGCACGTGCGTCTACTTACAGTTTGGTTGGTTGACCGGTCGGGGACCAGAGCCCTATTACTATGGTGGATCACATACGTAGTCCCTCTGTGATTGCAAGGTTTGCCTGCGTGTGAATGGCCGATGGAGTTGGATTTATTGATGGTTGTTTTGTTCGAGGCAAGCCAAGTCGGAAACAATCTCATCAGAGTATTCTGCCGTCCTGGACTCCCTCAGCTTCGTGTGCTGTTGAATCGGTCTTTTGAGACATAACTGTTGTCCATTTTCCGAGCTGGAGTACATCTGCTTGCTCAGAATTATACTTGAAACCTGTAGGGATAGCAGTTTGTGATGTCAGGGACACCACAAACTCGGTCGCGAGTCAGCGGTTTACCAACACCAAGTCACCGTTCGGTTAGTGGATTACCAACGCCAACCCGGGCCCGCTCCTCCGCTGGTGCCTACAAGGATGTCCCACTGGAGAGTGACGCGGCCGCTATGCGTGCTTTGTCCGATGCCATTCGTGCCAATGATCCTGCGCAACACAGATCGAATTTAGATGCATCGGGTTTTAGAATGGGGAAAGACGCGCTGGATAGACAGTCTTCTGTGTCTAGGGCGTCATCAAACAACATCAGCGCGCCGCGCGCGAGTACCTCCTCTTTAGCCTCCTCCGTAGCCTCATCAGTCAATAGCCACGCATTTGACAGATCTACGTCAACAATACGTCCGAAAACGCCTGCGTCCGCGACATCATCCATGTTCAGGTCCACCCAAACCCCTCGCTCTTCCACAACAACCATAAGCACCCGTCCTGGAAGCCGCACCTCAGATGTATTTGGGAGAACACCAAGTCGGTCGAGCACAAGGCATGCGCCTTCTCTCTCCGGATTAGATAGACCAGCAGAGGTCGGAGATTATGTGCGCATTGACAGTCTCGATGTTGAAGGAACCATCCGGTTTTTGGGTGGGACGGAGTTCAAGGCTGGTGTATGGGCAGGAGTGGAGCTTTGTGCCTCTGATATAGGGAAAGGGAAGAATAATGGAACAGTTGCAGGGTGTGTACCCCACGTCCCTAGCTTTCGGCGCTTAGATGGAATGTGACGAGCTTCTTAGAGTAAAATATTTCTCTTGTCCGCCAAACTGTGGAGTTTTCGTGTTGGCTACCAAACTCACTCGAATACCCGTACGACCATCGTCCGTAGCCTCCTCTCACAGCCGGCCGCCCTCATCAATGTCTGGCCGCATCACCCCAGCGAGTCGTAGCAGTATGTTACCATTCAAAACGCCCGATCCCCCCAAAATATCCGCAGGATCTCGTGCTAGCAAGTACGTAGGTTTGACCGCTCGTCAATTGGCATCATCAAAAGAAAACACCAATACTCCACGGGTGGGATCTATCAGCCCCACACGATCGCCTGCACGGTCTGTCACATCGTTCGCCACCCCGAAACCTGGGAAACCATCTGCTATTGGCCTCCCTGGTCCCGGACCAAGACGATCACTTGCTACGTCCACAACTATCACGCCGCGTGCTGCTGCGGTGAACCGAAATGGGAAGACTGAATCGCCAGTGCCAGACCTCCCAGATTTGTCGTTTATAAGAGCATCGCCTTCACGAATGAAGCCTATAGGCTCAAATGGTTTCCCTTCATCTAGGGGTACTCCCGCCCCTGAACAGCCACTCGATTCTCCGGTATTCAAATCTGCCGCTTCGGACACAACCAGTGCCCTTCAAGCAAATGCCCAAGCTCTTCAAGAAAGAATAGCGAAGCTTGTTTCAGGGGTACCTGTATCTCCCAAGACCTCGCCAACCACTGCGTCCTCTCCAGCACCTCCCTTCACTTCGGCGAGCACTGATGTCGCTCCCGCCGACGACGAAGTTCGACAATTCATCGCCAAGATAGAGCAACTTGAAAGCGAATTAGCGCGGGTACGATCCATCGCGTCTGAGGCACCTGCGCCCGCACACCCGGTTGACGCATCGAATCGCGAAGATGCCGTGGCATCTGCTCTAGAAGCGGAGAAAGCTGTACATGCAAGCCATGTTGCCGATCTTGAGAAGCAGATTCGATTGATTCAAGATTCAGCGAAGACAGAACGGGAGACTCTGAGGAGTCAGCTTCTCGACGCCAATGCTGCGATGGAGAGATCAAAGCAAGAGCTAGATCGCTGGGTCGCCCAGAATGCTGACTTGGATGTTACTGTAGCAAAGTTGAAGTCGGAAGTTAGTTCCAAGAACGACAGCTTGGATGTAGTCAATTCCGCTCTGAGTCAGTCGAACGACGCTCTGAAGTCACTGCAGGAGAAGTTTATGAAGTCTACTGAGGAGTTCGAGGGTGAGAAGGCGGAACTCACAATGCAAGTGGATGAGTTACGCTTGGCGGGCCAGGTAAGTTGAGTTATAAATCTGAATTGAACTAGCACCATTGATTTCTCGCCCCAGGAAACAATTGCCCTATACGAGGAACGTCTTAGCAATAGTGAGGCGCGTCGGTACGATTTGGAAGATGTCATCAAGTCACTTGAGGAGCAACTGAAGAAGCAGGCAGAACCCATCTCGGCTGCGGAGCTGCAGGCCCGAGCCAACACTGCCGCACAGATCGATAACGAGACCCTACAGGAACAAGTGAAACATTTCCAGAAGCGAATCAGCAACTTAGAAGAGCAGCTTGACGAAGCCCGGGCTGCTCAGGAGCGAGATGAGCAGGCTATTATGACCCGCGTTACCCGGTTCCGTGAAGCCGAGGTACAGCTCAAGAAAGAAATCGCTCTTATCAAGCAAGAGAATGACGAGATTGCAAGGACGGAGGCTTCTGCCAGGGCAAGGGTCGAAGAGGTGACGGAGGCACTTCGAGAGAGCGATCTTGCTCTAGAAGATGCTCGGGCGGAGATTGAAACACTCCGAGGCGACATTGCCGTAAGCATCCGCCAAGCCCTGCGTTTCACTGCTCCCCCACTGCTCTTTTTTATTAGTCGCTCGAAGCCGCAGCGAGTGCTGTTGGCGCTGCCGCGGACGGGGCCGATGACCCCATCAGCAAACTTAGGGTTGAGTTGCAAGCAGCGAGAATCGCTACCCAAGAGAAAGCCTCCGCGAATGAAGCCCTTAAAGCACAGGTCGCTTCTTTGCAGACAGAATCAGGGGAGGTGAGATGCGACCTGGAAAGATCACCGATGGTTCTCACTACAAACAATAATTCCAGCTTGACAAGCGGTACAGAGAATCGTTGTCCGTGTCCAGAGAATACCAGGAGCGTTTGGCCGAAATGTCCCGAGTCCTTGAGCAGCGGACAACTGACCTTGAACCTATGAGAGGAGTTCACTCACCAGCCCGTGAGAACAAATATGTGAATGGTCGGGACGATTCTCGAGAGCAAATCACCGGTCTCAAGTACGAAACAAACTTTCGGTCATTGTCATCTTATTGAACAGGATTTTCACAGACATGTCGTACAGCAGCTCACTAAAGAGAATGCTGCGTTGATTGCTAGCAGCAAAGTCCTAGAGTCAGACAATAAAATGCTCACGACTGAGACGGGTGAGCTCCGGGAGGTAAGTGACACAGTATGAGCTAGAGCGTTGCAAGCTGATTGTGGCCTAGTCGCTGAAAGAGCTTGAAGAAAAATTCGAACAAACCATACTGCGGGAGCAGAGCGTACTTGACGGAGCTGGGGTTGACCCTTCATCTCCCCTTCTCCAAGACGTTGCTACCCTACGGCAAGCTATCAAAGATGCTCAGGCTCGTCACGAGGTACGAGAAGATTTCACCCCAGGAGCCTTGCTTGATCTGACTCTGCCCAGCGCGAAATGGAACAGATGCGCAGGCGGGTCGCCGATATGGAGAAGAAGCATGCCCGGACCGTACATGACGTGAGATCGCCTCTCCCAGCATTCGACTGCAAACATTGCTGATGGATACGGCATTATAGCTTAACAAGGAGATTGCAGAGCTCGAGAACTTAGTTGAAGCCAAGATATACCGGGAAGTAAGGGTCCACTTCTAACTTTTTTGTGGGCCTCCAAGTAACTCACTCCGGGCAGGATGACCTCGAACGAGAGATCGAGCGCCTGAAGGAAAAGCTCTCTCGGCGCACAGCTAAAGCTAGTAGTGAATCGGTGCTCAGCAAACCTCGCGAAACTGTTGGAGCATCCAACCCAAATGGCAGCACGCAAAAGACGCTGCACGAAAACGTCAATGATGATCTGACCTGCGAGGTTTGTGGCGAGAGGGGACACGATCTCTTGACCTGTCATTTGGTGTTTGACAGTCCTCGGAAGTCAGCTGCACCTTCATCGACACCGCAGCCAGACGAGTCGTGGTGCCAAGATTGCGAGAGTAAGGGGTGAGCATGTCATCACTGACTATTATTACTTCGTAATTGCTGATAGATATTCAGACACAACACTGAGACGTGCCCATATTCACAAGACGTTTTCTAATGGAACTTTGCTTTCTCATTTAAAATTACACTTGCCCTCATCTTCCCCTCGTTCGCCACTTGTTCCATTTGTTCATCGTTTTCAGCTCTTCATGTCACAATATCTGACTACCCCATTCATTGCTTGTCTCTTTCGGCCTTATGGATCTTAATGTTGATACCCTGATTATTAACCATCCTTTGCCTACGACCGGCGCGTCTGGTGACCGAAGATCGCATGGATCATGGATTAAACTCATGGGGTCCCGTGCAAGTACATGCGGATGAAAATAGGTGAAAGCGAAAGCATACGCCGAGAACGGTTGTTTGACTTAATCGCCACCGCCACCAATCGATCGTGCTGAAAAATAAGACAAAATAAAATAAGAAGGGTTTGAGGACAGGCTGAGTGATAAAACTAACTGTAAATTAGCTGGCCGCTGTGGTGTACAATTCTCTTGATCTGTTTCTCCTTTGCAAGGTGGCGAATGGCACGTCGAGCAAGGGAACCGTTGATCTTTAACCGCTCAATAAGGATGGACTGAGAGATGAACTTAAAGGTGGGGACTTCTTTGAGAATGCGATCGTATGTGGGCTTGTCAAGAGTGACGAGGTGCTGAGCCTTGTCTTTGACTTTCCCCTTTGACCACTTCTTTTTCTTGGCACTCTTGCCTCCTGATGAAGCTGCAGCTTTAGCTTTGGCCTAGTTACGTGAACGAAAGGGAGGAGAGAGAGAAAAATATATATCAGCGAATAGTGTCCTGGAAGTGCATCCAAACGAGCGAAAAGGAATCCATAGAGATATTATTGGTTTAGACAGCACAGGAAATGCCGAAAACGCAAATCTAGCATCCCAGTGTTCTTTCAGAGTAAAGATCAAGCCTATGACACCCACCATATCGAGCCAAACAGTGAGTCTTGAGGATGACGAACAGCGCGGCTGGTCTTGAATCACCTGACCTGAGTTTCTGACACTGCCACCGCCTTGGTGGCACACCCCGCGGCGGCCACTCGTTCATTGGGACCATATTTTGCCCTCTGCTTCTCTTCCTAGGTGATCGATGAGCCATGAAAACAACCAAAGGGGCCTATTTGTCAGCTCGTAAATAGCGCATTGATGATGGGTATGACACTTCTGTCCGCTGTTGCCGACAATTTCTGGGCAATTTGTCACCATTGGTTTGACTTTCACATCCATTTGGATGCACTCGCCAAGTTTGGATCCTTGGGGATCATTCTGTGCCAAACCCAAACCTACTGCAACATGGCTGGCTCATTCTCGCAGTACCGTTTGATTATGTGACGTGAAATTGGAATCTCCGTCCTCCTGAGGGCGATTCTTTAGGGTGCTCATGTGATAACATTCAATTGCTCCAATTTCGCAACACGTGTTGTGGTGTGAAATATTTTATCACAATTTCATGTGTTCGGGCGTCCCTGATAAGGAATACGCCTCAAGTTTTCACGCCCCGACTGGCGAAATCAAAAGACGCTTGCGTTAATCGTCTATTTCTATCCAGGCAACAAGGGGCACAACTGGCACTTGCCCAACGACTATTTGCGGCCTGATAAAACATCCGCCCTTCTTGCATTTATCATGTGGCAATCAAATTCAAACCCGAAAGGGAATTACCGATTCCCGACGCTTTGGCCTAAACATTTTCTGTACCCGTTCAATGGACAACACAGGGGCTTTACAGAAAAACTGGCGATCAACAGCGTCTAGCGCCCCTCTTAGCCATGCATGCATGCTGCTTGTTCACAGATCAAGGGCTCGATATTACTAGCTCCAGGACCTCCAGGGGTTGTTTATTCCGCCTTTTTGTTCCACCATCAAACTACCCTTCACTCATCGTTATTCCTCGGCCCGCTAGATGATGCGAGCTTGCCTTAGTCGGCTCGGAAACAGGAACAATAATATTTCATCTATCGCATTGTTCTCCCCTTCGGCAGCTTATATTGACTACCGTCTCCTTTTCCCCTGATCTTTCTTCTCCCTTTGGTCCAAGGGAATGGATTGTGTCTCTCTTGGCTATGTTATTGATGCTATCTGTATTCGGCCGCCGTGCTTTTCGTTTGGGGGTGCAGTTTTTCAAATCTACCTTCGTGCTTGGCGAGCGGCTCTCTCCAGGATTTCTCCAGCGACCTTTGTATGATACGCAGGTCACGAGAACGATCGAATTATGGTGATGAGTCCGACAATTCATACAGGAAAGGAGGTGATACCAAATTTCTCTGTTGCAGGCTTTTTTGCTCCTTGTCCTTTTCTTTTTTTGATCGCGCGCCATTGCTCCACGCCTGTCCCTCTTAAGGAACTCGGGGAGCAGAGAACGCAAACCCAGGTCAAATACATCATTGAATTTTCTTCCCATCTACGAGGAAATACAGCATTGGGTTAACAGGAGAGTGAATACACAGCGTCATCTGATGACTTTTGCGGGATACAGAAAAGTAATGATACAGCGGAGAAGAGAGAATGTGTAGTCCCAAAAATCATATGAAATGAGAAGGCTACGCATGAAGCATCCATGACTCGTTGGCCATGCCTGTGGAGGAATCGGGAATGGAAGAAAAAGATGTTGATGCCCCGTTGAGAGCAGCTAGCAACATAGACGGGTTCATCCATCCTTCAGACTCGGACCCATATTCGCCACCAACGGTGCCCGCAGAATATGGACTGTACCCAAAGTCGTGGGATAATGATGCGGGTGGGGGGTTGGATACCCGGAAGCATTGCTTGTATAACCACCACTAGATCCACTTGGACTGTACTCGTCCGGAAGGCTGAGGGGAGCCGTTGTTATTGCTATCTCTAGAGGCTTCGGCATAGGTGGAAACGCATTCTCGATGGGGGAAGGAGGCGCTTCGGCATCAAGGTGACCGTTTAGAGTGCCAAATGATTGATGATCGGCCGAGGCCTTAAAGCCATTGATAAATGAGGGATGCGCCCAGAGATGCGGTTGCACAATGTGAGCCGTCGGGTAGGAAACCAACGGGTAAGGTGAGTGAGCCGATGGAGCATAATGTCTGGAGGATGGGGGAGAAATGTGGGCAGGGCCGACGACGGGTACGCCGTACGGCATGCTGGACGCCGGGAGACTAGCATAGGGAGGGGGGGGATAAGCCAACGCGGGTCGTTGAGATATCTGAGCGAGTCCCGCATCAGAGACCAGACCACCAGTAATTCCATGTTGCCTGATTCCTGGGGAATGACGAGGGAGAGGGGTTGGGTTCAACACAGATGGCCCGATCCTGAGCGGCGTTGGCGAAACGGGGGTGGACAAACTGGGACGATGGGCCAACGTAGGCGGCTGAGAGGCGTTCCTGCTAGGGACACCAGTACTAGGACGAAAATCGGACCCGTCATCCCCCGCCGAAGACGAAGGGGAATCGGTGTATTCGTTTTCTTTCACCCTTTTCACCTTCATCTTCTCTTCCGGGGCCCCCAAGGGATGGCGAGCCTTCTTTCGCCCCGGCCGGCCGGATGTGCCGCCGAAGTCGTCGTCGTCACTCTCGTCTCGCGGACGCTTCATCGAGGCTGTAACGTGTTCGCGCTTTGGGGCTGGCGTGAAATCGATGGAAAAATTCTCTGGGGCGAGCTCAAGTGTCAGTTTGAGAAAAGCCTCAAGCTCCTCTCGCCGTGTCTTAAGATCCCTCTGAGACGTCCTGTCGTCTCCAGCATAAATAAGTTTCGGCTTGTCAGCGCCGAGAACGTTGACGGTGAACGTGGAGGATAGAACCCGGTGGGGGTGTTGAATGATGTCCGGATGTAAGTTGTATTTATAACGGCAGTAAGGGTGAGAAGATGAAGGCGAGGGAAGTCGGGTAGACTCTTCAAGCTGCTTATATGGGTCATAGTAATTAATCAAGTGTAGCTCGCGATTGTCGACGACTAAGGAGAGGGTCTGAGGAGTTTTGAGGGACGCCGGAATGAAATATTTAATATCAGAAATAAGGGGAAAGCTCGACTGATGTACCTTTCGCATGAGACCACCAACAGGGTGCTCCTTGTATCCTTTGTGTGCACCAAAAACCTCGTCAACTTCTTGCTTCGGCTCGTGTGGCGGGGGAGGCGCGTGGTCAGCTTTGGACCCTTTCCTGGGCAACACCTGCCTGTAAAGCTTCAAAGCACAACAGTAAGCGGCTGCGGCCGCTTGAGGGAGGCAACCCCGCCACTCACCAGGAATACACCTTGCATACGAGAAGGGGTCCAAGGAGTCGTGTACTTCCACCGCTGCTTCCCCTTGCATTTGTTCCCTGGGTCGTTCGCGACGGCTGTCTCATCCCAAACGACGACGGAGCCGTGGTACTGTAGCTTCTCCCTTTCCTCATCGGTCAAGGACCTAGTGCACAATGGGAACACACCATCTAAAGCGGATTGTACGATGATGAATGCATCCAGTGACGAGCGGATAAAAAGACGCGGAGGATTGGTGGGTGCAGGAGAAGGGGAATGATGAGCCATAACAGTTTCGAGGAAGGTAATGGGGACAGTGGGGGATCGTTTGAAGAAGCAGTAGGAGGGTTCGCAAGCGGAAAGGGCTGGTAGATGTTGTCGTAGGGAGATGTGAGCCTCCTCACCACTGGTTTAATAGGAAGGCGGGGGGGGGAACAACAGTGCATTAAGGATGCAAATCAACAATGATATTATTTTGAATGAAAAAAAAAAAAACGAAAATAAAACAAAAACAACAACAACAACAGAATATAATGCTTACGTTCCGCTGTGAAACAGGCGCGCAATATCATGCAAGAGTCTCGTGAAATTTTGGGTCCACCATGCCTCCCTCAGCCGGTTATGGTACCTTAGAGCTGCCATCGTTTCGCCACCATGACAGCCCACAGCCCCACCACGGAAGGCGGATGAAAGACATGGAGAAGACCATTCTTCTGATTGACCCACTGAGCAATTCTCCTCAAATAAATAAATAAATAAACAATCGAAATAAACGGAGCGAGGGTCCCATTTGTCGGTCCAGGAATTTATTCATACAACTAATTACCAAAAGGGGCGGAAGTCACCTCAATTTCCTTTACTAGTTGCGTAAGTATGTCTCATCGACCAGAACATCCATAACGGAGGCTAGGCCACTCTGTTCAAATTTGGCGAAACCCGTTGTTGCACGAGACTCTCTCATGCATCGGGGCACGTGATTGAAGAAGCAATTAATTATAGTTAGGGCTGTGCTGCAGTGCCACATCCGCGATCCAATCAACACTAGACGACCAATCTGACCGAGATTCAAACCCATGTCGGTATGTGTCATATTACCTTCCTCCTACCTGCCGCCCACTAAAGGGACGTTTGAAGACCCCACGCGAAGATGATGAAGATCTGAAGGCGACCTTTGAGCAAGGGTATAAGCCCGGCGAGAAGAAGGTAACGTTACGTCGCAGCTCGAAGATGTGCCACTTGCCTCGTGATATCGTTGTCCGATCCCATCCGACTGACTGAGCCCAAACCGTAACGGTCATCCGTGATGTAATGTAGAGTATAGACGAGTATGCCAAACTTGACTCCAACGATGAGTCTTTGAAGCGATGGAAAGAATCCTTGGGTATCGTGCCAGGAGCTACTAGTAGCCGCTCCACGGGGCCCAAGGTAGGCTGATAAGGGTCCCGATCGTCATTATTGCGGTTCTCCTCACGATTGCCTCGTAGGTAACGATCCTCACTTTGGAGTTGACATCCCCCACGTTGCCACAGGGCAAGAAGATCTCGTTCGATCTTCAAGACAAAGCGACGATTGACACTCTGAAGAAGAGCCCGGTCTTAATTAAGGAGGGCGTTGAGTATAGGTTAGTTGAAGCGCAAGTGCTTTATGAGGGGACCTTTTGACCCAGATGACTTAACAAGCGTCGGTGCCACCTTCCGCATTAACTACGATGTGATCTCCGGGTTACGGTACATACAAGTGGTGAAAAAGGCAGGAATTAAAGGTAAACGAACATTGGTCCATTTGTCCACTCGTGCTTAAGAGCTTCTGGAATGAATATTAGTGGAGAAGCTGGATCAGGTAAGTGAAGTGGTGATGGTTTACTTTTTCGTACTTTGGTTGCACCTAACGATCCTCGTTTGAATACTCAGATGATCGGGTCTTATGGTCCTCATCCCGGAGGCGAAAACTATAAGACTACGTTCTATACCGAGGAATCACCGAGCGGGTTAATCGTTCGTCAAGGCACATACCATGTGAAATCCAGGTTCACGGACGACGACAATCAAGTGCATGCCGGTATGTTTAAATCCTGACCAAAGAGACAGACGTTTGTTGAGACTCTTAGCTCAGATTTCGAATGGGCGTTTAAGCTCGCCAAAGATTGGGCATAAAAAGCATTGTCATTTTGTGCCTCCATTTCCACTGTTCTCTTTCTCCTCTTTTCTTCTGGAACTCGTCTCTCGCAACTCCATGACAACCATTTCTTGTGCAATATGCCAGCTGCAATTTCAAATTCAGAAGTTAGCTGACCGACCGTGCGAGTTACAGCAGAGAGAAAAATTGTCAGGAATCTAGTACCCGGTATAGTGTGTGAAGATGAACGAATGCCGTTGCTTGAGGACCTTTTAGCGATGTCAAACTATTTGAGCAAGTGCCACCACGTCGTGTGATGCATTCCCTGAAATCGACCGGAATGACAGCTGCGAAGCGATATCCGGGACGGGTCCTGATCTAGTTTGCTCAAAAAGGAAATGTCATTGCGGTGACATATAAATGAGTCATCACTCATTACATGTCTTCCCACTTTTTCTTCCCTCTTTTCTCTCACTATAGACCTATAGAGCGTTCTGTGTGCTTCAAGGCTATCATCTATGGCTCGCTCTTACGACACCCGTGACGACTTGAACGACTCTGAACGATCCTTTAATGAACATTCTACTCTTCTGGCCCCAGATGCACAGAAAAGGAATGAGCCTATCGGACCGACGCCCCTTCCCCTCACTCAACTGCTCATCTTGGGAGCTGTACGACTTGCGGAACCTATTAGTTATACACAAGTGAGTGTTTCGTGGGCTTAAAATGTACAGGGTGCCAACAACGTCCCCTTGCCTGTAGATATTTCCTTATGTTAACGAGGTGAGCAGCCCAGGTCGCGCGACGCCCAGTATAGATCCTCGATAAAGTTACTCGCCTCTTAAGATGATGGAACGACTACAAGTAACGGATGATCCCGCAGACATTGGATATTATAGCGGTCTTGTTGATTCTTGTTTCGCCATCGCTCAACTCTTGACGGTCGTTTTCTTATTTGTTTTTGTTTTTGTTTTTTTTTCTCATTTTGTGACTTTAGATCTATCAATGGGGCAAATGGTCGGACCGTCTTGGGCGAAAACCAATCATAGCTGTGGGTCTGATAGGTGTGGCCATTAGCTCATACTTTTTCGGGTTGAGCACATCTCTCGTATGCCGGCGCCTTGCTTCAACTCTGTGCATGATTTCTCAACCATCTTATTCCAGACTACTGCACTTATCTCGAGATCCATTGGTGGCGTGCTCTCTGGCAATGCGGTCGTTGTTTCCTCCATGATTTCCGAAATGACGGACAGCACCAATCAAGGGAAAGGTAAAAGAGGTTTTTATTATCTCCAATACCATTTTGTGCAACAACTGTCTCATCACTGACAGATGAATGAACTGTACCCCCCTCGGACCAATCCAGTCATATCAAACTTTTACTCACCCATTCTCGGTTTCTTTATGCAGCCTTCCCTCTATTCGGTGCGACCTGGGCTCTCGGATGCGTCATGTGAGTTACAGTATTGAATGTTTGGAGGATCCGAAGCCCGGCCATGCTAACGTCATCTCATGCTTCCTTTCCCACACCAGCGGACCCATAATAGGCGGTAACTTGAGCAATCCCGCCGAGCGTTATCCTGAACTTTTTGGACGATTTCAGCTCTTGAAAGATTACGTGCGTTTACGCTGATTTCCATCGTTTACTTACCTGAACGGATGATTTCTAGCCTTATTTTCTTCCATGTATCATTTCTTCTGGCATCACGGTCCTTTCGCTACTTCTTTGTCTATTCTTCGTCGATGAGGCGAGTCCATCACCAGACCCCTCGATCATCAATTCATCTTACGGTTTCCGATTAGACACTTCCTAGGATCCTCGAAGCGCGTAAAGCGAAGAAAGATAGCCTGCTTTCACCTTCCCCATCTATGTCCACTTACGGGTCCACATCTAACACACCCACTTTTGGTTCTCGCTCTCATTCGCCCACGCCGTCCAACTCCGAGACTCTCGTCGAGGATATCTCCGAACCCCCCACTCCCGTCTCGGAATCTTTTCCGAGTCAGATCGGTGACAACAAAAAGGAAACGATGTCGTTGAGCGAAATTCTCAGTTACCCAACTGTACGCTCGATCATGGTTTCGAGTTTTATGCTTTCTTTCGTGAGCATGGCGTTTGATGTTGTCTTTGTGCTATTCTCGTACACCAGCATTGACCTAGGGGGATTGGGTAGAACGGTGAGTCAGCATGCGAGGATGGGATGATTTGGACCTGGATCTGACGAATTTTGGATTTAGCCTCAGCAAATTGGATTTGCGATGTCGGCGAGTGGAGTTGCAGGCGCGATTGGTTCGCTGTTTGTTTTCCCTTTCTTCCAGCGGACCTTTAACAACCGCAAGGTAATCAATCACTCACATTCATCAAAATTGGAACCCTCGACTCACTCTTGGGTTCTTGTGCGGCAGCTATATACTTTCTTGATGTCGATGTGGATTGTAGCCTTCCTGTTCGCGCCGATAGGAAGTATGTTCATTCGTCTTTCTCATGATGATCCTACGGTTGCCTGGCTTGGAATTGCATTCATTCTTGCCCCTGTCAGAATAGCGGTGCTCAACTTTCCGTAAGTTACGACTGCACCTTTTTTTTTCTTAAAAAAACGCTCTACTATTCTGACGCTGGTCCAACACCATAAGGCTTAACATGATCCTCGTGAGGAGTTCGGCGCCCTCGATAGGGGTGCTCGGGACTATATTTGGATTGCAACAGACACTGGGGGCGTTCGCGCGAGCCATTGGTCCTGCATTCATCAGGTTCGTATTCTTCGCAGGGGCTCTTCCTTGTCTCGGGACTTATGCAAAATAACAGCTCTTTGTATGCCTTCTCCACGGATCATATGGAGATCTTACACGGTCATCTCGTCTGGTTCGTCATGGTTTCACTTACGATTTATGGGGCTTACGTTTCGAGCCGTGTGAGGGATATCGACACTGATCGAGAGACGCTCGACGGCGTTGAAGCCTGAACAATGGATAAAAAAACTCTTTTTAGGCAAACCGCCTCCTTTGATATTTGTTTACCTACATACAACTTAGTATGGACGGACGCTTGCTTTTCTTGGGCTGACCACGGTCACAAAATAGTTGCATGCATATATGTATATGGATGATACTCTAATTGAATGACATTGCCACGCCAACGCTACTCAAGTTGCGGGTGTCGCTGGTGATTGCGTAAAGTGAAATGGCCTCAAGAAGGCGATATCCGCTTAATTTGATCCCTGTCACCTCATGAGATCATGCGAACATGGGTGCCTCCCCACGACGTTGATCCTTGTTGTCTTTCGCCCAACCTTGCAGCGCACACAGTGGCCATAGTGCTTGCTCGTAGGCAGCGTCTATGCAGATGCTTCCTGAAACGATTACTCCCCAATAGACCAGGGCTATCGGGTATCCGGCCGAGATTGGCCATAAATGATCGATGTCCCTGCACAATGATAGGATAATGCATGGGCCCTAGCTTTGGCCATCACTCATCCTACCATCTCTTCCTCCCCCTCCTCCCTCTGTTTTTTTTCTTTTTTCACCTCCTCGCTTTCTTGTACAATCTAGACAAGAATCATGACTCGTGTTCAGAATTGGAGTACTCGCCTCGATGACTCCAACGCCTCTGATCAGTCTGTTGATGAACATTCAGCGCTTCTCTCAGTATCAACTACTCAGAAGAGGCAGGTGATGGCCTTCAAGGCTACATCACTTCCTTGGGCTCAGTTGCTCATCCTCGCGGTTGTCCGTCTTGCTGAACCCATCGGTTATTCTCAAGTAAGAGAGTTGATATAAATCGATGTTGTCGCCATGATGGGTTCTTGGCTCTAACTGCATATTCATATTGGGTTTCGTATACAATAAGATCTTTCCTTATGTCAATGAGGTGCGTAGGGTGACCATTCATCCGTGAGGGTACTAACGAATCGATCGTGAATACTGGGTTCATAGATGATGGAACGGCTACATGTTACGGATGATCCTGCGAACATTGGGTACTATAGTGGTCTTGTCGAGTCTTCCTTTTCACTAGCCCAACTTTTAACCGTGCGTTTCGCGTCCTTCAACATTTCTTCGCTCCATTGATATTCCCTTCTCCGAATCCTTACCCCTTAGATATACCAGTGGAGTAAATTATCGGACCGCATAGGCCGTAAACCAGTAATCATCATGGGTCTAGCAGGCGTAGCACTGAGTTCCTTTTGCTTCGGTCTAAGCACATCTTTCGTTCGTCTCATTTTCCTTTTCACACTCTGAGAAAGAGAGAGAGTGTGTGTGTGTGTGATTGATAAGCTGCCACAGATGGGAGCACTCGTCTCGCGGTCTCTTTCTGGGATGCTCTGTGGAAATATCGCCGTACTCTGGTCTATGTTGTCCGAAATAACGGACAGCACCAATCAAGGGACAGGTGAGCACTTGTACCTTGTCTTCGGGCCGGCCCGAGGGGCTGGCATTGATGCTACCAATATTGCCGAGGACTGTAATCAGTCACTTTCACAGACTTTTGCTAATTTTACCGCCATCTTTGTTTTTGTGTGTGTGTAGTGTTCCCTTTATTCGGTGCCGTCTGGGCTATGGGAACCGTAATGTGAGCGTAAAGTCGTTTTATGAACTTCTCATTGTTCACCTTGTCGGCGTTTCAGAGGGCCGATGATAGGCGGAGATCTGAGTGACCCTGCAGAAAGATACCCTGACACCTTTGGAAAGTATCAGTTTTTGCGAGATTATGTAAGTTGTTGAACCCCGATGTTGGAAAAGGGGGGGGGGCGAGGGGTCACTGATTATTTCCAGCCTTATTTCCTCCCTTGTGCATTGTCTTCTTGCATCACACTCGGATCAATCATACTTTGCTTTTTGTTCGTGAATGAGGCAAGTCGCATCATCGTTTCTTGAATAGTTTCATGCGATCCCTAAATCTCGATTATTATTATTATTATTTTTTTGGGGGGGGGTTTCCAGACCCTTCCCAAAATCGTCGAAGCTCGCGAAGCTCAGAGAAACAGTACTCCGCCCAATGCATCGAACCCTGGATATGGTTCCATAATTGGGAACACCACTCCCGCCGTGCCTCGATCTTCCAACATCGATCACAGCGTAGTTATTAACCCTGATTCTTCTACCGGTGTCCAAGAATCCTCCAATTCGGGAAACGAGGAGGTATCCATGTCCTTGTGGGAGGTGCTTTATTATCCAAAAGTACCTTCGATGTTGATTTCAACCTCCATGTTGAGTTTCCTGGCGGTAGGATTCGATGTCATGTTCGTACTCTTCTCATACACCGGGATCGACCTAGGAGGGTTGGGTAGATCGGTGAGTTCGTTTGAAAAATTACCGGATATACCCCAAAGTGGTTTATATGATGGTTCGGGAATATCGTAGCCCCAACAAATTGGGCTCGCCTTATCAGCAAGTGGGCTCCTTGGAGCGTTCGGCTCTGTACTCGTTTTCCCCTGGTTGCAGCGGACGTTTAACAATCGCAAGGTAGACATTCCCACTTTCATTCGAGCTAACCTTTTTTGCTGATAATGTGGCATGGGACCGGAAATTTGGCGTAGATGTTCTCCTTTTTGATGGCCATGTGGATATTGGCATATCTATTTGCTCCGATCGCAAGTATCATTGTCCGTCTCTCCCACAATAACGCGACAGTGTCGTGGCTTGGAGTTGTCTTGATTCTTGTCCCTGCCAGAATAGGTCTACTGTGTCTCCCGTAAGACGTTCGAATTATTTTTTTTTGTGTCCCTGAAAACCGCATTGGGCTGACGGGCATATTCGTTCCAAATTTGGCATGACGCTTTTTTAAAGTCTCAGTATGATAATCGTCAAGGCTTCTGCACCATCGAAAGAGCTATTAGGCACTACATTTGGGCTACAACAAACTACAAACTCCTTTGCCCGTGCTGTTAGCCCTGCATTCGTCAGGTTCGTCCTTTAATTCAAATATTCGAATATTCACATAAATAATACTACCCGGGGGGGGGGGGTGGGATTTTCCATTAATGTGCTGTTATAGCTCATTGTATGCCATTTCAATCGACCATCGCGAAATTTTGAATGGAAACGTTGAGTGGCTGATCATGGTCCTGATCTCGATATATGGGGTGTTTATTTCGAGTCGCGTTAGGGATGTCGAGCCTGCCACTCCAAAAGCTGGAGACAGTCACGGAAATGTTAGTAATGGCTTGGACGGGGAAGTTGAAGCGTAGGATATATATCTACGCTCACAAGGGGAAGGGTTAAATTGTCAAGATTTCTTTACGCACTTAATGGTGCTCGCATTTTTTTCCGCTGCACCCCTTCCGTCTGTTGCACGATCATTGATTCTTCATAGATATTCCCATCGAGTTTTTTTTTTTTTTTTATATATATATCCCGTTCTGAACAAGACGTAGCATTGTGGTACATTGCATCAATATCGATCGAGTTGTGTCTCTGGATCCTAGCGCATGTGGATTGAGGTAACACCATGCCCGGTCCAAATTTATATCTAAAATAACTCCGCCAGTTGTGCCTCAAGCAAGGGCTTTCATGTACCTATACGCAATGCGAGAAACCGGCAACTGTAAAGGTCGATCCAAAAAATAACTGGTTGGACCCCGCCTGACGCGGCAGAATTAACCCAATCTCACCTTGCACGTTCGACTACTTTCATTTTGGCAAATTAAGCAGCTAAGGACATAACTAAACAACTAGGCCTCGTTGACGGTTAAGGAAGAGAGGAAAGAGAGGAACAGTCAAAGGAAAATACACAAACATAAAGGCCAAAAGACACCCAAAAGGCTCAAGTTGGGCCAGACAGGGAATCGCGAGAAACCTGACAACCTCTGAAGATGACCCGAAATTCGACCTGTCAAAATGAATGAACGCTATGTGCATGCCAAACGCTTAAGATGAGGAGTGTGGCCCAAAACCACCTATTAATTCACCCTTGGTCGGATCTGGGCGGGTCATCATATTCAGAGGCCATATATCTTCTTCTCATTTTTCGTGATTCGGAAGTTTGGTCAGCGTGTTTGAACAATTGGTCCTTCTTTGGTGTCCTTGGTGTGTGAGCGTCTTTCTATTTTCTTTGCTCGATATTTGGTTTGGTCGTTGCTTAAGTTCGGGTTTGGTCTTATCGGTCAACGAGGTCTAGTCTAACTGGGCCTGCAGCGGAGTCGTCCGTGTTATATTGTTGTGTCCTCCAAAATACCCATTGACAGGTGTGAGATGCCGGCCAAAGTAGTCTCTCGATAAGCCAAGAAAAGAGGGCAAAGAGAGAACAAGCGATTAGGAGATTTTAAACGATTGGAGTCGAAGTGGGGGTCGACTCGAATAGCGAAGTGAAGTAAAATAGATTCAAGTCAACATAGCCATGGCATGAAAAAGGAGGGCAGGGGTGCGAATACTATCAGCGTCAGCTGCCAAGGTGATCGGCAGCTTTATTCAATTTTGACGCAATATCCAAACCCCTGAGTACTTATGCGCCCCCGCCTCTAACCACCAAAATCACATGTTTGCCCAAAGCAACACCCGGCAATACCCGGAACCGGACTCCCCGAACGACGCATTCCGTCTGGCAACAGAGCAAAGGACGGAAGAGTAGCAGGCCACTTGCTGCGTTAATATTATGTATGCCGTTGCTGGCCAATTCCCGGAGCGGGTCGCCTGCAAATTTTTCGGACCCAAAATAAATAAATTTACCTGCTGACAAGGTCCTGTATTGTTGCCAATTCTCATATAACCCAGGGTCCTCCGTCGTTTGTCAGAAGAAACAATTCATGATTTGTGGCTCATGCCCCTCAATATCCCTTGCGGTGGTTGGTTGTCGCTTCAGATCGTTGGGTACGAAGGTTCTAGTCTATATGGTAAGGCGGTGGCCCTCATTAAGTATGGCCGGTGCTATCTTATCCACGCCCGCACCCAGCACCGCGGCGACCATTTGCAGTCAATCTGTTTAATATCCAAGCTATCTGGCACACTGCCTCGCCTGCTCGTCCGTGGCAGGGTAGTAATCCCTTCCAAAAAACATTAATTCAGTTGGGGCGAAAAAATTCGGCCAGGAATGCAAGAATGAAGGCAGGGCCGCCTCTTCAGTGATTATAGAAGCTAGTATCCTGCCCAGGAAACATTAGCAGGATCAGCCTGGCCGAAGATAGCGTCGGCCAGTGAGTTTTTTTTAGAGTTGATTGGTCCCGAGAATTCGGGACGCAATCGACGTGTCTTGACGAATAGGTTGGATATCTAACGAGGTTGGGAAAACGTGCCCTATGACCACTTCTTGAAACTTGGCCACGGACCACTGGGCCGCCGCGTCTCCAGCATTGTATCCTCCCAACGATATCATTCTCTGGGACGTTTCATGATGTGCAAATCTCAGGCGACTGGTCGCTCGTGGATGCCTTGTGTGCAGGGCGTGTCAACGGCGGGACGGCGCGCCATTTCGGCGCACGCTGGAACACAGGTTGGGGTACCGGGGAACCACCTTGGCTTCTGTTGTTTCGCTTGGAGGAGTATGTTGGCCGGGGCGAGATCAAAGGGCCTCTTTCGCTTTGCCAGGGGCGGGTGGCAGTTAGGGACCTCCTTTCACTGGTTATCGCGGGGACGTCTGCGATAGCGTTGATGATTCTAAATAAAACTGGTGATAAGTATCAGTGTCACTCTTGCTGTTCTTTTCATCTGTTAATGAGAGGGGACAGCTAGACGAAGCGTTTAGTCTTCTGGTTCATTTGCGCTGAGTTCTCGGCACCATACCTGCTTTTGCTTTCCGGAGCTAGGGAAGTAAGAGAATAATGATGTTCTGGTCCTGCGTCAGGGACATTGGAGTCCCAGCGCCATATGACGATGAGTTGGGGTACAGTTTCACCGGTTGTTCGCTCGCAAATTGTTTCTCGCCCTTCTATTGTCGTTTCGTTCCTGTTGGAAGTCCCTGGAGCGCAGGGCGATCAGGGAGACGTGGGTACAGTAATCACGACATTGATTGATGGGAGTAATTTCTTCCTTCCACCATTCTGGCGCGTTTCACGAACGTTGGACAGTGAAGTCAATGTCCAGATGTTCGAGGGAAAATAAATATCGCCACCTTTAGCCGCAGAGTGAACTCGAAGCGGTACGTTTAGCCGACGCGCGTGCTATGCCCTTAATTCATTAATGTAGGCCTGCATCATGACGTGGGCTCTACTCAAGGCAGGACTTAATGGCCATCCTGAAGAACCCGACAGTGATACCAAGGGGGCCCAGCAAATGACATTTAAAGGCGGTCCCTGTCCCTCGGGGACGCCACCTTACTGGTCTGGAAGAGTCAGACCACGAATGTCTCACTGCCTGGGACGGTAGTCTCGAAAAATCTTCCGTATCATGCTTCTAATCTGTCGGATTATGACTTGAAAGTATCTCACCCACCCCTCGTGAAAGTATCTCACCCCTCGTCACAACGATCTGATCATCCGCAGGGAAGCAATGACTCATCTGTACCGACAAAGCGGCCCGGTCTTTACAGCCCTTCGCTTCCAGCTTTCACGGTTTTATTGTTTACGCATTTGATCTCATGTCTTATCTGTTTCCATTATTCGCACACGCATTGTATTGAATCTTGGACAGGTACCAGCCTGCCAACAAACATATCCTTCTCTTGCGTGGCGGATATGAAGGATTTCTAAGGGGATCTATCGTATGTAGGACTTGAGTCGCTGATCGTTCACGGTGATATCGGTACGATCGAAGGATCAGGGGAGAGAATTACCAGATGGTGTGGCCACCACTGACGATAATACTAGTACAAATGTGGAAACTTGGAATTAGAGTCACTCGATAGTTGGATAAACGGGGTACTCAGCTTGCTTCCCGTGCAGAAGGTGCTCGCATCGCTTGCCAGCCACGCAACAACACCTCGAAGCTCCTCTGGCGCTCCAAGTCGGCCTAAGGGATTAGAAGATGCCCACTTTTCACGCAGTGCGGGATGGGAATCAAGCAAGGCAGCTGTCGTTTTGGTGCAGATATAACCTATTTGCAAAATCGTCAGAGGAGAAAAGCCGGTAATGGCGGGCAAGCTGACCCGGTGAGAGTGAGTTGACTCGAATTCGCTCGGGTCCAAGCTCACAAGCCATGCTCCGAACCATTTGAAGTACAGCAGATTTGGAAGCACTGTATGCAACCCATTTGTGGTCCTTTTAAGTTTCGTTCGGAGATTAGTGGGTAAAGGCCAGGCGCGAAATCATAGATTAGATGAGCTTGCCCGGAGCGTGACATGACCACTTATGGAAGCAATCATGATGATAGACCCGCCATTCCCAAATTTAATCACTGCGATTAGGGGTAAAGGATATCAGGTTAGCATCCTGCTCAGGAGTAATGTCTCAGAGCTCACTTTGCCGACCGGCTGCTTGGGCAGTATAGAACGCGCCGTGAGTGTTTACGGCAAGAAAATTTTCAAATTCTTTCGCATCAATCTCCAAGACATGGGTCGATTGGCCAAGGATACCTGAATGCTAAATCATGTCGGTTAAGGGAAGAAAGCAAGATGGTGTGTAACGTGCCGGCCGCGGCAATGCATACGTCAAATCTCCCTTCCTTCTTACTAACTACATGAGGTTGCATAGGAACTGTTAATAGACAGAAATATCTATTTCAACACGTCAAACCCACTCTTCTCAACCTCCGCTCTGGCCGTCATCTGATCAGTTACATCTCCACTGATGTACTCGAGTTTTCTTCCCCCACCCATCACCTTCACATGGTTCGCAACCATCTTGAATTCAAGTGATGGAGTCGAGGGAAGATCGATCGCGTAGATCTTGGCTCCAAGTTCGCACAGAGCGAGAGCCATCTCGAGACCAAGACCTCGATTCGCACCTGATACAACCTGGATTATATCATGGATTATATGCAATATGGGCAAGAAATTCTCAATTGATCGTGAGCTTACCCCTACTCGGTCTCTCAGTGCAAACTCATTGAATATCGATGGCTTGGGCGTGCGGGAGCTGCCTTCAGCCGGCAAGATTTCCTCAACACTATGAAGATATTGAGCTGAAGGCGTGAAATTTTGTTTCGGCAAGCCACAGACAGACGATGACACAGGGATAGAAGTAAGTCCAATAGTACAACGAGGGGTTACCCAACGACCGGGATTCCGAAACTTGGAGAGCATCTTTACAAATTGCGAGCGTCAGGTACAGGCTTGTTGCAGCGAAGAGGGTGAGATGAAGGGGCCCAACCCAGGACATGTAAGAGAAAAAGGCCAAATCGAGATTTCCTTATTCCGGGACACATTTTCATCAAGTCCCAGGCCACAAGCTCGCATCAAATGAGTTGCAGCATCCATTGACGGAAGCAGAACCGATCGATCTATCCAGCTGTGGATCCAGAAGACTTTCATTCCGACCTTCGGCAGTTCAATTGTCAGTTATAAGTGCCGCGTTATGGTTTATTGGCAGAGCTATCAACTCCACATCGGCTGATGAATTGACGCTTCCAAAGCCACTGATCCTGCTGGTCAATTTCAGTCATTCCATGCCTAGATAGGCGGTCAAACGAGCATGGAGAATAGGTACCTCCTGCCGCGAGTCTGCCCTGGCCTGGTACTTTCGACCGATCGCACTGGGACCTTGAACAGCATACGAATCTAACATGCACCCGGGCAACCAGCCGGACTCCGGATAACAGGGAAGCGATGAAATCACTTCAGGCCATCTTCCAGACGTCTGACGTCCTTTCGCCAAGCTGAAAAGTTCAGCTACTTACAGAAAGGTTCGCGGATAATTTATTAATGGCGAGCAAGCGCGCGTGCGACGGGATCTGCACGCTGGAATGTCTAGGAAGCCATTTGGGATTGATGACTTCAGCGAATGATTCTGTTGTGCATGCCATCATCGCTTCCCAAGCCTCCCTCAGCTGCCCACATTGGTAGAAACGCCCTATGAATCGTCCCAGAGAAGTGCTACCATTATCGATTAGTGCTCTGGAGAGATGCGCGTGCATCCAGGTTATATGTTGCTGTAGCCATACTTTCAGAAAGTAATGACTGACGCTGATGGATGGGAGAGGGGTGTGTCCATTATATGGTGGCTACCGGAGAAATGTAGAAGATGCATTGGGCGAATAAGTAATCTCGTCTACGCATGTCGCTTGATGCATGCCCACAATAGATAGTTGGCAATGCCAGAAGAATTCGGCCAATTCCGCTAAAATGAATGCCGTGCGAATCGTTTCACGTGCCAGCTCCATCGAGCCGAATCGGACGTCAACCAAAGTTCAAGCCAGTGTTTCGGGTGCCCTTCGCCAGGTATGATCTTTTTGAATGTCTGGCCAACATCCTGCGAGTCCCCTGGTGTGTTTTCGCGTTTGAAATGTGCCAGAGGGACGTCTGGAGCGCTGGATTCAATTTCCCTGATGTGGATGCAATTGCTGACTTATACGCACCCGTCTATAACCTCATTCACTATCAGCCTAATTTCCTTTAAGCCATGTCTTTACCATCTTTACCGTCTTTACCAGTCCTTCGCAAGTTCTACCGCACGCAAGCTACCCGCCTTGAAAAGCCTGGTAGTACTGAAACCACGGTCATACAAGCAATCATTGAGCTGGAAAACAATGTCCCCGATATTAGGCCTGAACTTCGTGGTCTTAGGATCGCTGCTGCGAAGGAGCTAGAACTCGATGATGGGAGGAAGGCCTTTGTCATCTTTGTCCCCATGCGTCAGCTTAGATCATTCCAGAAGGTCCAGCAGAGGTAACTGAATCGCTTCTCCCATTTCTCACCAGCATATCTCATACTTCCTCTTGGGAATAATGTTTCTAGACTTACTCGTGAACTTGAGAAGAAGTTTTCAGATCACCACGTAGTATTCGTTGGTCAACGCCAGGTCATTCCTAAGACGGGGGGCAAGAACCATTTGTACAGTCGCACTGTAACCTCAGTTCAGACAAGAATTTTGGAGGACTTGGTCTATCCCACAGATATTGTTCAAAAGCGTACTCGATACGCAGTTGATGGTACGAGACTCATCAGAGTGTGCGTGGACTAGCTATCCCCGTTTAGTCTTCAACTGATGTGGATCTTTGTCATGAATCAGGTTCCTTGACCCCAAGGATGCGACATCATTGGAATACAAGCTGGATTCATTGTCTGGCATTTACAAGCGGTTAACGAACAAGGCTGTTGTATTCGAGTTCCCGGTTACTTCCTCATCCGAGTGATAATTTGCATCCTTCACTGATCTTCTGGCCATCCTCACGCGCTGCTACACCAGCATCATATGTCATGATGATTATAGGCTATGATTTATGCAAGACAATAACATGGGTGCTTGAGAAATATCGCGCGCTAAAACCCGTGCTGTAACAGTAGTCCAAAAGTGGTGGAAATCAAGCAAGGAAATGGGGCAGATCATTGGGTGAAGTGGGGACTGGGTCTCAAGATATATCGGTGCTTTGTTGCTGGTGATGTGCAGTGTTGATTCTCATGGTCTTAAGAAGTTCCTCGAGCTTGTAAGGTTTCATCTGAACCGGGGCCTAGACGTCAATGCCTAGAGATAAGAGCAAGGGAAGCCATTTACCGTGACGCTGTCCATTCCAGCGTCCAGGGCGCTCCTGACCTGTGCCTCCCGAGCGTTACCTTCGTCTGGTCAGCAACGATGATAATATACATCGTCCCAAAGACATACCAGTGAGAGCAACAATGTAGTTCCGATGTCCGAGCAAGCCTTCCGACTCCATTTTCCGTATCTCTCTCGTTGCGTCGTACCCGTTCCTAGTAGAAAAATTGCAGAATTTGATGCGCTGTGTAGACCAGACTTACATGACTGGCATCTCGCAATCTTTGGTCGGATGAAGTCAGGAGCAAAGCAGTTCAAATCAGTGTCGTACGTACCCATCAGGATAACGTCAAATTGTTGCCCAACACCCTCTTCATTTGCAGTGTAGAGCTCCTTGATGGCTCTGATCGCTTCTACACCATCGCTAGCCAGCGTTGTTAAGCATCCTGCTCTTCGCAACTGGCGACTGGAATATGGATGTCATTGGTTTTTTGGAAAACTGAGGGAGACAGACTCACTTCAAAACGGTCTGATTGATCTATCCAGAATCAAGTCACAGGTTGACCAACTTGGAGCTGAAAAACTACGCACTTGATTGTCTTCAGTAATAAGCACCCTTTACACATGGGAAATCTAGTTTTAGGAAAATGCAGACTACTAGCGTACGTACCGCAAAGGAACAGGAGCAGGATCCTTAACCTCTATCTTGCTTTCTTGTCCAGGTGCAGCAGGGGCGGGCGGTATAGGGGGGATAAATGATTCGCCTTGAACGAAGAAGCGAAATGTGGCTCCACGTCCTGAGTGAATTCAGGATGAGGTACAGGTAACAATTTTCCTGCCCCATGGACATACCGTATTCGCTGGACACCTCAATCCGACCCCCTAGAGAAAGAATGGTGAGTTACATATGTTAATTCCTCGTTTTCTTGGTGCTAACCCATGAGCTCGCACAACTTGCGGGAAACAAACAAGCCGAGCCTACCAGTGCGTCAGAGAGCGGCTGGATCCTCAGTATAACACACACCCTGATCCTCCAAAGACTGAAGTTCCGAGCTGCGTCAAAAAGACAATTGGAAATGCTGATCGTTGAATAGCATACCTTCATGTGAATTCTGTCATCATGTCAGGATAGGTCAGGAGTTGTGCAAAGGAAGGATAACTTACGCTTCCTTGAGCAAATCTTTGAAATAAAAGAGCAAGATCCTCAGGTCTGCGGACCCGGTACAGTCAGATCACAGTATCGTGCTGTGATGGCGCTTACTTCAGTCCAGGGCCAGAATCACGAACCTACGCCTATCAGTAGGGTTCAGACAATAACGTGAACGACGAGTCCGTACCGACAGATACAAAAATATTCGTTGACGATTAGTTGATACTCGCTCATCCTCTGGATGAGATGGAGGAAGACATGTTGAATCTGCTGGTGCTTGGCATGCCACATCCACATTAACATGAATGACCCTCTTCGGATGATGACTTATATCAGTGAACTATTCGAAGCAAGTTTAAGCGACGGAATCGATATATACCGAAAAACGCACCTTTATTGCATTGCTCAATAGATTAGTCATGACTGAGAAAACTATGAAGCTGGTTTGGAAGGACAAGAAAAAACTAATCATACTTTGCGCAAATCGTGCCTGGAGCAGGTACAAGTATTCATCAGCGTGTGTACCACATGAATATACAAGATTGAATGGACCTACCTTATCTAGGCGTACATGAGTAATACCGAGCCGCCCGATCGATTCTCCAAATGTCAGCATGAAAGTGATATTTTTCCTGTGATGGAGTGAGGATCTGTGCACGGAACTCAACGGAGACATACATAGAAAGTTCATTGTTGAAGAGGGAACATACCCGCCGGACTTCGTCCGCGAGGACGAAATCAACAGGCAGGATCGATAACACCTAACGGATGTATTAGCTATGACATTGAAGATGCGGAAAGTGGCACATACCTCAAGCTGGATCCTTGACAAAGACTACGGAGGGGTTCGGGTTCATCGAAACGTGCACAAAAAATGCGTCTGCACTTACAAGAACGCTGTGATGGATTATGAGTACGATGGGAGACAGCATGGAGTACTGAATGGACAAACTCGTTCGCTATTCGCTCCTGCGACAACCCACATTGATAGATCGCGTCTATTCCATGGGCCCAAAGACTTCAGCAGTGCCGGGTCTTGACGACATCAAGCACATACCTAATGCTTCCAAATCTTCATCCATGGTGTTCAGCAAAGCCATGTCAGGCCTAAATTCAGACTTTTGCGAAAGCGACTTTTCTAGTTCTTTGCGTAATTTGGTGAAATTAGACCGTATCAATGAGGCGCAGTTCAGAATGGCAGAAACAGGTTGCCGCAGTTCGTGAGAAGTGACATCAATAAGAAGTTCTTGGGCGCGCCTGCGGTCCTCAGCTTCCTGTCGCCGAAGTTCCGACTCTGCTGCGCTTTGTCTTGCTGCAGCCTCTCGCTCCTCTGCGTGGGCCAGTTGAGCCTCTTGAAGCATTCGACGCTCGCTAATATCAGTGAGTGTGCCTAGATTGACACTGACTTATGAATTCGGTACCCGAGTTGCAGGTAGAAATGCTCTGACCCATTGCACCCATCCCCTTTGTTGTGAGGTGATCAAGCATCCCGATCTAGCCATGTGTTAGATCAGCCAGTCAACTAAACAACAATTTTGTTTACCTGAGCTTGAACGGTCCGACCCGACTTAAAAGTAAATTCCTGGGATTTAAATAGTTACGCATGAGTGGAATATCCAGATCCAAGAGAGCTTCTATGGTGAATTTACAATGTTGACAGGCAAGTGATCTTCGAACAGCCGATCCCACGCTTCGATCACGGCATTTCGGTGTTCGTCAACGACGCACTCTGTCCAGTCACTCAGCTAACCATAAGTGGTAAATTGTCGCGTTCGGTAGACGAGGTTAGGCACACACCGGTCGATCACTGGGATGACCTGTGAGTTCATGCCATTTTGGATTTGCTGCGGACGAGTCTAAGGGGGCTGAATGATCAAGTCAAGGGCTCTCACTTACCATAGACAATACTACACGCATCAATATAGCGGCGGAGCATGAGTGAGTTCTGACTCTCGAGTACTCGAATCACTTACGTGCCGTCCATGTCTGCGCGGAAAATGCTGGAGCGGGAGTCAGCTAAGAAAGTTGAACGCATGCCATGTCACTTCTTACCCCACTGGTGCCAGCTCAGAGAGTGCCTGGAAAAAGAACATCTATTACTCGAACCCGCAACATTGCAACGAGGAAATGGCTACGCACTCGAAGTTCAGAGGTGCGACGTTTGAATTTCGCGTCAAGTTCCACTCTCCGTTTACCTATTTGTAACTGGAGATGGGTTCGGGCAACCAAATGTTTAGCGGCGAAGGGTTTGGCGATATAATCGTCAGCCCCAGAGAGAAGCCCTTCCAATTTCTGGTCGTCAGTCTATCTAAAGATGAGACTACGTCACATACGACCTTTATGGCTGACTCACAGATGCCGCAGTCACCATGACCACTGGAATCAACCGCAAATCCTGGCACGCTTTCATTGCCGCCAACAAGCTTATTCCGTCTAGGACGGGCATCATTTGGTCCGCAACTGCGACACGTCACACAACACGAGATCTGGGGGAGCAATCAACACGTACCAACAATGTGGGGCTTTGTGTGGGCAGAATGCATCATATCCAAGGCTTCTTGCCCATTTGATGCTTCTAATACCGTGCAATACTTAACAAAACTGAAAAATGACACCTATCAGCTTCAAAATTTGTGTCCTCGGAGAATTTGGGATCACAGTGATTTCATGTACTGGAAATACGGCCAGTTAACAAACATCGCAATAAAATTGACTCAAAAGCACCGCACCTTTCTCATATCGGCCTAGTCATGGACAGGCGAAGGGAAAACAGTTGCCATTTGCTTCCTCGTAGAAGTTCAGGAACGTACGTTATCATCGACTACGTTACGTCGATCAAGTCAAGATGCAAGATCGGCAACAGCATGGCCCACACCCACCAATTAAGATGATATCACTTTGCATAAAGAAAAGCGTCCCCGAGTCCACACTTCCTGTACTCATTCCTCCTTCTGAATCGTTGGAAGTCTCGTTTGAAGAATTTATATCATTGACTTTGCCCCACCTTAATGGGATTGATCAGAAGAGCCCTTAGAGAGCTGGGGATGGACACACTGGGCGGCTTCGTCGATGATACCTCGAGCGTAAACTCTCTGAGGCGTCACAACTGTCGGGGAATTTTCCTCTAAATGTGTTAATGGGATATGTTCATTACCAGTGGGAATCAAGACTGTGAAGGTGGTGCCATGCGACCCATCGTTCGACTCAGCTGCCGTCCTGGATTGTACTTCGACTGTACCTCCGTGGAGCCGCACAAGTTCCTATACGTCGTGGGCAAATGAGTCAAGTCTTTCATCGGCATGCACGCGCAAATTACCCTAGTCAGCGATAAGCCAATGCCGGTCCCTTCCTGGCTTCTTGATGTAGCCTAAGGCGAATTAAAAGAGATGAATGAGCGTGAAGCAGCAATAATACAACATACTTCAACACGGTGGAACCGATCGAAAACTAGACAGGGAATCGGAATGAGGAACACGGACGCAGACTTCGAAATGGGATCACCTTTGTCAAGATCTTGTGATGGTATCCCAACACCAGTATCCCGAACTGAGAACATAGCGCAACCAGAATCAAATTCCACTTTCACGATGATACTCCCTTCAAGTGTGTACTTAAACGCATTCCCTTCGTCCAGGAGGATGAGGAATCATTCGAACTGACAGGTCCACTGGGCACTGACCTATTAGATTGAAAACGACTTTCTCCCATAACTCGGGATCCACATAAGCAATACGATTGTCAGCAGGATCACATTCCACCCTAGGGATTGAACGATCAGCTCCACACGTAACGGCCACCTTATAACATACCTATATTCGATATTACTCTTCTCTATCGTACTCCGAAATAATGCAGCCAAATCTGAGGTAAATGACGCGAGCATGACGGGCGAATAACGGCCTAGTAATTTCCCGCCTTCAATCTAAAGCACCAGAGTAAGGAATAGACCGAAGGACAAAGGACAAAGTCTTTCCCGGTACCTTGGAGAAGTCCATGAGCGAGTCCACCAAACGGCTTAACCGGGCAGCGTTGCGAGCCGCAAGTTGCAGATGATCTTTCACTTTCCGATTATCCACCGATCTGATAGCATCCTGAAGTGGGGCGGTAATCAGTGTGAGCGGAGTCCGCAGCTCATGCGATGCATTCGAGAAGAATGCAGTCTTCGCTGCGTCCAACTGAGCAAGTTGATTTGCGCGCTGAGTTTCTGCCTCTCGGCTGAGCACCGCCGTGAGCGCCGAACTAAGAGTCATCCGGACAACATCAATCCAACTCGCATATTCCCTATTGTACGGTGCACGAGTGTTGACGCCAAGGATAAGAACTGCCTGATCAAGTTCGCGTCCTTCAGCCGAGATGGGGATCACGATCGCATCTCGGACTGTATCGTTCCACCCACGATTTTTCCCGACACCTTCGGTCGCCGATAACGGTAAACTGGGGACGAGGATGGCTTGCTTCTGCCTTGACGCCTCGGCGATCCATGGCCTCCAATCATAGGCATCAAGGCTGTCCACTGTATATCTGGTTACGGAGTCTGAATCAGATGACCCGTCACCTCGTGATGAGGTAACGGTAGATCCACTGTCATCGGATGCATTGGACTGCTGCCTCCAGCATATATTACTGACTAAAGTAGAAAGAGATATACTGGCTTCCCGCTGTGATTTCGGGATTGTGTCAGAATTCGTCGCACGCCCGAATTCCATACGAAATTTTGAATGAGCGAGGGGGTTGCCAGATGACTTGGCTGGGATGCCGACAGTACCGGCGAGCTGCAAAAGCGCAGAGATCAACGGCTTTTTACTTCGTCCAGCTACCATTTCGTCATGATCCTTGACGGCCTCTTCCCTGATGTAGTATAGTGCAGCAAATGGAGCATCTACCTGAGTAGCACTGAAAACATCCAGTATTGCTTGACAGTACGCCTCGGTCGTCGAGGCAAGAGCTGAGCGCTCGCCTAAGTGTCGTAAGCATTGAAGACGGCGTTCTGCCATGACACGGCCCGTTGTCTCAAACGATGAATTCAAGAATCCCGCGATTTTTCCGTCGTCGCTGATTACAGGGACGTAGGACCAAGACTAGATGATCGTGATTAACCACCCTACTCCGCGAATTGAGAAGTGATACTTTGACGCACGTGGTAAGTCTCCTCGGGAAGCATGGCAGCCGTTAGTTTGTCAAAGAATAAAAGATCATCTTGCTTTGCTATCACGTTCCCTTTGTTCAGTACGCTATCAGCAAGGGGGCCGATCCTATACGTAAGGATTTCGTCATCTCATCTTTGGAATTTGAAATACTCGCTTACATTTCCCATATCTCCTGCCAGGCAACCGGTCCAGTCTGACCGAACATCCCTGGATGTTTCTTGCCACACATAGCCGCGTAGGCAGCATTGTAGATAAACACATACTCTTGACCCCACCAAAGAGCTTTAGGGTAGGGGTTATCGAGCATGTACGAGGCTAAACGTGAATAGTTGAAACCAACGCCCCATTAGACTCAAGTGTGCAACACGCACTGTAGCAGTGGAGAGCAACTGGCCACGTCTCTGGTGCGCCGAGGGCAGTTTCATGCCACGGGAAATTTTTGAAAAGCTGCTTGTGTTCTTGGATCATCTCCGGGGACACTCCGCTGTCAGCTGTGTGCAAAGGATGAAATGTGTGGTCTTGGTGATCGATTACCAAGGGTCTATTTCCGGAAGACTTGAGATCTGGGGTGGCGGAAATGGAGCGGGGATGTGGTATTCGCAAATTCACGGGAACAGGCAGTTGAATAGACTGCCTAGCGACCGGTGCAGCTGTGGATTCGGGTGTGCTGCTTGGAGGTAAAGGGGAAAGAGGAAGAGACGTAATAACCCATACCTCGTGCGGGACGGCAGTTTTAATCAGTTGCAATTTTACATGAGAGTATTCTGGCCGCGCCCATGACAGCACGAGATTGACGGTGAACGTAGGCTGACTCTCCTCATATGTGCCTCCCGATCCGAAGACCCAGAGCGTGAAGTGTTTCACGTCATCGACAGATCCGAAAAGCTCAAGCCAGCTTGTCAGAGCATGTGCTTTATTTTTCACCCTCAATAGTCTTCTGAAATGCTTGTTTGAGAGCGAAGGCTTCAAGGAAGGGCCGAGGTGCCCTACTGCAGGCTTCGCATCGAGAACGAACGCAGGATATGGGTACTTCAGGATGAAATCTCGAAGGTTTTGATCGGACATCGGCGCCCTTGCCTCGCTAGGAGGCTCACACCAAAGGAAGGCTGGAGGATAACTTCGAAAGCGGGGAAGTGTAATTAGGTTATATACCCAAATTCCAGACCCGCAATCGGGAATTGCCGATGTTGAATCCTTATTGGGTGATTCGGCTCCACTTCAAAATACCTGACCACAGAGGCATTTCGTCCAGCGTCAACGGCTCGGACACACCACAAACAAGTTTCAGAACCGGTACAAAGTGGAGGGAGGGCTCAGCGGCAATCATTTGTGAGGTGAGTAGCCTTGTCATCGGTGGCTCTTCCGACACAATTTTGACTGCATCAATCTGGTGAGATTGTCACCAGGCTGTCCTTTCCCTTCGCAAAGTACTATGCTGGCACTTGCTACTGCATCCCAGCCTTTCTATAGTCGCCAGTTGTCTCAGAGCTGGCAGCCACGGAAGGACAAGGAGATGAGAAGCGGTCTCAGTACCTCACGCCCAAATCTGTTTGTAAAGACTGCCTCGGCGTCGCATACGCCACCACCGAAAAGTTCATCCAGCTTCCGTAAAATCCGCCACACCCCATCTCATTCTCAGCCTAGTATTCACGAGTCCCCAGTGACGGCTAGTGCACCGCGTACGCCAGCTGGTGCTCCTTCTAATCATCATTCATTGCCTCCTCGTCCGTCAATCCCTAATCCTCCCGTTACAACACAGACAAACACTCCTCCAGCTTCTCCTCCTCATCTTGACATCGCGACATACCCATCCACTGAACTTTTGAAACTCCTAGCTGCTTTGCTACAGCAGATTGCGTCAGCGAATGATACGCTTCGCAATACTAATAACGATCCGCCTCACAACTCGCTATCCATAGTCTTGGAGGGTAGGCCTCATGGGTCGCCGTCTAGCCCTTCCGGTCACGTTGTTGTCCCAATGCCTCCCGAACCATCCGCATTTCATGCCCGGAACATTCCTACCATATCAATCGAATCGTATTTATTGCGCATACTGAAGTATTGTCCAACGACTAACGAAGTTTTCCTGAGCTTGCTTGTGTACTTCGATCGAATGTCACGCTCTTCATCGAGTACAAGTGGTGCCCCTAGCTTCGCCATCGACAGCTACAACGTGCATCGCCTCATCATTGCCGGTGTCACAGTGGCAAGCAAGTTTTTCTCCGATATCTTCTATCTCAACTCTCGATATGCCAGGGTAAGGCTTCCGCAGACGTCCTCGTGTTTGGCATGTTCTGACGTCCAGGTTCCTACACGCCCAGGTTGGTGGACTCCCACAATCGGAGTTGAATCGCCTGGAGTTGCAGTTTCTTCTCCTAAATGAATTTAGGCTTCTCATCACTCCAGAAGAGATGCAACGATATGCGAACCAGCTCTTGCTCTACTCCACTACTCTTCATCCGCAACCACCGTCACTGTCACTCCCCCCTCCCATCGCCGTCCCCGAATCACGGATATCCGCACCCGAACGCAGTTTGCCTACTCCTAATCCGTCTCCTAGTACAAATGGTGCCCCAGGACGGGAGCTAGTTAGCACCACTCCTTCACAACAGGAGTTGTATGATGAAAGTTCTGAAGGTGGCTATGGAACAACAGACGACGAGCCCACGATACGTCCAGATGATTCTTCTGGCTCATCCATCCGTACCGTGTCATCTACGGCTACGTCGCAAGCTACGACTCCCGCCATGTCTCCAGCTAGACGTGCGTCAAGAATTAGTGTAGCCTCGCGAGGCTCTGGGATCAGCTCTTCCGCCCAGGACGACCTGGCTCAGATAGGTGGGGATGACGACGATGCAGACACAGATGGTGAAGGTGAAGATACAGACGATGAGCACGTTTACTGCACCACCAGTCCTTCAGCCCGGATCCGACAGTTACATCGCAATATCCCCCGTCAACCTGAGGACTCCCAGATGTCCAGTCCGTAAGCAGGGACATGCGTTGAATAGAGTTTGTGTGTGCGGAGTTAATCTGGGATGGTGCTTTTGTCTCAGTATGTAGGTGGCTTTTCATGCGTACATTGAAATTTTTTTATCTTGTTTCGTGCTTCCTTCTACACCTTCATACCCATCGTGTAAAACTCTTCTAGTAGCATGCCAATTCTTTAGACGGCGTATTTCGAAGTTCTCTGTTATTTCTTTTTTTGTGGTGATTGTCCTGATCGTGTACACTAGTCAAATTTGATGCCTCACCTTTGTTTCCGGTTCCGTCGACTGGGATAGATAAGTTCCACTTCCCCAGCATCATGTCTTTCAAGGCGTTACGGCGCTCCCGCGATGCCAAAGCATCGGCGATCTCGCCCCCAGTGTCGGCAAATCCTCTTTTATCACGTCCGCCATCGGCAAAAACATTCACTCCGAAGAAAGTTATTCGCGCGATCGATTCTCGCAGAACAACAAATCCACAAGAACTCTCCTTCAGTGCCGGGGATTTTTTTTATGTCGTAAGTGAGATACAGCTGGTCAAGTAGGTGATAGCATACGGCAGCACATCAGTTCTGCCACCGCTCACGCGTTCCCAGTGGCGAGTGGTATGAAGCCCACAACCCTGTCACCGGATCGAGGGGTCTCGTCCCCGCAGCCGCATTCGAGGAACTTTCCAAGCACCATGGAGCAAGGTAGGCATCCCGCCATTACTCAGGGAATTCTTGGTCTCGAACTTACACGCTCCTCGCAAGCAATCCTCCAAGCCAGACGACATTGTCCACTTCAGCCCCCTTCCCCCAGCCCCTTCATTCTGTCCCGCCCATTGGAGCACCGCCCATCAAGAGAAAACACCAGACCTTCTATGCTATTGTCCAGTTTGACTTTGTCGCTGAGCGACAAGATGAACTTGATGCAAAAGCTGGTGAACCTATCTCTGTTGTTGCACAATCAAACCGCGAGTGGTTCGTGGCGAAACCTATTGGCAGATTGGGTGGTCCGGGGCTCATACCAGCCGCGTTTGTTGAGTTACGGGACCCTGCCACAGGCCAACAAATGTCGGAGGAAGAGGTAGCAAGTGTAATGGACCGAGGGCTACTGCCTAGGGTTGACGAATGGAAAAAAGCGACCATGGAGTACAAAGCCAGTAGTATACCTCTGGGCGTCATCGAAACTACGCAGCCAGTACCCTACAGTCCCTATGCCCCCAATGGTTCATTCGCCCAAGCTCAATCGACCCATAGCAAAGCCTCCTTATCTCCCCCTGTAAGTGCACACTCACAACCACATGCAGAGGCCCAGGCGCAAGAGGAAGAAATTCTTCCACCCGGAATACTTACCTCCGCCAGCATTCCCTCATTCCATCGGGAATCAGGAGAGTACTGGTTCCGACTCAATGTTGAATTCCAGCCTGATCCAGTAATGGAGTCTTCTCTTTACCCTCTGCCTTTGTCGATGGTTCTTTATCGAAACTACGATGATTTCTATGCATTCCAACTGGAGTTGTTGGATACCTACCCTGTGGAAGCTGGGCGGAAGAAGCGGGATCCATATGGCCCCCAACTGACTGAGGATGATCGAATTCTTCCGTATATGCCTGGACCAGTTGGCCATGTGGATGATGCTGTCACGGCTGGTCGACAACATGACTTGGACATTTACGTCCGCGAGCTAGTTCAGCTAGCTCTGCCACACAATGGAGCAGAACACATCTTACGCAGCGAACTGTTGAGACGGTTCCTCGCTCAGAAACCAGGCGATATCATCTTTCCCTCTCCCAAACACTCAGGAAATTCGGCGAAAACTGTGCAGTCATCAGGAGACATATACCGGGGAGTGGAGAACCTGAAGTTGGAAGACGAGGGTTATGCAGAAAATCCAAGTCCAGACAGAGGCTCTCATTATTCTGATGATAGGGGTAATGGGGAGGCTACCGAAATGTACCCTGTAAGTATCTTTTGCCAGATAGCTTGCAATCATTAACGTGGGCTCATTCCAGAACTCCAATGTGGTCACGCAACATCGGAATTCTTCTTCGTCTTATGCACCGTCTCACATCTCCCATCCCCGCTCCGCTATTCCTTCTCACGGACGATCACCTACCGCTTCGTCGATCGCACTCGACGGCCCAGGTGGACAGACATTCCCTGCCTTCCTCAAAGTTAAGATTTTCCACTCTTCGACGGATGATCTAATCGCTATACGCGTTTCTCCACGCGTTACATATCAGCAACTCCTCTCCAAGGTCAGAGATAGGCTGGGTGCAGATGTTACCGAGCTGAAATACCGTAATGAGCGTTCTGCAACCCGTGGTGAAAAGGGTCTGACCTCTATTCACGGAGACAATGAACTCAAGGAATGGGTAGCAAGAAACTCAAAACTCGTGCTGTACGCATCTTGAACTTGAGGGCCAAGATGCGGGACTTCGTTTCTTTCGGTCTTTCTCAACTTGGTATATTTATGTATTCACGTTGCTTGTGTCGTCCTTGAATTCCCCTACCGACTACATCTGTTGTACTAACTGAAGTTGTTTCGTTTGAGGACCTTGTCATTGTCCACTTCCGGGTCGTCGCGGTTTCCCCTTGTTCAAATTAGTGTTAGCGTGTCTGCCATTTAGTACTGTTCATCATTATTGTTATTGTCTGGTTCACAAGCTCTCACTAACGCAGCGATGGTGATGGTAGGGGTTTGGCTGTGTTGACAACTACAAGAGTACCTACAAGTCTTCCCTGGGCAAATTAGATTGCTGAAGCTCGGAATCAGGCCAGCAAAGCGCTGGCGTTGTAGCAACATAATGATACTCGCACTTCTCAGGCTCGGACACGCTGAGAAGTGCATTTTCGGTGCCGCATGACAACTCTACCTGATGGTTCGTTCGGTTGACAGTCAACACCGTACACAAACTCATACTCACATGAACGCTTCGCTCAGGTCCGTTCCAGCACCTAGCGCCGCCCTTGTAGTTCTGTTGTGAATAGTAAATCTGGGTGCCAAAAGCAGCGGAAGGCGACTCATTCCACGACGAGAACGAGCTATGGAACAAGCTTAAAAACATCGTGTAGAGTGAGTGTCCACGAGCTCACCCTAAATTATTGCTTCCTCCGTTACGAGACTTTTGATGAGCTGAATCAAAGAAGCACAGGGAGTATGTATAACTTGTGCCACAGTAAATCAGCGAACCCAGATCGGGTGGCACCGAGAAAGCACCTACTCCCCAATATCCTTTTCGATGCACTCTCCATCCAACTTCTTCCATTCTCCCTGTTTTCCGAAATGCGCGGGGTCAAAAAGTTTGTCAAGGTCATCTTCATTCTGCTTCAGTTGGTCTTGTGATTGTCTAAGAACGTTCAATGCGGACTGATGGGTAGCTCTATGCTTATCGACATCAATTGCTGGAAATCAATCAGTGCTGCGGTAGTGTTATATCCGTGAGAGGCACTTGCCTCCGGCTGTTTGAAGGGCACCCGCGTTGATGATACTAAGGGAGTGAAGAGTATTAAGAAGAGTTCGTTTTGCTGACTCGTACAACGGCATGAGGGAGTCAGGGATATAATTTTCGATAGAGAACACTGGGACACGTTAGCAAGAGGCGCAAACAAAATACACTACCTACTCACGAACTTGAGGAATCTCTTCCCTGGTAGATCCAATATGCCTTTCATGATCGAGCAAAGCCTCCAAGGCATCGGTGTCCCTCAAAATGCGAATGCGGTCGTCATTCCAAAGATCTTCTGTTCCTTGGTCTTCAAGAGACGGAACTCCCTCTTCCGAACCCCTGTTCGCCTCACTGACTTCGGGGGCTTCAGTAGTTTCACTGCTTTCAGTAACCTCGCCGGCCTCTTGCGAAGGCTTCAGTGCATCCCACCCACGAACCGCCTCAAGAACGGCCATATCCTGATAGTTGGGATTGTACCCGTTTTTTAGATTGACAAGTATGGTTTCCAGCGTATTCAGCCGTTCTCTGAGTTTGTCCTCTCTCGCCGAAAGGGCGCTCAAGGCAGAGACGTAATCTTTGAGGAGTCCGTAGGTTGCTGTTTCAAGAGATTAGCGCATCAATGTCACCGGCGGCAAGGCAGCCTCACTGACATGACGTTTTCCTCGTCTCTATCATAGCGGCACCAAGCGATTCGGAATGCTTCAAAATACCTGCAAGACTGCATGGGTGAAACGGACAAAGCAATTCGAATCAACTTAAGGCAGACCCAATAAACGAGCCTCCTCTGCTTCATTCCGTTCAACATCGGCCCTGAGCTTTTCGACAGACTGCTCCAGACGTCGTTTTTCCTTTTGGGCATGTGCTATGTAAGTCGAACGAATCTTGGATCCGGTCTTTCGTAGTTTCCGCTCAACGTCGGCGGCGCGTCGGTACTCCTCGCCGACTTGGTCACAGATATCAGGACACACGCCAAGAGGTTCATCAGAGCCATCGCAACACTCTGGCTCACATAAGCCATCGTTGACACGTGAACTGCGAATATCTGCACCAATGTGTCCTCGGTTCGCGCAGTGAAACCATCCGTTGGGACAAGCATCAGTCCCTTGGGGACGGATTAGCATTTAGAGAGAGAGCGAGTTAAAATACTTCAATACCTGGCTCATCTGTCCCATCTTCACAGTCACAATAATTGTCATTGACCGCAGAATGCAGAATCTCTTGGGTTGAGTTCAAGCACTTCCAACGTGGCGGTTTGGACTCTGGAATTGGTTGATATAACGCGACTTTCGATGAACTAACACCATTCAGTGCACTGCAAAAACATTCAGACAGTGAGATGAAAGCAAGTGAATAAAGTAGCAGCATGATTCTATGCACAAGCGCCAAACAGCTCCAGGCGTCTGTATTAGCACACAAAACCGGCATTTCCCGATCCCTGGTGACCTCCCTGACGAAGCCGGTCGTAACCAATGGCGGCCAGAAAGCTACAATGTCTGTCATATATTCACGCCTTGCTTGGTTAGAAATGCTCCTTGACATCTTCTGTTTGCAGCTGAGGTGGACCGGACTCTAAAGAAGGTTGCCGAGGGTGTAGAAATATTCGATGCAATATATGACAAGATGCAAGCATCGACAAACCAAACACAAAAAGAGAAACTTGAATCGGACCTCAAGACTCAAATCAAGAAGCTTCAGCGACTACGAGACCAGATAAAGTCTTGGGTCACCAATAATGACATCAAGGATAAAACGCAGCTTATTGAGAATCGAAAACTCATCGAAACGGTATGGTCTTTGGCTGTCTCTGTTTTGTGTGGCTTACTAATTCTCGACTCCTCAACTAGCAAATGGAGAAATTCAAGGCATGCGAGAAGGAAATGAAAACTAAGGCTTTCTCGAAAGGTGGTTTAATAGCGGCACTTAAGCAGGATCCCAAGGAGAAAGAAAAGGCCGAAACAAGCGCGTGGCTCGCTGCTCAAGTAGAAGAGCTCTCGCGTCAGATTGAAACAGCGGAAGCGGAGGTTGAGTCGTTGCAAGGCGGTGTCAAGAAGCGCGGAAAGGGCGGACCGTCTCTATCGCGATTGGAAGAACTGGAGACTCTGAACGAACGAAGGAAATGGCACATATCGCGCTTGGAAATAGTCTTGCGTTTGCTGGAAAATGGTGCATTAACGACAGAGAAAGTCCTCGAATTGAAAGAAGACATATCGTATTTCGTCGAGAGCAATACGGTCAGTGTTTTTTTTTTGCTTGTGCACATAATATCTTAGCAATCCATTCTTCAGGAGGAAGATTTTGAGGAAGACAGTGGCATATACGATGAGCTCAATTTGGAAGCCGAGGAGGCGAATTTCCGAGTTGGCGGGGAAGAACAGTCAGATGACGACGAGTCGGAAGGTATGCATTGGGGTGACGGATGGCCATGAGGAGGTTTATGGATGAATTTATTTAGGCTCAGTGCCGTCGCGTTCACCACAAAAAGATTCCTCAAAGCCTAAGTCATCGCGAGAGGACGCTCCGCATACAACACGAAAAGATGATGTTTGTTGCCATCTTTCTTTTGAAATTTCCTGCCACACTTATCGCGTTAACAGCATAGTCCTGTGCTGAGGAAGGCGGCTGTCCCTATGCGAAGTGAGCGCCATAACCTTAGTTGGGGTGCAACACTCAGGATTACATTGGTTAGAAGCGACAACGGAATCGTCAAAGCCTCCGTCAATACCTCCCACTGCGAACTTTGCTGCAACCCCGATGTCAGAAGCCCTCAAAGCTAATTTGCCTCCGTCAGGTGCACCCGGCACCGCTGGGTCGAAACCAGCACTTCCCCCGATACGTTATGCTGCCGCCGTCGCGAACTCACACCCAAATGGGCCGGCTGCGGCGTCATCTCCAAGTGTATTAAAGCCACCGAATGGACATTTGAATGGCACCATGAATGCAACTGCCCCACCGGCATCGTCATTCCCTGCGCTCTCGACGCCAGCACTTTCCTCAGCAGCATCAGTGTCGGCTCAAGAAAATAATGCGCTAGCCTCTCCGTCGATAACGTCCTCCCCCATAGCTTCTTCGGCAGCGCCACCAAGCTTAATGAGTCGCTTAACGCCACCACCAGGTTCGTCTGGATATTTTGATAGCAGACAACAAAGCCCAGCACTGAGCACACGTGCACCAGACATCGGTAAGTGCGGACGGTTGACATGAATGGCTTCATGGCACTCACCCGGGTTTAGCCTCTGCCACATCGCCGAGAACGTCTACTTCGGCTGCTTCGCCTTTACCAAATGTGCGTGATATGGGATTTATCATACTCCCACTCTTATTTGCAACGAGATAGGATGCCGCTTCGCAGTCCAGTAAATCTACAGCGCCCCAGCCATCCGCTCTGTCGACCATGCGAACTGCCCCAGCTAGTGAACCAGCAAGTCAGCCACCAGGTTTACCCTCGGAGCCCTCTCCGTTACCCCAACAAGTTCAGCAAGATTCACGGCAGCAACAGAATTTAGCCACGCACCCAGTTGAGCCGTCGGCTTCACGAAAGTCATCGCCCGTTCCTCCGGTTCGCCAGGAGCAGCCTCAGCAGCAGCCCCAGTTGCAACCACAGTATCCTCCGGGGGTGCTTCCTATTCCTCAGCAGCTTCAAGATGTCGCCGGGACGCAGCAGCAACATCCACAGCAGCAATCCCAGCCATCTCAAGAGCAAATCCAGCAGCTACTACCATCGCAACCGGGTGGGCCTCAGCCTATCGCGAGAGTGCAGCCACCACAGCAGAGGCCGGCAGCACTACCGAGTTCGCTGGCGGACCTTGTCGCTAGCTTCGAAAGTGCGAAACAGAAAGGTTTGATAACCCGAGTTCTTAGACCCGCACCTGCGTCCTTCTCACGTTATATACAGCACCGACACGAATGGCAAACTTACATCAAGTTCAGAAGGTTCTTGAGTCCGGTTCGGCAGCATGCCGCAGCCGCGCGACACAGAGAAGTAGGCATTTATAATAATTGGAACTGAAGCCGTGTCGCTCACAGCAGCAACGCAGACCAAAATACTATGTTCCGAGGAATCCCTACACCACTGCTCCTTATTATCCTCAGCAACCATTGAGTTCAATGGACAACCCAGCCTTATATTCCCGATTAGAGCCTGAAACACTCTTTTACATCTTCTACTATCACGCAGGGACATACCAACAGTGAGAGGACCTGAACTTTGTTGTGGTCGCTTCTGGAGCTGACCATCACGCTTAGACACCTTGCCGCGCAAGAGTTGAAACGTCAATCTTGGCGTTTCCATGTCAAGTATTTAACATGGTTCCAGCGCCATTCCGAGCCCTCAAATATCACGGAAGAATTTGAGCAAGGCGTTTACGTTTACTTCGATTGGGAGAGCAGTTGGTGCCAGAGGAAGAAGAGCGACTTCCGGTTTGAGTATCGTTATTTATCTGAGGATTGAAGACGTTTCCCTCTCCACCGCATATATTTGTTTTTTCGTTTCCTCAGCATGCAGGCTTTCGATCCTATAACTTCTAAGGCAGCCGTTGCCTATTTCCTAGTATATTCACGTTCTGTATATTAAGTTTTCAGAGCACAAATTCGTACTTTCTGAATCCCAAATTCCCAGCCGGAATTCAGGGTATTCTTGCATGGTTCCGGACGGAACTATCGATCTATGTGCCTAACGTGCCCAGGCGCAAACAGAACCAGCTGAATTTTGCGGTTGACGTGACTGATTCTACCATTTAGTTCATCCGCTGGGCGGAAATCAGCCCTTCCGACTGAATCCAATATGCCTATCATCTCGATTCTGTTAATGCACTGTATCCCCTTCTGAGATCCCACCGATGCATGGCCTACAATGCCTATCCCAATGAGACGGAAAGGCATGCATGAAACACACTCGTCCGTGGCATTGTTTACAGTAAATGGTTCATTCTTCCTTTCGAATCGGAGTGGATATTGTACTGTTGCTCTGCAACAACGTCCTCGCATTGACTAGCTCGGCCGAAGGCAATCTCGCCAATCCCGTTTGTTTGAAAGGTGGCATCTGCCTACCCGCTTCCTTACAGAGATCTTGGTCCACTAGAGCCTCATTTCTGTCAAAGAACAAATCCACTTCACCTCCCCCGAAGAGTTCTGGGTAGTATTTCTCCCACTCAGAATCACCCAACTCCAATGTGGCGCCATGAGGGACGCGTTCGTCCGTTTCTGTTGACGTTGGTATAACATTGGGTTCAAGCTGAATGCTGGTGACTGTCCGGGCTTCCGATGACCCAGATGATACGGACGCCCGCGGCTCCGCATGAAGGCTCTGAGGCTTCGAAGGGGGTTGTTGTCCTGGTATTGAGTGCAGGCCGGACTCTAGAACTGCAAAATCCATCGACTGTAACCCAGTTCTGGAGTCCCTGAACATGAGTGTGAGTTTTCGGAGTTGGTGGGTGCGAGAAAACTGCCCGAAAGATGAAAATTCGGCCTGCGATTTTTCCAGTCCAGAAGGACCAAGTGGTGATGAACGTCCCTGGAGGCACTCATTAGTGGAAAACTCTTGCGTAGGAATGCTATCCTTACTGTTCCAGGCGGTGCGAGGCTTCGAGGCTTTATCGCAGGTTCTAGATCATCGACGTTCTCGACTGATATGTTCTGTAGATCCTTCCAGACCACATGTGCATGCTTTGTTGTTCTAGAAAGCATAATACGCCCGTTAAGCTGACTTGCCCATGAAAACCCTAATAATGCCTCCTTTTGCCGTTCGCAAGTCCCATCTCGTACTAGATGCAACGGTGTCCGGGCAAACCAATTAGGATAGGGTGGGCAGAATAAGTTTTCCCAGACACCATGAATAGCTTGGCTACCGGGTGCTGTTCCCGAAAAATGAGGGAATCTTGGGTATTTGAAGGCATCCCATGGGCTGTCATCCCCAGAAAATACGTCTGTAACGTTGTTGATGACCAAAACACATAGACTGTGCTCGATAGCCAATCGCCGCAGAAGTTGCGCGATCTCAATGAGGACTTTTGCCCGCCGTCTCCGTCCAGCTACTGTGTTTTCCTCTAGTTGTATGAGGGGGGTAATGAGTCGATGACCACTAGTTTCAATGGCGAACCACTGGGCAACGATTGCCCAGTCGCCAGCGCAGGCAAGTCCCGCGACAACACCCGAATGAGTTCATCGTCCGATTCAACTTGTCTATGCCACACTCTTGAGAGAACATCATCGTCTGACTGGATCCAGAAAGTAGGAAAGGTGGGAGGTGAGGGGTTGGGTTCAATAAGAGATGCAAAGACCGGATGATGATGGAAAATTTCCATCAAGCGTTCTGTCCGCATCTCCAAACTTGAAGATATATAACATGCGGACCTCTCTATTTTGTGAGAGCTCGGGTTCAACAAAGCCATTAGGCACAGCTGCAAAGCAAACTGAGTCTTCCCCGAGGAACTGGCAGAAGGTCGGAAAGACGTGAGACATGTCGAAGGGCTCGCCCAACATACCTCTCTCCAACAATCTCCCATATCTCTCCTGTACGCAAACCCCCGCATCCTAGGAATCTATCTATAAAGCCATCCCCTGTTGAGAGTACCTCGGGCATATCACAGTGCAGAGGCTCATCTCCTCGAACAGGGGCTGGTGCGATTGCCCTGCCGACCGCTTGAATAATGGGCCGTACATCCGTTATTCCCAACTTTATAGACAACTCTTTCTGTGGCATTGCGAAAAGACTCAAAGTGTCATGTATACCCGCTGTCAACTTTCCCCGTCAAATGGTGTCATCTTACTCGCAGAAACTGGAAATGTGTACATGCCATTCCTCAGGGCTTTTTGCGTCTCAAGGTCAAGAGTGTCCATATTTCAAGAGCTATGTAACGGATGCAAATGCACTGCATTGCCAATCTGCGACAACGGGTGTCTCCTCATTCCTCATGCCTCCCTTAACCAATGGAGATGATGAAAATGGGAGCTCTTTCCCTAGGACGCCCTCTTCAAGCTCCCTTGTGAATTTGACATCATATTTCAACAAGGCATTCGACAAGGACACCGATGATTGGCCAGGACTTACCCTGCTAGATACAGTCGAAACCTTCTTTGACGCTCGAATAGATCTGTTTGAGAGGAATCTGAAGAAGCAGAAGGATCGTTTTCAGCTAAGAGCCAAAGCTTTAGCTAAGCAGAAGATACGGCCAAATACTGAGGAGTTGGATAAGGAACTCCAAAAGTTTAAGACCAAAGTGCGCCCCGTGTGGATTATTCACGCTCTATTTGGCGTTGAATGTGTCTTAGGTATCGAAGCGGCTTGCGGATTTGTCGGAAGCATGGCACTCGACAAAAGTGGTCAGAACCAGAGACAAATTGTCATTTTTCTTCGGAGTGCGTATATGCTACTTTATCATTTTACTGAGCCTGCGAGCCTTCATATTTCGCTTGTCATGCTCTCAAGGTGATGAATGTTATGGGCACTTCCCTTCTCTTTGGTCTTGCACCAGAATGGCTACACGTGGTGTACACTATTCAAGCAGTAATCTGTATCCCATTCAGAGTGAGGCAGACGCACATTCTCAGCCTTATTCCGTCAACACTGATACTGCCTTCCAGTTTTACCAGTACCGTAAAAAGGCAGGTCGGCGTACCTTCATAATCATATATATACTAAATACAATTCCAGGGCTGGGGATACTTCTTGGCAGATGTGAGCTCACTTCCCTTTCGCAGAAATATCTAACTTTTTTGGCGTAGCTCTGCTACTTTGCGAATCTTCTCTGCCTGCTGTACCTTTGGGTCTTTCCCAGCAGCGTGGAACTCTTCATGGCCTCCTATTGTCTCACCCATGGTTGTTTTCGGACCTCCTCAGGTCTCACCACCAAATCACTCACTTGCCCTTTTCAGGTTCACTGGCCACTGCCGTTATAACATGGCGTAATTCTCTCGTGTTCCACGATTACGATAAGATGGTGTCCATGTTCATCCATATCTACCCTCCTCTCGTGTTTTCCACCATACGGCACTTCGAGCGTGGTCGGATACCGGACTCGCGGTTTCCCGCAGTCCATAAGCTGAATCGCATGCAGCCTGTGCGGGCTCTCGTTTTTAGTAGTGTATTCTGTGCGTCCCTGATATTCCGTTCGTGCGCAAGTCACACTAATCGATCCGTGCACAAAGACATACTTTGGCAAGGTCTTTACTGGAAGTTCCTACTGGTTGATCGAAAGGAGAAGATTGCATCTGGTAGATAACCCAGCTCTTGATAATTTGATCAACTCACCCACAGTACCCAAAGGACAACGAACTACCTCGTTGACTTGGCTGCTAAATGACAAGCATGGCCCAATTGGTAGGATGTTGCGTGGCGTTCGACCAGAGTTCCGGGAAGGAGCGTTCATGCTTGGGTGAGACCAGCCATCGTCTTGTACGTTCTTTGATTCACTCCACAAACTCTCAGGCAATTTGTCTACTCTATCATCACCGAATTGCCAGCAATCTTTATTCTTTATGACAGTGCCACTTGGAGCGGTGTTTTCCTCATGTTCATATTCGCCGTGAGTGTGTGGAATGGCGGGGGTTTCTATATCGAGGTTTTTGGCCGCAAGTAAGTGGTCTTCACAACCCCATCAGCCCGAATATCAAGCTCCGAGTAGGTTCGAACGCGAGTTGGAAGCACTCCGCAAGGAGATTGCCCAAAGCTCTCAGATACAACCAAATCTCTCTATGCCGTCGCCTTCTACCCCCGCGTCTTCGCTGCCAGGTTCGCCCCAAGTGGTAGTTTCTGAAAACCATGAAGACTTCCGCGACGAAGAGGATGGTTCGTTGGACTTTGTTCAAGCAAACGTTCACACAGTCATCACCAATAATGTCAACACCTCTCTGGTGAAGCCACGGGTTTTTGTTGTTGCGAGTGATTCCACAGCCCCGGCCCTTCGTGACTTGAATTTACAGGACTCTTCGATGAATGAAGAAAGCAGAAAGGACAAGTAGGCCTGGGCTTCCCCTCATCGGAAAGAGTATGCCCTTTCCCTGCTGAACTGTTACCCCTTATACCCTTGATAATAATAATTTTGATTCCTTAAGTCTGATGGATTCTCTAGACACGTATATAGTTACTAATGCCAGTGCGTATTTATGAAGGGAAGTCGCGAAAGACACTATTGTATCATTCGGTTATGCCGCGAAACTTATGGTGATATTGTATTTTGGAAGAACTCACGGGGCCCAACCCGACCAGGCCTCTCAAACGAGTCGGAGATAAACTTTAAGGAGCCGGAAAGACCACTTCGTTCATTCAGCGTCACCTGGGACATGGGCTTGCGTCTCAGCCTCCAAGTATCATGACAGGAAGATGTTGCACCATGATCTAGAAACACCCGTTTTGTGCGGGAGCATTGACACAGTCATGGTCGAGGCACAGACAGACAAAGCCCTCATATACAACCAAGTCCAGAAGCGGGTCGGCGATGAATCAAATGATTAAGTAACCAGCAGCTGGAAAACCCCATTAAATACGCGCCCCATAGTTCGGTAGCACTTCCAATGCCACACGTCTGACATTCATCGTGTGCTATAAGGTCACTGGCTGGCCGAAGAATAACAAGGAGACACAGTTAGCCCATGAAGTTAAGTCTTGGGGGTTTGTAGTGCAAGACATACCCAAGTGGCGGGAGCGGGTCCTACTTTAGTAGGGGCTGGGATCCTGCCTAGTGGCGGGCCCTGCGATTTGTGATCAGTAAACGACACAAGACATACGTCTCTCCCCGTATCGCAATTCGTACTCTATCAACACCACTCCTGCTGTACAGTACATTTTTTTCCGCATACAATACTCCGGGAGTGGTGATGGATCTATCTTATTACCCCGCAGCCTCGTTGTGACGTGGCAGTGCGGCTATCCCACTGTGGCGTACATGAGGTAGCTGGGAGTGGCTGGTTTGTTCCGGGAGTAGCACGCCACGATGGTGGAACCTATGGCAAGAATTTGGGTCTTTTTCCAAACAGACTCATTAATTGTCGCCCTGCGACGCGTCAAGCGCCGGCACTGAACATGCGGAATCCGCCTCGACTTTGCACGACGGTTCTGCCGCAACGCATATTAGAATTCTTGGGATCGTAGCGTACGCTGAGGCCAACTCACGTTTGTTGATGTTGAGTCTAGCGGCACTCATGATCTACTCTTGTTTCCTTTCTCGGAGCAGTCGCTGCCGCCATTGATAGCGCCTGACTATAAAAACACGAATTTTTGGACCTTACGACTTTTCCTCAGTTCACGTACTACGGGACTGAGCGGGAACATCGCTAGTCTCCATAGTCTTATAACGCATCTGTTTCAAGGAAAACTGGCGTTGATGAATTCTGAGCCCATGTTTCTGGCCGTCCATAGAGTCCCTGAGGTTCCTCTTGCCACATCATCGTTAATTCTCTCCCATCAATGCGATATAAGTATGGAGCCCCAAGCATCTCGGATTGGGATGCGGTACAACCCAATCTTTTTGTGACCCTCTGGCACACCCCGCCGAAGTTGATACCACGGGGCGTCTCAATGAGAAAATCGGAAGGTTTCGTTGGATCACTGCGCCCGGCTGTAGGCCTCCTGATAGGATCCAGATCGGATCTGGGTTGGAACTGTTCAGATTGGGGTAAGTTGAAGTAACTGAACAAGTTGCACCAATATTACAGATCTGCCGGTTTAGGCTCATTGTTATCCCAAATCCAGGTCCACAAGTTCAACAGGTTTGTAGACCAAGCCAATCCCTACTGGGCTATCGTTGGTACGACGAAATATCGCAGCATTGGGAGTATGATGGACGGCCTGCGCGAATAGAGGCTGGTAACCTGCCTACTGCGCGAATGCCCTCGGTGCGGCTGATGATCCAAATTGTCAACTTTGTGGCCGTGGGGGAGTCAATTTCAGATTGGCGGAGGGTACCAACGGGATAGCCTATCGGGTAGGACCCAGAACACAGGACAGGATGGCGGAAAGGTTTCCTCACAATCCTGACATACGACCCGAAGGCGTAGTCAGCTAAATCGTAGAATATCTGCTTATCGGATGTGTGTTGGGACTTGCCTAGATGCTCTCTTGCGTTTAAGGTACCGTTAGAGGCACCCAACTTGCCACCCATTGGTCGAATCCCCAGATACGTATGTTGAAGGGCTCTACGTCTCAATCAAAGCGTGGAGGCTCGAAGGAAATGGCCGCACGCCAAGCTTTACCTATAGCAATTTGGTGTTCTGATCGTAGGCATGCCCAATTCCCGCTCCCCGAGCGCTGGGCCAGGTAATGACGTCCAGAATGTGGGCACCGTGTTCCACCCATGAATATGCCACCAACTGAATTAATAATAAAAGGTGCTCTACGTATACATTTTCAACCATGCAGAGCAAGCATGAGCATGAAGTATACACGTCATGCTTATTTTTTCCGGCCCGAATTACTCCCCCCGCCTCCACCACTGCCACCACCACCAGAGGACGACGCTGAAGCACCGAGATTGATGCCGTGCAATGCAGCCCAATCCTTGAACATCCAGTCTATACTTCGCTGAAGTTGATGCTGAGGAAGTGTACTGATGAGAACACCCAGGTGATCAAAAAGTTTCGTTGAGTCATCTCCTGCCTTTTTTGCGTACTCCGCCAAAATCTGGTACAAGCCAAGTATCGCAGCACTGAGAGGGGTATGGTGGCCAGATTGCATGAGGGCCATCGATGAACCCGAAGAGGCGGGATCGATTGCTGGGCTCCCCGATAGTGAAGACATATTTGTCAAGGATGATGTGGACGAGACAGGAGGCTGCATAGAACCCCGCACAACACGAAGCAGGATGTCGAAAAGATTTTCTGCGGAGACTGTCAAGTGCTCCTTGATGAACCGACGTCGATTCTTTCCAACACCAACCCCCGAACTTGCAGCCCAATCACCAAGGATAGTATGTATGACCTAACTCAGGTAGTCAATTACAACATATTGGCAATAATTACTGCACACTCACGGGGTCGGGGTCTGTGACCTTAATCTTCCCGCTCCACACCTCGCGTGCATCTGATCCTTTCTTCGTGCGTGAATCAAAAACGGCCGAAAGCCATTCCTCAATATCACCAGTTCTGACCCATTTGGGTTCTGACAACGGTTTCAGCCGGTCAAGATAAGCGGTGAGATTAACGACAGTGGGGGCCACTTGAAGTAACGTAGAAAAATCTGGAAGTGTGGGATCTGCGGACTTGGCAGGGTAGGCAATTGGTACGTATTCCTTCGATGTCTCTGAAAAGACTTCAACCTGGATTAGTAAGCAGAAGGGATGAAAGGTAGCCAAGTCGCAGAACATATGTACGACGGGAGAGCATGTGTATGGGTTGCGCGGTTGAGTACGATGAAGTATGATTGAAAAAAATTCAAATGGATAGATAATCATATAGGTCAGTTCCCCGGGTAACAACACCCCGTCAGGGCGGTGCTTTGCAAAGCTAAGAGATGGGTACTCGCCAGAATACCTCGACAGCGCGAGGGGACTTGAGTAGCATCACTACTCGAAATAAATTTCTCATCACAATGGCCACTTTCGGCCTCTGGGGTGTCATCTGTGCTAGAAGCTGCGGGCGCTTGGCCACAAGCCTCGTGAAGGGTTGTATTCTCGACAGCAACAGTATCTGAACTTCTTTCAGAAGATCCATTATCGTCCATTTTATAGCCTTTGAGCCCTCCCTCTCCGGTGGGGGTGTCCGCATTGTCTTCTGCGCTTTCTGCGGCAGGTTGGGACAGCTCGGACACGCTCATGATATTCGCGGGAGTCGCGGCAGGGTCTTCATAGCGCTCCAAAACGAAGCTTACCTCAATCTTTCCCTCGGCACGATAAATCTTCACATGCTGGATGATTTCCGCATCCAGGACTAAACGTCTTGAACTCCCCGCGTAAGAGATAGATATACGATTCGGTGAGGGTGGTTTGACGGGGCAAATGACGGAAGGAGCTGGAGTGGTAACCCCGTCGGTTGGGGCCATCGCTGCCGTAGGAAACATTCCTGCTGATTGTACCGAAAGTGCAAAGCTTGCATCAGTGGATTCAATGGGCTGAGTCTCTTCCTGCAAAGTCTCGTCTTCCTCGTCTTCAGCAGTGAGCCCCACGTCGGAGTGCGGATCTATTTTCTCGGTTGGAAAATTGCCATGTTCAGGAGTTCGGGCACCAGGAGCATGCTCTTCCTCGACCCCTTGCCCATCAGTTCCGGTCCTTGAAGCAGCAGATTCCGAAAGAAGAGCGGCAGCCTCTAGTTCATCCTGCTTTTGTTCCGAACTCTCCGTCATGGGGGAGACTGGCCCGATAACTGGGTTCTGCTCGTCATCATATGCTGGTTCAGTGACCACTTGAGACTCCGGTATGGGGTCATCGTTCTCATCCATCTCTAGGGAATGAATAGATGGGGGTGCACCTTCGTAGTAGTGCTGGTCGCCACGCCGAGGTGATCCGGCGTACTCGGTTTCAGCCTCCTGCTCCCCAGACACGGGCTCAGCGGTGTTTATTTGCTCCGCCACACTGGTATTTTCGTCATCGGTAGCTTTGCGCTTAGCACCAATGCCGCTAGGAGATTCATGGAAAGTTGAACGTGGGAAAGACTCCTGGCCCGGTAGGGCAAGTGGATTATGAAGAGACGCAGGGTTGAGGAAAAGGGAATCTTGTTGTTGAATCTTTGTCGGGATAGGGAAGTTCTCGCCACAGTCAGGATCCTCCTTCTTCCGTTTCCCGCTCTCCTGTGGCTCGCCGTCATCAGCCTCCTTCTTCCGTTTCCCACCGCGGCTCCTGTCAGGGGCATATACCTGCGAGGGCTTGTCTTCTAGTTCAACTGGACTGTTAAAGTATATACGTATTCGAGAACTCTCAGTTGAAGTTTTGATCTGGGAAGGCTTGGCGATGGATTGCACTACGTGGATGGACGGGGCATGGGATTCGGTTCCTACTTCTGGCGCTGCAGAATTCGGGCTGGCGGCTCTCGAACCACGAGTCGATTTCGCCTCCGAGTTATCCATATCCCCTTGCGCGATCACCGTGCCCCACGCCCATCCAAGGAGCGGACAATCTACGCCAATAACCCTGAAGTCCGTCAAAGTCTTCTTGGAACTTTCTTCCCGTCTAGATCCAGAAAGTCCGTGGCCGTGTCTGGGGCGATTAAGATTTGCCAAAGATTGACCATTCGGTAACTGGGGGTTGAAAGAAGAAGAGGAAATACCGGACGTAAAACTAGACGACGAGTTGGAAGGCTTCAAGGAGTTGGAAGCATTGCGAAATGCTCCGCGACTCCCACCATCTACAAACACGGGCATCAGGTCATTCATGGTATGAACGAGACTTCGATCTAACTTACGAGTCGCGCCCCCCCTGCTTGCATTGGCCGCGCGGTTATTTGTGCCATTGACCAAACCACCTCGCGGTATGTTCCCACCACCGCGACTGTGGTGCCCACTGGCACGCCCCCTGGAAGATTGTACTGAGCCTCCTCGTCCTACGAAACTAGTCAGTAAAAAAGAAGCGAATCCAATGGTTAGCGAACCGGTTTTGAAGGGAGGCTGCTGGGAGGACATCCGTCCAGACTGGTTGTGAGTTGGTCCACTCAGAGGGAGTGGCGGTAGCGGAAGCGGGAGCGAGGGGTTAGGGGGCTGAGAGGTGGAGTAGAGCTGGGAGGCTGAGGGACAGAAGTGGAAGCACTGAGCGAAGACGATGGCCCGCCTATGGGACCACTAGGTCTCGCATTATCAAAACGAGGCCTCTTGGCGGGAGGAAAACGTTGGACATTGGTATTGTTCGGATTGTTGGCCACCGGCTGGTGGAGAGAGGGATGGTGAACATGTTGACGTGGTACTATCTGCGGCACTGTGGGATGGTTTGCGTATTGCTGATGAGCATGCATTACGTGCGGGGGATGTGAACTCTGTACAAGAGGTTGTGGCGGCTGAATATACATAATGGGTTGAGCTTGATACGCGTGAACTGCGTAAGGCGACTGGGCGTAGGCTGTCGGTAGGTGGCCGGTCATGGGAGATGGATACTGCTGGGGAGGCGGTAGTGGAGGTGCCATGGGTTGCTGTGGCGGCGGTGGTTGCCACTATGTTTGACAGACACTTGTGAGTAGATGAGAGATTTTTTGGAGATGCCAACATACACGAGCCCCATAGCCATAATTAGCATACAACGCCGCATGTTCAGGCTTAATAGTGGTCGGAGGGGCAGGTGAAGATCCTGCCGGAGGCGGTGGATGCAGGGGAAGAGAAGCAGCCCCAGGTTCTGCGGACGCGTCGAGTACCACATTTCGAGTTCAATCATCATCAAGCGAAAAAAAAAACAAGAGAGTACACGGAAACTCACGAATAGGCCTTTGTCCCTGTTGCACCCACGGAGGCTGTTGTCGAGGACCGGGGTATGTTGGATACGGCGGTCGACTCATCAGATTCCCGGTGGCGCCTGTGTTTGGATGTCGCGGAATAGATGAATGGCAATCCCTGCGCACAGCCACCTCGGCCTGTCTCTTGATCGAGACATATATCCATGAGCGACTTTAATGCGGTTATTGCAAACACATGTGTGAACGTTTGGCATAAATTTGAAGGAAAAGGATCTCTGCGCTTCCTAGAAAAAAGCTCACGTACGGTTTTTGCTGGGATCGTTCTCCGTGATGATTCAGAAACCCCCCCAAAGTTTCACTGCATCTCCATCGGGAGTGGGACGAAGTGCTTGCCGCAGTCTCGACTGACTGAAGAGGGAGATGCGCTACACGATAGTCATGCCGAAGTTTTGGCCCGTAGGGGAGCAGTTCGGTGGCTAATTGAGGAGTGGTCTCGGTTGAGCGACCAATCACCTTCTGGGTCTCTGACAAAATGGCTAATACGGGCACCTTCCGGCCTCGTGGCACTAAAAGACTCCGTGTCTATGCACTTATACGTCTCGTCCATTCCATGTGAGTCAAGGGGAGAGTTGCTGTGACGGATGCTTACGACATGGATAGGTGGAGACGCATCTATGCTAGCACTCGCGTTGGATCAAGATCCCACTGTGGCCGCTCTGAAGGATTCAGGGAGTCGTTCAGATGTCCAGGAAGGAACAGCTGTCAGAGGGAGGGACAATTACTTCGCATTCGGTGCTTTGAGGACGAAACCTGGAAGAGCCGACTCCATGCCTTCCATATCCATGTCATGCAGTGATAAAATTCTCAAGTGGGCGCTCCTAGGCATTCAAGGGGCCGTTGCCTCTTTAAGGTTCCAGCCTATGTATCTGTCGTCCATTATCATCAGCGGCGTTCCGGTTGGCAACAGAAACACGGCGGTTGGCGAATGCGAAAGGGCATTTTCACCTTATCGCCGCCTACAGCGTCGTATGTTTGCACCAAGCACCGTACTACGGGTGTCTGATTCTTCCTCAGCATTCGATTCAGCCTGGAAGTTTGAGCCCTTTGCCTACCATCGAGTTGAAATTGGTTTTACTGACGTCGAATTCCCTGCATCTCGTGGGGATCGTTTCTGCAACGAGAGTGAGTGGCAACAACGTGTAAACATCGTTATCAATGCACAAATCTCGGTACCAGGCATTGCATGGAACGCGCATGGACAACTAGAAATCCTCGTTAACGGACGGACCCAAGGGAGCTTAGGTGCAAGCAAACGTCGTAAACTGTATGTCTGCGCAACTTGGGCCATTAGCCATGGAAGGCCGCTGACACATTAGCATTAATTACAGACCAACTCTAAGTCGCGCGGCCATTCGTTCTCTACTTGGGGAATACAATTGGGTTATCACAAGGGAAGGAATGCGCTACAACGCCACAAAGCAGTCATCAAGCGCCTATCAGGCAGCTCGGGCTCAACTAATGGCTTCTGGTGGTCCATTGGAGGGTTGGATAGTTACTCAGGAGGACCGGAAGATATGAGTTCCTTTCAGACATCGTAGCCGCCGTCGAATACAATATTTATCTGGGCACAGGAACTAGAGGCTGTCATTGTCATACCTTTCGCACTTATCATAGTTTCCATCGCTTCCTCTTCAAAGTGCCATGAAAAGTCCGTTCCGCTTGCTCAAAGTTAACTATACCTCCGACCCCGGACTCTTCCAAAGTTGGAGGAGTTCTGCTGTCTGAATTAGGATTTGCCGATCTGCCATCTGGAAAACTAGTAGGTTCCGGCAGAGGATCTTCTGTGCCGTGCACCAATACACGGAGTGATTCTTGCAATGAAGCAGCATCCGCATACCTGGCCTCGAGTGAAGCTAGAGTCCGTGTTGGTTGAGGAGGTGCCTGCAGAAGCAAATGTGAGTCGGGACAGTCAGACAACCCACAAAACGGACAACGAACAGCGCTTTGGAGGAAGGTATGCTTCGGAGGAAGCTCAGGGAACTGCTTCGGAAGTTCGCGGAAATGCTTTGATATTTTGGCATCTGTCTTCTTGCCGCCGCTCTTCTTATTGTTCTTGTCCGCTTTAGCTTTGGTAGACGTAGCCCATTTCCCTGACTTTATGGTTACTTCTTCTCCCTCCCCTTCCTCAGATGAGTCCGAAGGGAGGAAGGACGGGGCCGAAGGAGCGCTTGGTGTTTGGCCCAGCGTTGGTACTTTCGACTTGACTGTTTCCGAGAGCTGAGGTCTTAGGCAATTCTTAGGGTGAAGCTCAACTCACAAGCCTGCTTTTTCTTTTTATGGGCGATTTGACGAAGGTGAGAAATTTCAACTCCCGCCTCCAAACATGCTGCAAGTAAATCGAAAGCATTGGCGTTGAGTCGATTTGAGACCCGAGCATATTCAAGGGCGAGAGTGTACATCTCCATGATATCTACCCAGCCACCAATGTATGGGAATTAGTCCCAGTTGCGAAACCCCTAGGCAAAGACGATCTCACATTGCAAAGCTGTACGCTCAAGTTCTTCAAGAACGGGCACAGGTGCAGAAGAGAAGCCAGCAGCATGCAGTTGAGCAATCACAGCGTGACGTAGTCCTACATGAGCTACTTGAGCAGTAACGGGAGGGGGACTTGGGGCTCTAGACGTCTTCGGCGTATCTTTTTCCTTGTTTGCCCCGCTAGTCATGGAGGAAGGGAACCTTATGTCGATAAAAATATGCATCAACAAACAACAAACGCCTTGCCATCCCGAAGTGCCAAATGCATGACTGTATACTCGTATAGCCCGTGGACATACAGCAGAAATGAATGCAGACCAAGGGATGCTCTTCATGGGAGGACACATAACACAGATATCATTAGTACAAAACAAGGACCTAAAGCATCAATTAATTGATGACAGTTTCATCCCCGAGCGAAAGGGACTGGCGCTTGATATGCGTGAACCTGTGGATAGATGGAATCGTATACTCACAGTGGCATTGTGTTTGCAATAGGAAACTTTGGGCTAGGCTGGAGCGCACACGTTTTCATTCAGTTGAATCACCTTGCTCGGAGACCGAGCCAATCTCTCCAGAATCAGTCAAGATATCATGTCTACTTACCTGCTGTCTCGTTAAGTACTCTGTCCATAGTATGAAGGTGTCGCATGTGGAGGTCACCGCTCACCAGCTTACATCATACTATCAACCATTGCATTGAATTGAGTGAAAGACACGGCCTAATATTATTCGAACGTTTGACTACCTTTGCTAAGCTGCTTCATCCCTTGTTTACTGGGGCGTCGCTAGCCAAGCAACAAACGACCAAGGATCAAGTCGATCGAAATCCTCGAAATCCCACGTCTGGTTCAATGGACAAGTCCACATGGGAGATGAACCGGCCAGGACGAGTGAATGGGTGAGTGGATGGCACCCTAGAACCAGGAAGGGGCTGAAACGGAGCTGATGCATTCAATGAACGGCTGGGGCAACAGGCACCAGATGATGGCTCAAGGGTCGCCGAATCAATGTTGAAAAGCCGCGCGAGCGGCGCTCAGAAGGCAGTAGTCCAAGCATTCCGGGCTGGCCGACTAATTCACGTCGATGATTGAGCGAAGCCTGTAGTTCAGCTGAAAAGAATGTTCTTTAGTCGCCATTAGGCGACACCGTAAATGTTGAAGCGGAACACGGGCACGTCCCTTATCTTTCGAAAGAGATTCACTGTAAGGGGCGAGATAAGGTGGCATCACCGGCGGTGGGATTGGGGGGAGATCACCCATGGCAGCTGAAAGTGCGCGCGTGCTCACTCTGGCAGAAACACGGGCCACATTTGCAATATGTTCCCTTTAATCCAGTGCGTGCGCAATATCCTCAGACAAGGATCCGCTAGATGATATCTCCACTAACAGTATGCGCGCTACCTAACCTGAAGCACCACCAATATCCAGGGCAACTCATAAAGCCCAACAAGCGAACACCGGGAAGACCCAAGGTTGTGCCAAAGCTCGAAGCTACTACTGGCTGATCGCATGCTGCAGATGTACTACATATGAGAACCACGCGTAGCGGTTTGCTAGGGCTTCACAACAGTGCAATTCGCTAGGATTTACAGGATAGTCATCTTAGGGCCTAAGTGGCATATTGTCCATGAATGACTACCCTGCCCATGCCTGATTCGACCAATGTGGATCAATATTCAATCTAGTCAATACTATTGGCTAGGAACCTTTTTTTGCTCGAGTCTCAGGCTCATAGAGGGGAGCTACCGTCAAGTTCATCCTATGTTCGTATGTAGATAGTTCATGTCACCATCGCCGCGAGAGTCGCTGGATCTGTGCTGGACTTCGGCGATGTCAAAGCATCGGCGTTCCACAAGCAACGCCAGTGCTTTGCCATCTCCGGGTCTGTTCGCAGCTTGAGCAGCGGCATATACGTTTATAAAGGGGGGGGGGGGAGTGCACGACGTCGAAAAGGCAATGGTTCTCTGGGCTTCCCCCTATTAACTCAGGGAGGCCCTCGATCTTCGTACGGGCTCGTGGGAATGAACAAACTGTTGAGAAGGATATGCGTTTTGGGGATGAGGGACTTGGATTATCTGTTCGGAACTAGACCGATCCGCATACACAATGGCTCACGATTTCTCGATGCATGTATATCAATGAGTTGCCAATTTCTGACATGATTCATCAGGTCTCCCTCTGCCTATTTTCATGTCTTGTGGGAGGTGAAATACTGTGATCAGTCTGTCACTTTTATCTGCTATCAACGTCGTGAAGACTCCAGATGGACGCACCGCCCCCGAGCCGTCCTCCTTTCCCCTCTCGTTCTCAACCTGTGCGGAGACCCCTACGCCTCAAGAAGTATGCTTGCGAGAGATGCGGCAGGAAGTTTGATCGACCCTCATCGAGAGAAACTGTTAGTAGGCATCATCGTTTTCATCGTCAGTAGTCTTTGCTTATCAAAAACAACCCAGCATTACCTGACTCACACTGGCGAGAAACGTTTGTTGCATGATGCGCCATTGTCTGTCCGCGCTTACCTGACGTTTTATGGCAGCGTATGAATGCCCCCAATGTGGGATGCGGTTCACAACGCCGAGTAACGTTAATCGTCATCTGAGAACATTAAGACATTCAAGAAGTCCCTCCTCGTCAGGCCAAGACAGCTCCTCGGACTCCGCGTCTCTCGGAGAAGGTTTCTCGCTGGAAGATGTGTTGACTCCAGAGGCGCAGGCATCCACATCACACCGCATGCCTTCAATGTTGGCGCATCAGCCAGCCGCGCTAACGTCCACTAATTTTGCCGATTGGAATCGTGGGGGTAATCCCCAAACCCCACCAAACTCTCTAACGGGTACCCTGCATGCTTACGCCCAACATTCCAACACGGTGAGGGGGACTCAGGTTGAGAATATCCCAGAATTACCCACCCAAGCGAGTTGGGGTGCGTTTTTCCCTCCCTCAGGGTCGTCTTCATCCTCGCTGTCATCATATCCAAATTACACCGAAATTCAGTCCAATTTGGGCCCAGGCCCCGTCGGCTCTTCCACTCATCTTGCAGGGCCCTATGTTCATACCGCTATGCACACGGTCGACGAGCGTGGTCGGCCCACGCTGACCTTCGGTCACGCTCACCCCAACACCAGAGTCATCCTCCTTATCATGTGGTGTTGCCACCCAATCGGATGGGTCTGTTAGAAGGCCAAAATGTTGTTGGAGAGTGTCTCCACGAAAGGGAAGCATTTCAAATTCAACACGATGCTGATGGCCCCGAGTTCTGCGCATTCGGCGAGCTGCCATCCCCCAGCAGCCATTTTCTTCAACCGAACCAAACCCAAGTAAGACATACATCTATTTGCTGCACACGCTCTCAACATAGTCTCGTCTGACAGTGAACTCGCGTTTTTGTGGGACATAACTGAATGAAATGTAGGATTGGTATCATGATAGCCACAGAAAGTCGTTATTCATTTTCCGACAAATTACAATTGTGAGGGTCAGCAATCAATTTTCACTTTGGTACAGGATGATCAGCATACACGTAACACAAATCTAGCCTGAACACGTGGATCGTTGTCATGTATTAGTCGCTTTCAGCATCTCGCTGCCCATTCTGCCACAGTTTTCCACACTTGGTTCTCCGCCTGGCAGAACCCCCGTATTAATAGCTGGGGTTGAGAAGATAATCGAGCCCTCGTCATTCCAGCTTCTGCAGGAATAATGAATCTCCCGTACGTGATATGGAGCCGGATACAAGCAGTCCAGAACACCGATGTCTGAATCGGGATCGCGACCAGAGCCGGGAGGTGTTGAACAGGGTTCTTGTGGGTGGCTAATCGCCCAACACGTAAAAGGGTTTCTATTTCATCTTGAGCCTTTATTGCTTGTTTGTCGAGTGAGGTTTAATGATATCGGGGGTTGCAAGGATACAATAATTGGTCGCTTTGTCTGGACACGAGCGGCGCCGTTAGTGGAAGCGATGCCTTTGAAGGCCGTGAAAATCAGTCGGCATTCTGGGCGCTGCTGTTTGACGTTGTCCGCTACCTTGCTCCGGGTCTGAAGTAAGAGCAAAGGTTTACTGGACGTATGGATTCATTCGTCTCGTCCGCACTTCAAATAAACCTGGCAGAGGGCTTGTAGCTTGTAGCCTCTAGTAAGCTAATGTGTTGGTCTTGACCTGCCATGTTCGAGGTCCTCGTGGGAGCCCGACTTGCATTTGGGTCGACCCGATGTCGACCCGCCCTTCTGAGACCGTCAAAGGCAGCCACAAGAAGATCGAGATGTTTGATGCCCTTTGTTATAATCCTCAGTTCATCAGGTGATTAACAGAAGAGGCCAATCCTAGATTATACTATAGCCTGGTCAAGTGAGTAGACGAAGAGCGGCGGGACGCCTCTTCAAGGGCTGCATAGTTTATTTTGCCAGATGCGTTGGGATTTTTCGTGGTCTGATGAAGTTTACGACCTTCAAGCCATTTCGTACTGTGCTAGGGATCCAGTTTTACGGTGTTTCCCTCAACTTCAGTGGGGACAACGCAGATTTCTTGGAGGTGCAGCGTGATTGTCGCCGAGGCAATTTGGGCAGAGAAAAAGCGCGTTTTTATCCATGTGGGGACCATTGGATCTCGGTCTCTAATACAGGGGGCATGGGACACAATCCCTCTTCCACGGACACGTTGGACAGTAGCAGCCCTGGCATGAAGAGGCGCTTAAATTTGAGGGCCGGATTCAAATTTCGGAGTCAGCCGTCTCATTGTGCCCACTTCGAGCGAGTACCGCTCTCCCTAAGAGTCCCTTTCGACGGACGTTCATGAGCATCGAATCAACTCTCAAATGCGTAGAAAGATGGGCCGCTGGTGGCGACATGGACTGGTTGGCATCACGAAATTAACCTGATTTCATTTTCACTGAGGTTCTCGTTCATCCAGCTTGATTGAGGCCAAATCGCACATCGCTAATTTCCCCCATGCTGACGCAATTCATGCTTTCACGACGATTCTGACGGCTCTCGTTCAGTCTACTCTCGACTATACTCCGAATCCATTGCAGGTCAGCTTGCTCGTTCCTAGGATTCAGGAACTTGTCCAATCAGCCCCGTCATCCTCTGGCCAAACGTTACGTTCCGACATTATCAATATTATAATTGATGTGATTTGGACGGTGGATGCTGGGCTCGAGGATTCACGCGTGGCGTCAAAACTGCTTTTTAGTACTGAGGTGGATAAAGCGAAAGTCGAGGGAGACAGACGGAGGCTTGCGAACTTAGTGATAGGTCTGCTGGTTGGTAATTTTCGTCAAAGGTTTGGGTTCGTGGGTAGCTTACTTCTTGGACAGGCCACGGGAATATTATCTCCTTCTCTGTGTAGGGAATCATTCGAAACCCAGCTACTTTCCATGGCCGGGCTTGTTAATGATCTCACCCAATTCGAGCGAAAACTCACTAGAGTTCGAACGACAACATAGTAAGCCACATTTATTCTTTGTGACGCGGAGTTACTGATGGGGACGTGCGACCCTAGCTATAAGCAGACTACGTTCAACCTACTTCGGGAGCAGTCTGAGGGCTACTCGAAACTAATGACAGAACTAGTGGCGGCCGTGGGGCTTGCCCACGATCCATCAACTGGTCTACCTGCGGAATCTATGGCTGAGCTGCGAGCTCGTGCTCAAGTTGCATGGAACAAAGTTGTCGGGCTTATGGGGGTCTTTGATCTGAATCCCAACCGGGTTCTGGACGTTATCCTTGACATCTTCGCAAACCATGTACTCAATCACTATTCATTCTTCTTGGAGCTGTTAAGGCTGTCTTCTTGGGCTCCTTCGTCTATCGAATCTCAGTATGATAAATCAGCAACTGTAGTGTCGGCAGGATCGTACGAGGGAATGAAGTTTGAAGATGTGCTCATGATTGCGGAGCTGGGGCCTAATGTCCCAGACCCACCCAGACCAACATCTTCTTCGGTACTTGCCCAAATCCTGGGATTTAAGTACGTTCAGAATGTGGTACGTGGCGTCTACCATCCTCCCCACTAGTCTTACCTCAAATTCATTAGACGATGGATGCTTCCCGACTGGATACACTCAAACTTCATGCCGTAGCGGCTCTTCTCATCCGAGAAGGCTTCATACACCTGGAGGAGTTGTATCCCCATGTTAGTTCGTTTGACAAATACTTTGATCTTGTGTTGACCTTCGCTATTCCAGCTCTCTCCGTTAGACGAAGAGATGGGGAAGGCTGAGGAGCAGTACCAACAAAATATGAAACAGAAAGCTATTGCCGCACAGTCATCTGGTGGGCCGAGTATGGGGGACTCACCCCTCAAGAGTTCTGCCGCATCCAGTAGATCTCGAACTTCGGCTAGTTTGGATGGTGCGAAGTCTGGCAGCCCGAACATTCCAAAGGAACCCCCCAACCAGAAATACCGACTGCTGAGATTTTTACTCTGCTTAGGGGCACTGCGACCAGCGATCTACTTATTAGCTCAATTTCCCTGGTTGCCGTGTGCGCACACCGAACTTTCTGATATTATCCTATATATGGTCCGTTGGTCAATTGCACCTCTTCATCAGCCATTCTCAAAAGCCGCGGAGCGTATCACTGCCAAGAACCACCCTATAACGGATCGCATTATTGTTGAAAATGGCTCTCCTCCTAAAATTATCCCCAAGAAGAAGGCCCTGACCTCCACTTATCCTGTCCCTCAGTCTAACCAGTACACCGAGTTCGTCTTCTTTTATCCTGCGTCGCAAAATCATATTCCAGTGTGCTCGAATGTCCGGGAACTCTTCACTGTTGCAGAGCCTCTCCTCCGATATGTCAAAGTCAATGCTTGCCGTGACATTGGTCTACTTACCCATATTTGCCGCATTGGGAAGGCCGACCTCATCGAGGTATGTGGCCATGCTTTGCACGGCTGTGATCAGCGTGGTTGATGGATGCTCACAGGGTAAATCGTTCGGGGACGATGCCTTCAGAAGCCGCTTGAGCGAGTGGCGTGGGATGCTTCGTCTGTATATCCTCCCTGCCTTATCGATGACGCGCGCCAATGCAGCATTCAACGTCGAGGTTTGGAACGTGTTGAAGTTCTACGATCAGACTGAGAGGTGGGGAATGTACGGCGAATGGGCCCAGTCACATGCGTTGTATCCAGAGGTGAAGGTTCGACATGTGGAGGTAACAAGAGAAGTCCGTAGTATCCTCCGACGAGTGACAGCAAACTCGACAAATAAACTTTCTCTCCCTCTCGCTAAGCTGGCCCACAGCAATCCTTGTCTCGTCTTTGCTGAGTCGGTCAGACAGTCAATGGCTTATGACAATCTTATCGAGGCGATCGCGGAGTCAGCACGTTCGCTGACATATCTGGGATATGATGTCCTCGTGTATTCCGTATTAACTGCATTTACGAATTCTGCCAAGCCTCGCATGAAGGAAGACGGAACATCAGTTGCTATGTGGCTCCAGAGTAAGTCCATTGGTGAATACATGCGGATGCATGCTTATTACCGGACACTCTTAGGTTTGTCTACGTACACTGCCACCCTCTACAAGAAATTCGGGGGGTCCATGGATTCAGGCCCTATCCTCCAGTTGCTCGCTCACCGTCTGAAAAACTTCAGATCTGCAGATCTCATCATTCTCAAGGAGCTCATTGCTAAAACTACCCAGATACAACCTCAAGCAAATCTGACAGACGATCAAGTTGCTTGCATGGGTGGTGGTTCAACTCTGCGTATCGAGGCACTAGCCCCGGACACCAGAGGCTCAATGTCAATAGCTTACCAGACCCAAACAAGAACGGCATCCGACGTCTATCAGGAGCGCTCCAGAGAACGGACCTTACTGTTGCATTATTAGTCCTCATCGCTCAACAGCGGGAGTTTTGTATCGAGACCGTAGACAAATCTGAAGAACATCTGAAACACATCAGCAATCTCTATGATGAGGTGGGTACGCTCTGCAGCCTTGTGGAGCTTAATCTAATGACCCCTACGCAGTGTCAAGCGATCCTATTCCAATATGTGGAGTTCTTAATTTCAGCCTATGGAACTGATTATGCCAGCTTGCTTCCATCTCTGCATGAACTATGTACGACGTATAAGCTCCAGCCTGACATTGCGTTTCACATCTGGCGACCTGCCCTTCATGATCCCATTTTGGTGAGTGTACTTGGTTTTCGCATATGTCGTCGGTGTGACCACGCCAGACAGACGCATAATATCACATTCATCCGTGCGTTTGAGGAGAAGAGGATACAGAAAGCTAAAGAAGATTCCGAAGCAGCTGAGAGACGATTAAAGCAGGAGCTCGCCGCTAAACGCGCTCAATCACAGGCCACCGCCTCTCCCAGCCCTTCTGCCTCGCCACTTCCAGGAGAGGGCATGGAAATCATTTCCAAAGATTCGAAGCAGGAGAATATGCCTCCTTTCGAGAGTGTCACGTCCATGGAAGTTGATTCTCCAACTACGAAACAAGAATCGAATGCAACTCTTGGGCTAAGCAACAATGGCAACGTGGACGAAGTGGGTTCTTGTTCCTAGCCTCTTGTGGGATTGTTTCTTATTGCCCTTCAAGGTCCCCACTTGGCTGCCTCAGCTTGTTCCTATCATGGAGTCGGCGGAAAGGGTGCTGCCTGCTAGTGCACTTCGAGTATTCAGGTATATCTGCCTTGCTGATCTCGAACATTGCCTAACTCCTTACCTAGTCCCGGCCTATATGTCACGTTCTGGCAGATGAGCATGTACGACTTGGTGCCTCTCCAAAAACCGACGGAAAGAGAAGTTAGCAAAATCAACAGTTATCTTAAGAGTATGCCGTCAAGAGATCGGGATAGACGCACCGAGGAACACATGCAAGCTACCCGGAAGGCTTTACTTGAGGAGTTCACAGAGCAGATCGACAACAGACAAGCTACACAGGAGCGACTTAATAGGGAGAAGAATCATTGGTTCAACCCAGGCACGTGTGACTTGAATGTGGTGTAAGTTGGCTCTGACTCCGATTAGATGCAACTGCCCAGGAAGCTGTCAGGCATTTCACTCAGCATTGTTTACATCCGCGAAGTCTGCTTTCACCTACGGACGCAGAGTTTTCAGCAAGATTTCTAAAACAGCTCCATTTGATTGGGACACCGCGATTCTCATCACTGAGTGCTTATAATAATGCGAGTGATGTGTCTCTCACTTGCCATGTGAAATGTTCTGATGGTCTCTGCAGCTATTCGGCCAGCATCTCGCCAATCAGATATTTTGCCTCTCAGAACATGAGATCTATAACTTCAGTATGTTTGCCGTTCCTCTGACCCATCGATTTTTTGCGTATTCAGCAAACGTTAGGCCGTTTCTACAGAATTGTGCTCGAAGACCTTGATGCGTTTAGCACGGATGAAAAATCCTTCAAAGGAGGGGGGAAGAATCTCCAAGCTCGCGCACTACCCGGTTTTGCAAAGAAGTTTTCCCCCGCGGAGGAGGTGACCTACGCTGAATTGATAACAATTGCAGAATTCACCGGACTCGTCGGAAAATTTATCATGAGACTCAGGAAGGTTAGATTTTTCGCGTTTTCGTTCGGGAGGTGTAATTTGACCTCGAACCTCTCCAGTCCATCATTCAGCTCCTCTCCTCTGACACCTACGTTGGAGTACGAAATGCTGTCATCTTCCTTAATGGGATTTCGTCTGTCTTTCCTAAAACGACAAGCCAGGGTAACGCTATCAAAGCAGTTATTGAGCCTCTAGTTGGCAGCGAAAAACGACCAGATTTGCAAGTTTTGCTCAAATCGTATGCTATCACAACTGGGTGTCTGTTCGCTGCTGATGCTAAACCATACAACAGGTATAATACTCTGCTTCAAACGCGGAAATCAAGTTGGATCTCGGACGTTGTAAGTTGACAAGTCCGTACGGAGTCAAACGCATCTGACTCAGCGAACCCTTTCTCAGGCCGGGAACGGCAATAGCAATGCAGAGCCTCCACCACCGCGTTCAGCCTCTCCTGTCACCGCAAACCTTCCTTCGCGACCTGCAGATGTGATCATGTTGGAGCCCCCATCGCTGTCAAATGCTCTAGTCGCTCAAGCTACTGACCCCAAGGATCCCATCGCAAGCATTCCTCGTCCAGCAGTCGTTAGGCGGGTACGAGGTGAGGCGGCGTCTTCGGAAATTTCGCGGGCCGGCACCCCCGAGAGTCTCCCCGCTAAGCCTTCTGCAATGCTTCAGGAGGGACTAAAACCTGCTCCATCTGCTTCGCTCCCAAAAACACCACAGGTCGTGGTATCCCCCCCTGCTCGTCGCAGACCCGATTCGGCAAATCCAATACCAGGCCTCCCACCTCGTCCTCAATCCCAAGAAGATGTAAACGCAAGAAAGCAAGATATGCCACCACCCGTGGCCCCCAGCTCAACATCTGCTGCGCAAAACATCCGCGTCAATACTGGCCACCCCGCTGACCCCATCCTTGATACTGCACCTCCACGTCCACTGACATCCGACTTGGTGAAGGACAAGGAGCTTTCCACTCCCCGGCCACGTACGCCAACTGAGCCCAGCAAGGACCGAAGGCAGAGTCCTTCAAGCAATTCCCGCTCGCGCGCTCCGAGTGTTGAAAGTCACTCGAGTGCACGAGATGATCGCCCCAAGGCTGATCGTGATCGTGACCGGGAACGGAGTGATAGAGATCGCGGAGGCTCCAAAGACGAGATCAAGGACCGGCCTAGGGTTGGTCGCCTCGAAGATGATGATAGGTCACGAGATCGAAGTGGGCGCGACCGAGACAGAGATAGAGATGCTCACAGAGACCGTGACTCTGGTCGTGACCGTGGAACCAGGGAGAAAGATATCAGAGATGCAAGGGATCGAGATAGGCGCGGAAGGGAGAAAGAGGATGGAAAAAGAGACCGTGACAGAGAACGCGACCGGGACAATAAGGATTCGGACAGAGAATGGGACCGCCCTCGAGACAAGGATCGCTCTTCCAGAAGGGATGGCGCTCCCGAACCCGGCCCCCGGAGAATGATGGACGCTAATGGCGCCGGTGGAGCTATTCTATCAAGATCTTCAAGACGTGACTCCAAAAATGAAGACCTCACTGACAGAGAGCGAAGAGGTGATGATTCGTCCCACAAACGCCGCCGCGGGGACGAAGACGTAAGACGAGATTTTATATTTCACAACTGAAACTAACTCATGGATGTTGCCTCCCGCCCTAGGACTCCCAGTCTGCGAAGCGCATTCGTGGAAGCGATGGCTCTCGCTATGCCGCCTCAGAAAAAGATCGCGATCGCGATCGCGAGAATGGGCGGGATCGTTACCGCGATGACCGCAGCCGACGCGACCGCGATACTCGTGACACGCGGGACGATAACAGGCGTGACAGTACTCGCCGCTCGCGGAAGGATCGTGAGGAAGGCGGTTCCACACCTCCAAAGAAAATCTCCGAAGATGTAGGTGATATCCCGCACTTATCCGGAATGATGTCGCTACAGTGTACCTAATGTTTCACGCCGTAGAATATGACCTCTGGTCCTCCGCCAACTGCCCCCCGCGCGAATCGCACACGAGATTCTCCACGCGATATCGGTGATACCACTCGAGCCCCAAGCTCGTCTGGAACGCGTCAGCTTGCGACCTCCTCTCGCCTGGCCGATCGGTTGTCAGTTGCCCCAAACGATTCCTCGGCACCTAAGGATGATGGAAAGGGAAAATCTCCAGCTGAAGGTAATTCTGCGGCAAACGGTGCCGAAGCTGCGAAAGATGTTGCGCAGCCTCCTGATTACACGCCCTCTTCCCGATCCCCTGTACCCCGCGGAGATTCTGCAGGCCCTTCAAACAATAAGAAACGCACGTCGTCTCACATTTCTGCAGCGCACGAAGCAACGGCGGGGGCGAAATTGTTTGCGGCTGCCAATGCTGCCGCAGGTTCTGGCAGTGGAAGCAATGGTGGGGGGGCTACGAAAAGAGTAAAGATTGACAGGACTCGAAGAAGTGGTCCGAAGATGGATTAGGATCAAATAGTTAATGACGTTGTATCTTTGTTCTAGTGTATTGTGTAGATGACGCTGGGTGCAACTCCCTGGACAATTCATGCTCCCGTTCTCGTTTGGGCGCGACCCAGCGCTACAAGTATGAGTCCTGGGAAAGAATGAAGGCCTTGTGCACGAATGACTTCGTGGCGCGGATTTTGACATCCCCAGGACTGTTGTTATCTTCCACATTATGTCTCATGTTCTTGGTGCCGCTTCAGCAGACCTTCATCTAACAAGGCAAATGAATCGATTTCTCGCGTGAAAGTTTTGAATCCCGACACTGAGCAAAAGCTGTTTCTCCGAACTCTGGAGCCACAATGCCACCACGCACAGGCTCGACGTGGTCCTTAGAGTTCCCCCGTTGACCGGGCCGTCATTTGCGATTCAACTCATCAATATATACCAGGAGTCCTGCCTAGGTAGATGCCACGACTTGATGTGGGTTCATAATCGGGTCATTTCATTATTGATATGCGATCAAGGACGTTTGGGGGGCAGATTGCCTGATTGTATACTCTGCAACCGTAAATACACGATTCGAGCCTGATTTATAGCACGAGTCAGGAAGGGCATCGGAGGAAATAGCGAACAAGCTATAAAGCCACCACCAGAAACAAAAGCGCCAAGAGAATCCAACTCAGACGCGAGTGGTGTGAGCATACACTTGCAATATTCCCCGAGTAACGAAGTCCAGCAATTCACCCAAACCCAAACGATTAAAATTTCGTTAATTACCAATCGAGTTGAGAATCAGTGGCTTGGCTCGTTCGAATCTGGGTAATCCTGCCCTTGCATCTCCAAATCCTTCTTCGTGACTGGTGGAGCACCACCCGCCTCAAAAGCTGGATTGTCTAAATAGATTCGACTTTCTATCCGGGGTTCGGGAAACCGCGACTGTGGCACGTCAATCAGTCAACAACAGCAACGATGGGGAAAGGAACCGGATGTTAAAAACTGACATGCATTCTGTTCCAGAGTGCGACTTCCAGTGGACCCTCTTCCGCGCTCTCCATCCTTATCTCTTTCACAATGCTAACATTCATATCCCCATACTTCGTTTGGGCTTTCTTTCTTCCACCCCCACCCGAACCGCTCGCCTCCATCACGGAACTACACGACCGACAACGACGACGAGAATGACCTTTTTGTGTTTGCATCTGTCTCTTCTCATCAAACGTCCTTGTCTGCGAGGATCGAGTATAGCAAGCGTGGGTATCTGCAGGCGACGATACTCGCTTGTGCATTTCTGCGGGGAAAGAAGGGGAATACGGCACCCCATCTCCGAAATAGGATGAAAAGTGGGTAATACCTTCACTGTGGCTGGGGTGTTCACAAGTGTGTGAATGTTTTTCACTGTTGTGAGTGCGCTGCTGGTGATCTGATCGTATACGTTTGGAATCCTGGGTGGGTATTAAAATAGGAGATTCATCATGTGTCCTGCTCAAGCAGGACCTGCCGTGCAGGTTCGCCAGCAAACCACATGTGCACACTTGTGAATTAGTAACAAAGTTGGGTGAGGTGAGGCGGTAAGCAGAAGGGACCATGAGTGAAACTGAGAGACCCACAGCTGGGGAAAAATATAATAGAAAATACGATTAGGTTGAGATTTTTGATAAATATAAACTGATGACGATATGATAGTCAGCCCCAACCTGGACACGACTTGGGGCACTGGTGACTCACGACCGTTATCAGTACTGATATAAGGCTGAGGCAAAGGTATAGCGGTGGACGAGGCATGAGTTGAACCGAGTGAAAAAGAATGAAGTGGCGCCAAACAATTAATCACGTACGCAGTAATAGCACCATTCCCAGCCGCCAGACAAATCAACTTATTCAAAGCCTTATCCGTACTCTTCACACCAGTCCATCGCTTGGAGAGCAACAGAAGCAAAGCAAAAGCCGATACAACCTCGGTTAGAGTTGTTGCAGTAGACCATGAGATAAAGATCCACGAATGAAGTTGGAGATCGTCAAGGTTTCGGAAGCTTTGTATCGGATTGCAAAGTGATAGGAAAATGTGACACGAGGATTGAGTGATAAATTAGTTGGGACGAGAAACATTTAGACAATGCGCAATACGAAAGGGTCGAGTTTGTATACGCACTTGACCTGTATGGCAGCTGTTGTTCATCGCCATCAGATACGGAAACGGGGGAATTGAACTTTTACGGACCAATGCCAAACGCGGATTGCACTGCTACCAACAATATCTAATGAACGGAGAGGAGCGAGAGTACATGCATATACTGTTAGCGCCGACCGAACTAAAGTCAGAGACATCAAACACCCACCACGAGACACGGAACCACGAATGTTGCGCTCACTATCAATTTCGACAATCAGCATTGTAAAAACATGAAGGTGACAGCTCACGTTGGGTGATACATCTCGCGAAGTTCACTTGACCAAGCCAGTCACTATCAGCTACGAGGAAATATATCAAAGTTCAGCTTTACAAAGCATGGCGGGAAAATTACCCACGGTTATTATTGGTGGAACGTTCGACATCCTAGGTCCAAGTCGCAAGTATGCGCTCAGGATCCCATTAAGAGAAGCCAGAGACCCACCATTCAGGCGTACTCATCATACTCGAATCCCCATACTCGTCGACAAGAGAATGATGCACTTGCATTGCCGCGATGATTCTGATGCAGGGAAGATGGATTAGTACTAGGAACCGCAAAGAATAGACAAAGGTCGCACATATGCCCAACTTGAAGTGTGCTACGTTGGGTGGCGGGTTTTAACGACGTATGCATTGACAGCACGAGTGTTATTTATAGGTCATGCATCCATTCGTTGGCAACCAAAGATGGCAAAAAAAAAAACAAAAATTAATTCCTCCCCATGGGAAAGGCGATTATTTACGCACCATAAAACAGCAACCTAGGAAGTGGGAAGCGAGCCATTGGGAAACGAACATAGTCAGAGTGTAAGGAACACGAGAGGTTAGTGAACTCATCCTCCACCTCGAGATCGGGACAGCGAAAGCAGGAAGGGAGAAGGACTTGGAAGGACTTACGCTTGACCGATACAGTGGCGCATCGTTCGGAAATTTCCTATAATACCGTACCATTTGCACGGATGTCACACCCAAGATTCTAAGGCAAAGCAATTAATGGAGGAACCATCAATGTAAAATCCTCGCGTGCGGGCCCGAATATATTTTGAAAGAAGGTCAGATATCCACAGCCAGGCTTGATGTGGACTGAACACAATGGGCAAGGGATGAAATATTGAAAAGAAAAACTGGGAGGGACGGGGCTAAAAAATTCACAACTCACATGGACGCAATTACTAATCCTAAGACAACCCATGACATCACCTCCAGCATTGGAAGATAGAGATTGGAGTGTTGGTCATCCCTGGGATGTAAAGTTGGGGTAAAGAAGACTGCATGCATATAAGCAGACGTCATGATAATGGCGGATGTGGCGATCGACTACGTGAAATCCCAACACGATATCAGGTAGCCAAACTGGCACGAATATAGTGGGACTTGTGGATTTCCGTGGTTCTATATTGACAAGACCGGTCCTCGATCTTTCCCCAGACGCTCCGTCGATAAGACAGAAAAACTATCCTGGATGAGCGTATTTGAAGTGCTATGAGTAGGCGAAGTGGGCGATCCCGCTGGGAGTGATCAGATCTGGCGGGCCAGCGGCTAAGTGGTGCGTATTGATTAGCAATTGATGATGCGCTGCAGTCACGTCCGCGCGCAAACAACGGCCCATATGACAGGTGGAGTTTAGCGGAATGAATTTGTAAGTGTAAAATCGACTCTACCTTGAAGTCTGGCGTGCTCACCGTAGTGGGGTGTGCACAATAAGACTGGTTCTGTGCTCCAATGGCCTCAGCTAGATACCCAAAGCCCAAACGGATTTCCCACCCACATTCCTCGCCACTATCCCTCTTACACGGAACAAACAAGCAACTCTGGTAGAATGCAAACGGGACTGAGAGCGTCCTACACGAGATGCCCGAGACCCCAGATTTCGGGTTAGACCAGTAGCTAGTACTAGTCAGTGGGGTTCGAGCACGTAGGGAAGTGACAATGGGAAAAACAGAGCTGACGGAGGAGAAAAGATGAAGTGAGTCTACAGGAGAAAGAAGAGGAATAACTGTCCCGGAGATCACACATGAGAGTTCCAGAGGGGAAGAGGGTCCGGGCGGAACAGAAATACCCATGACTGCAGACGTGGGAGGAAAAGAAGAGGACTCCCGGACCGCGAGACAACAAGCACCCCTAGATGGGGTACAGTTGGCATACACGGAAGGTAGTGAGCATTCACTGGAGGTAGCAGGAACCCATCAGAGGAGAGCAAAACGAAATCGACACAAGTCCCAATTCAATTCATAGTAATGAAACTGCTTCCCCATCAACACCTTTCCATATAAATCTATGCACATTACCGAACAGCACTGAACGCCAACAAGATTATCCTGCACATTCTGCGGATCAAGGACGGTGAGCAGTTAAATCCGACCGAATGGTCGAACGACAAGATTTATGCGTTTACAGTCTCCAGTCGGTGATCACACGAGGTGGTCTTGCGATCCTCAACTTCGTCTATTACTAAGGACCAGCGTTTGTGAGAGGATGGCTTACATAATGCCCCCGCTGAATGACACCAAAAGGGCCGCTGGGGCCTTTCCCCGACCCTCGCTCATGTGAGATGCGCCGGATTCAGGAGAGTTAGTGATCAAGGCTCCTAGCTTGATTCATGCTTTATTCTCATCCTTTGACCACTTCTCATCGATGGTCGCAAAAGCAGGCAAAATTCCACCATTGCGGACTGCACGGTTCTATAACGCACTCTGGTTCACGATAAATCAGATGGTTAATCTGCATGTCGCCCTCGACAAGGTGTCAATCTGCATTGAATGCATGGTTCATGCAATCATCACCGCCGGGCCTTCGCACATGTCTTAGGGCCATTCTACCGATGCGCCATGGCCCAGTGTTCTTGTGCGGCGGATCCTTGATGCCAAGCAGCTGCGCGCCGCGCGCACATTCGTATAGCGCTTGAGGCTGCGCTCAGAATGATTTGTAAGCCGTGTCTCTCGTTTGCACTCGACTACTTGCATTCAAGATTGATATTCCACCGCAGTCGGCCGGGTGACTCAAATACTTGACTGACGCCGCGCCGGGATGCCTGAGAACGTTGAGATCAATATTTCGCTCAACCCTTATTCCTTGCTCCTTCTGTTCTTTCCAGCCTTCTATCTTCTTCCACTCATTTTGTGAGAGCATCTCATCATTCAACTCTTAACATATCAAGGGCCCCACAACTTCAAACATCACCTTCGATCAAATCCTAACTGTTGAGCGTCTTTCGCCGGCTCCAAGGATCAATGGATTCACGTCTTGCTTGATCGTCCTCTTACACACAGCTGCTACGCGTATCTCGTGCCTGCATGGTGTATATATTGCGCGTGCTATGAGCCGTCAGTGATAGCTGGCTTGAAGTTGACCGGTTTTCGCGAGCTGCATCTTCTCCTGTCGTTGTAAGGCTTGAAATGGCCATTTTACCGTCATTTGATGGCTCTGACATCATGGAGGATGTCCTTGACGTTCCACATACCCACACGGTACTGTATACGATTGTGATGCTCGGTCCTCTTCTGTGCCATTTGTGCCTAGCCTGATGGCCGATCAACGCGGGCGCAGCGCTACTGGAATGTCATCCTCAGTTCCGAAGCGCTGATTACTGTATTCAATATCGGTCAGGTTTCTCAATCAATGCAGTTCCACTTTCTCCCGATCCGTAATTACAATCCCGATCGCCTGGCAACGGGATTTTGCTGCGATCACCCGAGCCAGCGCTCTAATTTCGTCGCCATCAGTGGTTGTGGCAGTGTATCCAACGCATTTGTAAGCACCCTGAGCTCTAATGATGCCGGTCTTGAACGACGCGATTCAGTTCTATCAAGTGATCCCCAAGACCAACCTTTGCTCCGATGAATCCGCAATTATCTAAGCAGTACCATTAGAGCAGACTAACTCCCAAGGATCTGAGGTGATTGATGCTTATCAGTTCAAGGAACACAGTCCAAGGAATTTGCCGGTTGAGCGGTGCGTGGATTAGCAATCGTTCTACTGGCGTAGCAGACCACCCCATGAACAGGAGTTGCTAATCTTTCACATGTTGATGTCGGTGGCATTCAGGACTGAATGTCACAGCGGGCGACCTGAGTCGTGGAGTGGTAAAGGGCTATTTTGATCTGAATGTACATCGCATCAACACAACACGACTGCTTAAGGTAATACAGATGTTGTGTTCAATCCCTTCATAGAAGCTTCAGCTCGGGCCTCGGATTGGGAGCCTCGACGCAAACCCTGCTTTTACTCGTTACAGGAGCAAGAACATCGGATCGCGAGTGATGGTAGTTTGTCGATCACCAATTGTAAGGCGCGTGGCCCAACAAGGCGTATCTGAAACTAGCGTGAAAGCAGGAACAGGGAACAAAAAAAGCGTGATGAAGCATTTCACTTTAGCTTGTGGCGTGCAGTAAGGAACTGTGTAGGCAGGACTCCAGCCTCTATGACTTCGCAACAATATATCGTAAGTAATGTAGAGTTCTGAGATTCGTTACTGCATCATCTGGCAAATCGGCATCCGATAGATAGGCAAATTAAAGTATACGCGTGTTTTTCCCCAAACGTCTGTTTCTCCGTTTTCATTGGAGTCAGTCAGATCAACGTCTGTCCACCGTGTTAATAACCCAATTTCAGAAAGATGCATCTCTGCCAGATTTGTATAAACGTCATAAAACGTAGCGTCTGGAGGGTTTTAATTCGGCATTGATGTGGAATTAGGTGGGAAGCGGACTTACTTGTCGCCCCCAGGCCGTTAAAGAAAGAGAAGCGCGAATTTTGATCCCGTAAGAGACCTGTGGCGTGTTCGAAAAACTCCAACAGGTCTTCGGAAGGAACGTAGTTAGTCTTGCATTGATGAGCTTTAGGATCGAGAGGAACCCACCACTGTAGTCTTCCGAGAAGGTGTCGGTATAGATAATATCGAAGCCACCGACAGCGTACAATTCCTCACTTTCGGTGAAGTCCTGCCACTTCCCTTCAAGTATCTTCACACCAGGCTTCTCGTACCACCCATTTTCCCGCATGTGCGCGAGTACATCAGGATGGGGCTCAATAATGAAATGTTTGGTTGGCGGCGAGGAATTATAAGTTTGAAAAATAGTGTCAATCTTGGAAATTCGTCTGGATCAGCAGCAGACAGCGTTAAGCAGAGTTGCAACCAACAATACCCAATCCCTGGATTCGTGTTAAGCGTCACCCAAAAATGCCAATTAGTTGGACTCACGAAACCAATATTCAATACGTGGATGCTACCATCAGTTTCAAGACCTCGGTAAAGTTCTTTGACTGTTTCCAGCACTGAGGGGCAGTCAAGCAGCGCTCGGCTCCGGGATCATATGGTGGCTATTTACTTATACCAGACTCCCAGCCCATCATAACGCCAACCTCCTCCGAACCGTTGAGCGATGCAAGGCAAATTTCCTGCCCGTTATTATCTTTTGTGAACCGAAGCCTCGATGCCAAGAACTTGGAGGGGGATCCTGCAGAACTATCCTCGGAAGATTTGAGGATTAATTGTGACTCTGAAGGCCCTCTGCTTTTCGATCCAAGCGTCGCAGGAGGAATTCTGTCCGAATGCCTGCATCTCGGATCTGCCTGTATATCGCTTGGTGCATTCGGGAACTCTGCGAAAGAGATGGGGGATAGTGTACGTACTTTCATTGTTAAGGGACAATGCGACATCTCCAGCGTTATATCCGCAAGCATCCACTAGCACCGATACGGGCAATGAAGGTGAGGGTGAACGATTGCGGATTTGATATATTCACCTGCATTCCACAAGGCAGAATTATCAAGTAAAATGGAAATCAATTCCGAGTTCTCTAGCGATGCAGCGAGATGAAGAGCCGTCCATCCGGATTCTGGTTCTTGATACCATGTAGGTGCGTTCTCGACAGTGAGCAAGTACCTGACAGCCTCCTGATCTTGCCGCTCTACAGCGGCGAAGAGGTGAGAACCCATCTCAATAATTTGGGAAATCTCTCTATCATCCATAAGTTTTATGGCGGATTAGACTGTAGGTGGATACCGATAGTACCACTAGCAATATTATTATTTGTGTGTAATCGTCTGAGCAGTCTAAGGTTGACGATGAGACACGTGATTGCAGAGGCGGGCACTGCCGCATTCACTTCCTCGTCAACTTTTTGCATTCAATCTTGCAAGTTGAAGCAATCATGGCCACGAAAGGTCTGAAGGGTATTGCCCCGGTGCCCTCTGCTTCCGACTTCTTGGACATAATATTGTCCAAGACGCAGAGGAAGACACCGACCGTATGTACTATTTACTCGTTAACTCGTTGTGGCCCCCAAGTGTAACTCATCCGGCGATCCCAGGTCATTCACAGAAACTTTAAAATTGGCCGCATAAGGGCCTTCTATATGCGCAAAGTTAAATTTACTCAGGATTCGTTTGATGAGAAGCTTGGCGCAATTCTCAGTGAATTCCCTATCCTTGATGTGAGTCATGGACGTTTGCACAGTCTCGTTAGGCTCGTTTATCCTGTTATTCCGATAGAATCTGCATCCTTTCTTGTCATCGCTACTTAACGTCCTTTATGATAAAAATCATTACAAGCTTGCATTGGGCCAACTTAACACTGCGCGCCATCTTATCGACCAAGTCGGCAAAGATTATTCCAGATTATTGAAATTCGGTGACAGTCTGTACAGATGCAAGCAGCTAAAACATGCTGCTCTTGGTCGGTTAGTGAATAATTATTTGGGGTTCGTCATGATGCTACTATTTTCTAGCATGGCCACAATCTTGCGTCGTCAAAAGGATCCTCTTGCTTATCTAGAGGAGGTTCGCCAGCACATTTCCCGTCTCCCTACCATCGACCCCAATACCCGGACACTTCTCATTTGTGGATACCCCAATGTTGGGAAGTCCTCTTTCATTAACAAAGTCACCCGCGCAGATGTCGATGTCCAGCCATATGCATTCACGACCAAATCTCTCTTCGTCGGCCACCTTGATTATAAATACTTGCGATGGCAAGTCATTGATACTCCGGGTATCCTTGATCATCCGTTGGAGGAGATGAATACAATCGAAATGCAAAGTATCACTGCAATGGCTCATTTACGGTGTGCAATCCTTTATTTCATGGACCTTAGCGAGCAGTGCGGGTACTCGGTAGAGGCTCAAGTGTGTATTCATCTCCTGTGCAACCCAGTTTTGCTTATTCTCCGTTGCAGTGCAAGCTCTTCCATTCCATAAAGCCATTGTTCGCGAATAAACCGGTGATTCTAGTCATTAACAAAATTGATGTTGTGCGGCTCGAGGATACTACCCCTGAAAACAAGACTCTCATCAACGAGATCGTGACTCAGGAGGGCGTCACAATGGTCCAAGTATCTTGTTATGCCGATGAAGGTGTAACAGAGGTGAAGACTACCGCATGTGACGCGCTTCTTGCACACCGCGTGGAGACAAAGCTCAGGGGTACTAAGATAAATTCTGTCATCAATCGCATCCATGTGGCACAACCCAAACCTCGTGATGATGTCGTCAGAGCGCCATACATCCCGGACGCCGTCAAAGAGCGACGAAAGTTCGACCCGACTGATCCGATGAGACCTAGGTTGGAGAGGGAGATTGAGGCGGAGAATGGCGGAGCGGGAGTTTACAACATTAACCTGCAAAGTATGTGGCGTTTCTCTTCCTGCTCCAGTTTTCGGTCGTCTCATGACTTGTGTCTCAGAGAACTGGATGCTCGCCGATCCTTCATGGAAAGATGACATCATCTCCGAGATCATGGACGGCAAGAACATTGCTGATTTCATTGATCCGGACATCGAGGAGAAACTCGCAGCCTTGGAAAGGGAGGAGGAAAAACTCATAGCTGAGGGTTTCTACGATTTCGATGACATCGTGCGTACAGATCTCCGGCTCCCTTATTACAGTTTTGACACAACACGATACAGTACGATTCGGAAGATGAGGAGATCGCCATTGGAGAGGCAGAAAAGAAGCAAGCGATATATGAATCACGAGGAAACAAGGGTTTGAAGCACGGTTTCGTTATGCCGCGTACAACATGGAGCCGAAATCTGAGCGACATGACTTCGAAACTCACGAAAGCAGGCTATGACACATCCCGGCTGGAAGCCCATGCTCTTATAGCGAAGGCTCGAAGCAAAGGGGCGCAAAAACGAAAACGATCGGATGAGGATGATGCCATGGATGTGGATGGGGCTGACGAGCAGGATGTGCAACAGATCGCATTCATGGATGTCGATGGAGAGGAAGTTTCGCGGAAACGTACAAAGACAAATAGTGGCAGCATCGTTGCCAAAACCAGCCGGCTTCCCAAGACGAATCGTCAACTATCTGGCCTCAAGAATGCCGAGGTTCGTGCATCATATCAACTCCGTCATGTCTCTCGTAGTTGCTTCTTAGGTCCTCTGCTCACGTTTGTTTGTGTTGGATCGTACAGCAATTCCAGCGGGCCATGAAGTTGCAGCAAGTCTCACTAACAGAAAGAAACAGACAGGGGAAGAAGGGGGAGGGAGATCGCCACATCGGAACCAAGATGGTTAGTGTATCAGCCACCTTCCTCATAATGCCCCATTCACTCGATGATGCTGATGAATGTGTTGTGACTTTTTTCAGCCAAGGCACTTGTTTTCTGGCAAGCGGGGGATTGGCAAAGCAAACCGTCGTTGAGCTCTTCAGCCCCCTTGCATGCGTTTTCTGTCTATTATCATTGCTCCGCCTGCCATCGTGTCCCATGTACTTATGACAATTTAATGCTGCAGTTTTATCCTATGCCTGTTATGCTTGTTGCCTGAAATAAGAAAAGGCCTGGGAGACCGTTGCGATTCCATCCTTGCCAAGCATATACACAACGGTTCGTGTCTCGCATACACTGAACAAGACAAACTGTAGAGTACATACATGTACACATAGACGCATACTGCGACTCCAAACAAAAAATGGCAAATAACAGGTGTCGGTTAGGAGATGGGAAGTGGGGTGGCGCAAAAGGAGAACCAGTACTAAGTTTTCTAAGACATAGACCCCTATTATGGGAGAGGGGCTACGGAGTAAACGTGTCCAGACGCCAGTGGTGGCAAAAGGGAGAAGTAAACGCAAGTGAGGATCGCGCGTTCAATAACGATATACGTCCAGCGTTGCGAATAGGAGAAGAGCTGTAAAGGGGGGAAGCATGTCTATGATCGTAACACGGCGTGGGGGATGGGACCCTTAGTGGGTTAACGTGGGCTTGAGGTATGGCATGGGGGTGGCGCAGGAAAGAAGAAATAGCAACGGCGAGGCCCATCATTGATGGCGATAGAATAGAGAGGAGGTTGCTATGTTTTGAGGGTGGACATGAGGGGGTACTTTAATCCCAATCGAGCGTCATGCCTCCTGCCGATGATGGACCGGACTTGGTGCACTCCCGCCGGATCCACCGCAGTGCACGCTTATCATCTCCGAGCAGAGGGGCTAATCTCGCCCTGCACTGTGCGTTGTGATCCTGTGGACATTGAATGAGTGGAGATAGCGAGTGTTAGCAACGAGTTGTCCGCGAGGCAAAGGATGAGACAGGGTCAGAATGACGATTGCATACCTTCAACCACGCTTTTTCCTCTTTCGTCAAAAGGTCCATTTTTACCATTTTAGTCTGTATTGGGACCTGTGATGCAAAGTCAGGAGGTCAGCTGGATGCATTGCCGGTTGCCATAGGAACTAGAGGAAAGCTTACATGAGTCAGCCTCTCAAACCCGAGCCAGACGTCTCCGCCGAATTGCCCCTTGGTCTGCAGAGCAATTGAACATTCGGATATCAACGATAATTAATTCGGCACGCACCGTGACTTTGGTAACCGTTAAGGCCGACTCAATTCTGATACCAAACTCGCCTTCTTTGTCTAGATCAACAAGAGTAAGAATAGATAGAGCAACAGAGGACAGGGATGCACTCACAGAAGCCGGGCTCATTGGAAATCACATGTCCAGGGACGAGCGGTATCTGGCTGCTGAACCCAATGGGACCCTCGTGGACATTCAAAAACGAACCAATGCCATGTCCGGTACCGTGCTGAAAAGAACATGCGCGTAAGTGTGTTATAGGTGAGCAGAGTAACTTTCAAACGTACAAGATAGTTGAGCCTGTCAAATGCAAAGTTGGCATCTCAGAGACGGATTCGTAACAGTGTAAAAGATGGCACTAACCCATCCTTCCACAACGCCTTTCGAGCAAGGACATCCAACTGTGCACCAGTGGTCCCTTCAGGAAAGATTGCCTGATTGATTGCAATCTGAATGAAGAAGTCAAACGTCGTCCGAGTGAGGTAACAGGAATCAGCTTACATGGCCCTGAAGAACTCGCGTGTACGCTTCCATCTGCTCACTCGTAGGGAACCCGAAGTGAACAGTTCGTGTAGTGTCGCACGTTCCGTCGAAATACTGGCCACCAGAATCACTAGGAGGTAAAGTTAGTATTCTTGACAGCTCCCAGCAAGATGTGACGCACTTGAGGTAGGGCAGGGTAGGGTCAATGAACGCAGCGTCCTCCTCAGTGGTGCGGTAATGAGGCAGTGCTGCGTTGGGTCCAGAAGCAGAGATATTCTCATATGCAAGACCCCAGTAGTTGGCACTTTCTTGGCGGAACTTGGTAAGTTCCTCGGCAGCCTCCCACTCGGTGAGCTTTGCACCGCCTTTGATCTGTTCATCAAGCCATGCGAACCAGCGAACCTGAGACAAAACGGTTAGCAAGAGGGTACAATGAATGTACGAGCCCTGAGTTTACCATCGCGGCGCCGTCACGGATATAGGCATTTCTCATACCTTGAAGCTCGGTTTTGTTCTTGATAGCTTTCCGTTCCTCCACGAATGAAGGAGTGATCTTGTACCGCGCCGACGTAAGCATCAACGATACGGCATATGGCGTCTTAGGATCGATAAGAACTTTCCCATCACCCCATTCCGCGCGACGTAAGAAGGACCAAACGTCGGCGTATTCACGAACGGATACACCCTGCTCTTTGAGATAGGCCTGAACTTCGGAGGAAAGCTTTGCCTTGTCAACAAAGAGGAAGGACTGCTTGGTAGTGATGAAAAGATAGGACATCACGACAGGATTGAACTCGATATCGTGGCCGCGGATGTTCAGCAGCCATGCAATGCACGAGAGATTGGACAGGAACGCAGCCACCTGATCAGTATTGCCGAATGAATTTCAATAAATGAAGCCCCAATCGGCAAAATGGAAAAAACAAAGAGCGGAACTTACAGGGTTCATCGGTTGCTTCGGAGGTGATTTCGCATTAGGTGTTGTTGGCGCAGCGCTTTTGGCGATAACTGGCGGCTGCGGTGGCCGCTGCGATTTGATCCATGTCCGCACTTCATCAATCTTTTCGCTAGCGGTTCTACCTAGGTAGCGCATCGCATTAATATCGCCTTTACGTAAAATTTGGCAGTGTGCAGCTATGACTTGCCTGCGAATTTTCGGTCAAGGGTGAACACCTGACCTTGTGGCTTGGGTGGTCTCGTCTTCCATAACTTGTCCACTAAGTTGACGCGAGGAAAAACTAGCTTAGAATACCGGGCATTCAACGCGCTGGCCAAAGCGGTGGCCGCCTCTAATCGGAACAGGGACAGAAGATGGATGTTTAGTTTCTCGCATTCAAGGACTATAGAACCAACGGGATCTACTGACCGTGAGAGATAAGCCGCGAATCGATGCCGATGCGACTGCCTCGAGGACGGTCTTTGATCCATTCTTGCCACGGCTTAACACCAGGGAGTCCAACTTTGTGAAGAGTCCAGTTCTTGTCGAGCTCTTGAGATGCTTGGATGAAATAACGAGAGTCCGTGAAGGCATGAGCTTCGCTGCGAGAGACGATACAGGTACCAGCAGACCCGGTGAACCTAGAATAGGAAAAAAGGAAGACGCGTAAGCGGAATGCGGAAAACTTCGGGCCACCGCATACCCTGAGATCCACTCCCTCCGACGATCAGATGGTGCGGTATACTCAGATTGATGAGCATCTTCACTAGGAACAATGCTACAGAAAGCCCAAATAAGTTCTGTAGAAACCCCCAAACACGCATAACGGCCACATACTAGTAGTCTAATCCACCGTCGGGCTCCGCCTTCATCAGTTCCCGAAGGTCCAACAAACGGGCCGTAGAGTCCAAGCGCCTTTTACTGCCGGCAGTGAGCGGGCTCATGATGGGAGTCACAGGCGTCGTAGGCTTCGACGTGCCAAACGTCGAGATAGAAAAAAGCTTCCCCTCTCTAATGATCTTGCCCCAGCCCAGTCCGGAGCCAGGAGTGAGTGTAACGGCAGACTTGGTAGGACTGTCAGCAACGGTGTCGATGGAATTCTTCCTTTTCTCATCCCCGGACGTGGGCGATCCCAATGTGTCTGCCGACCCATAAGGAGTGATCTTCTCGACGCTTAGTGAACTTCCAGACTTGTTGTGCGCAGGGAAATCCGGGCGTCCCTTCTTAGATGAGAATGAATTCTTTCTAACGAACGCCGGTCTGGGGATGGAGAAGGGCGGGGGAGGAGGAGGGGGAGGGGGAGGGGGAGACATGGTAGCGACGGTCGGGCTTGCGGATGGGGATGAAGAAAAGTCACGGACTACTGAATGTCTGGCGGATCTAGCCGGCCAATTGAAATCTTCAAGATTCTTTGAGGGGAAAAAGACACCTAGTCCCCAGGTCTTCGCTCATTATCTACTCTGGCTGAGAGAGTGATCACAACGGAGCATTGAAGGCCGATCACGCTAGAAATTGAGAGGCAGCTTAATCCGGCATATCTAGCTGTATGCATACACACACCACGCGGCTTCCGTCCTCAGATGCCACGCCGCGCAGCATTCACACAACGTGTAGGGTTACTCGGATATAATAGTTCATGCCTGGTTTAAGAAACAGTAATGCATTTCTAATTGGGGCTAACCGACCTAAAAAGCAAACATAGTTTCTAAACCGACTCTGGAGGGTCATCAGCTTCCGGTTAATCGCAAGAACTCTAAGGAGGAACTTGCCTTGAAGCAAGTTGTTTATTTTATTGACTCGGGAGGAAACGCTAAGGTCAACAGACTTGTCGCCAAAATCAACAACTAATCCACCAATGAGTGACGGCTTGACCTGGAGCAGACATGAGATGTGTAAATCGGAACATTTCCAGCTAGCACCACATACCTTGTTCGTGATCTTGACCGATTTGGCCTGCTGGGCCGTGACAGAAGACTTCAACGCAGTCTCTAAGCGCGTAAGAACATCTCTGGGCAGCGGAGCGGCGGATGTGACCACAACTTCAAGTTCACCCTTGTACTTCCCCACCAACCCGTCGAATCCAGCAATGACATCCTGCACTTCAACTAATCGCCCGTTTTCAGCCAAAACCGAAAATAGGTTCTTTGTGATATCCGAAACCTCAACTTTCTTCGCACCGCTAGCTGCAGCCGTTTGGAACAAAAGTTGTAAACCGGCCTGACGATCCTTAGCGGTCAAGGTAGGATTGTGAACAAATGAAGCGAGCTTCTCATCCTTCTTGATAGCAGCTCCAATAGCAGAAAGCTCTTTTTGAACCGCGTCAAGGGTTTGGGGCGACTTTTTCAGGGCGGCGCCATAGGCAGCCTGAGCATACTTGGTCGCAATTGCAGATGCTGCCCGAGTGTTGCGGGAGGCAATGTGCACTGAGGAGGCACGAGCGGCAGACAGAATAAACATTCTCTGTTATGAACAAACGGTTAATGCATCTTTCGGAACTTTGACGAAGTCAAGAGCGACATACACACCGTTGACGACGTGAGAATTAAGCGCACACGCCTCGTTCCGGCAGTTTCCGCATTCGTACAAGTCTACCCTCTTCAAGCCACTTGCGAAAGCCGTCGCCTCATTTGAAGGGCCCTAGCCAAATCTCTTTGTCCTATCTCGTGCAGCCTTTTCTTTGGAAATGTCGCGTTTTTTTCGCCGTGGTAGCGACTCCAGCGATGAATCTTCATCCTCTGAGGAAGAGGAACTTCTCTCCCAAGACGAGTCTGATAATCAAAAGCCCGCCAAAGACATCCCACCGCGGGGATGTCCCGTTTTCTCCGAACTGAAGGCTCCGATGAATCATCTGATGAGAGCGAATCTGACGATGATGACGACAAATCAGAACCCGAGGCTGATAAACACGAAAAGTTTCTCGATTCTTGCGCGGAGAGGCTGACTCGGATTCTGACGAAAGTGAAGAAGAGGGCGGGAAAAAAATTGTGAAAAGTGCAGGGATAAACGTCTGGAGGAATGGGCATCCATTGCGTCTGTAATTGAGCAAAAACTCAAAGGTCATGACTGGCACAACACTAACAACGGTTAGTTGATATATCATTGGAGTATACAATGTCTTTTATATCACCTAATTCTCGTCTTTCAGAGTTCGATAAATTAACGCGACTTGTCGTGCGCCAAATGGCTTTGGGCGAACCTCTTCCTCCCGTTTATCTTCAAGTCATCAAATCAATCGACGGTGCCTTCAACTCCGACAAAGAAAAGCCTGCGAAATTAGATGCCGCTAATGCTCGTTCTCTTAATACGATAAGGCAGAAGATACGGAAACTCGTCAAGGAGTACGAGACGCAACTTCAGAAGTACAACGAAGATCCTGAAGCCTTCGCTTCTGCGTATTTAGCCGCCACTAAGCCAAAGCTCGAGAGAATTGCACCAAGACCTGTCGCCACTCCTGACGTTGATGCAGATGATGGATTTACGACCGTTGGAAAAGGTGGCAAAGCCTACAGTGTCAGTGCCTCAGACGTTTCAAGACGCTTGCTACCTTGAATGAAGCTCGTGGAAAGAAGGTCAGTAAAAGGATAGGTTTGGGTCTTCCTCCGTGTCCTGAGAACTTCTATTTCCCAGAGTACTGACCGTGGCGAGACCACTAGGGTCTTGGAACAACTGTTAAAGGTCGCACGGACACCATACGGCCGGATACGAGTGTTATTGGCACTCATTTCCACCCGCTTCGACATCAATACCTCAACAAGTCATATGTCCAATGATGCCTGGATTCAAGTTCAGAGTGAACTGAATGAACTTCTCAATATCCTCATTACTGAGCGTCAGTATGTCGTTGTCGAAGACGACACTCTCGAATATGATGAGATGGCTGAGCGAGTTCCACGCGCCGATGAGCCCGTGGTCAGGATTCGCGGTAGCATCATCATGTTCATTGATCGACTGGACGAGGAGTTCACGAGGAGCTTACAAAATTTGGACCCTCATGGGACAGAGTACGTTGATCGGTTGAAGGACGAAAAACCTTTGTACGAAACTATTTGCTGGGCGCATATCTTGTTTGAAAAGGTGGACACTAACTCGTTGGCTCGCATCGTGATGCGAAGGCTGGAGCACATCTACTCAAAAGTAAGCTGATCACCATGCGTCTCCGTCCCAACTGATCAATTCGCATGGACAGCCTACTGCTGTAGTGACGATATTGGAAAACTCCGTTAAAACATCTCTGGCCTCGAGTATCACCCCCACCTTCCCCTCGCTTGCCTTGCTATCTGATACTGCGGCCCTCATCCGCGCACTTTGCGTGCACCTTTATCAGACTGAATACTCGTTGCTCCGCACCCGCGCTATGTTATGCCATGTGTACTTCCACGCGTTGCACAACCGTTTCCACACAGGGCGAGATTTACTGTTAATGTCCCACCTCCCTGAAACGATCCACAATGCCGACGTGATGACTCAAATCATGTTCAATCGAGCTGTCGTGCAACTGGGTCTCTGTGCTTTCAGATCTGGGCTCATCAAGGAGGCACATTCGACACTTCAGGACATCTTCACCACTCAACGTGTCAAGGAGCTTCTCGCCCAGGGTGTTCATCAACAACGTTACACCGCACTCACCCCTGAGCAAGAAAAAGCCGAACGTGCACGCCAGATGCCATTCCACATGCACATCAATACTGAGCTCCTAGAAGCAGCTTTCCTCGTCTCAAGCATGCTGGTGGAAATACCACTTTTGGCTTCCATTGACAATGAAGAACAGAAGCGGAAGGCGATTTCGAAACCTTTCCGGCGACTGTTGGATTTTGCAGATCGGCAGGTGTTTACTGGCCCACCTGAGAGCACGCGGGACCACATCATGCAAGCGAGCAGGGCACTTCAGGATGGTGAATGGGAGAAGTGCAAGGACCTCATTCAAAGCATTAAAATTTGGAGCCTGATGCCAGAAGAAGCGACAGTCAAGGAAATGCTCGCGAAGTAAGTTCATTTCCCCCCTGTTTTTTTTTTCATGTGCAGTTCGCTAATTCATCTTACTTGGTCGTAACCAAGGCGAATTCAAGAAGAGGGTTTGCGAACATACCTCTTCACTTACTCTGCGTACTACACAACTGCCTCTCTTTCTTCCCTCGCCAAGTCTTTCTGTCTACCCGTGAGATCCGCTACTTCCGTTGTCTCCAAGATGATCTGGAACGAAGAGATCGCGGCATCGCTCGACCAGTCCGCTGGCACGGTCGTCTTTCACCGTGTCGAACTATCTCGAGTACAACAACTTGCTCAGAACCTTGCGGATCGCGTCAGTCAACTTTCAGAGCAGAACACCAAGGCGCTTGATCAGAAACTGAGTGCAGCTACAGCAAGCGGTGTTCCATGGCCTGATGGCAGAGGCCCTACTGAAAATACCGAGCAGCAGCAGGTACGAAGGGAGAGGGATCGATTGAGAGGAAGAGGCCCGCTTAGAGGGGCAAGGGGAATTCGGTTTGACCAGGGATTAGGTGGGCGCATTGGCGGGGCCATTCAGTCGTGAAGGCATATGTTACATGTATAGTGGCTTGATACTAGTGTCTCGACGGTAGAATACAGTTTTCCCGCCTCATCACACATCATACGATGATTTTCGATTGGGGCTGCTGGATCGTTCCCTCTCTGGATGCCACTCCTTGATAGCACTAGTTCCCGGTCCAGGCACACATTGGCCACACGTTCCTGCTCCATCGACATTCCGCAAGTACTCCATGGAGCCATGGAACCTGACCTCCTTCGGTTCGAGTAAAAGCTAGGTCTGCCTTTATGAGGGCTGGTCATGCGCTGCGTTGGGGTCTCGCTTGTATGTAAAGATATGCATTCTCCTACAATAACATCGGGTACATTGAATACAACGACTCCAACTCCATGGGTCCAAAACAAGAGATCAGCAAGAAAATCGCAGTCCTGAAAAAGTATTCTCCATCAGCATCTGCAACGCAAGTCCCATCACCACCGGAAATACGGAAAAATGGATAATCAGATGGCCGTTTTTACTTCTCAATTAATAATTCCTCAGCAGCCGTTAGCTGGAGTCGGAAGGGTTTGAAGCTTGTCTCATCCCGCAAAAGCACTTTTGGACGCTGGACTTACAATGGTCGCCTTCAATTCCACGATACATATATATCGTAGTTGGTAAGCCCAAACAAGAAACCAAAGTACTCCGTTCCTAACACACAACCAGCCTTTAATATTGCTTGGTCAGCTCCGAGAGGACCCGGACAGTGGAGGCATGCTAGGAAATACTGCGAAGAGACAGATTTGAGAGTCAGTATTCAAGTCTGCGCAGCTGAATTTAGCATAAAGGCGAGAATCAGATACTGAATGCACATCGACATCTTTAACTCCGTCTGGGGCGGCATCCAGTCATCACTTGGGGTTGGTGAATGTTGCTTTACTCACCTCCCACTTGCTGCAGGCGTGGAGAGAAAATCCTCACGCGTTTCAGCTTTATACCAGCATTTGCTTCCGACTGCGATTCCCACGCCGGGAGCCACAGCCAAAGTTCGCTCATGCGACTGGGGATCCATGTAGCCCCGTTGCTTTTTAGGCCAGGAAGGAACACCCAAGCCCTCCTTCACACACTTACAAGCACCTCAGACCCGCACAGAAAGACTCTATTTCCCCGTGCTCGTCTTACTTTACACGGATCTTGGTTCGCTTCCGTATCGAGGAACTCCGCTGATTCGCAGACGTGCATGGTGGACGAAGAGCCTTCTGATAGCGCTCCATTTCTTGAGGACGTGACAGGGGAGTATGACTACCCCGATCGAGTTGTCCAACGAGCAATTACTGCCAGACTAAATGGTGCTCTTCGACGGGCAGTGGAGAATGACAATTTTGCTGCAGCAGAGATGATTCTTAATGATATGAATCACAGAGGAGTGCACGTTGAACTTGATGCCATCTACGAGCATGTTACTACCTATTATCTAAGACCCTTGGAAGCATTAACCTCCAGACGAACGCCTTCATTTCAGAAGACACTCGACAAAGCCCTTCTATGGTGGTGCCTAGTGCCGGACCACGCGGGAAGAGGGTTGGAAAAGGCTGCTCCAGACTTCAAAGCGCTCGTCGAACGTCTGCTGCGCATCAACTTGCTCCCTTCAGAATTGGCCAGCTTTGTCTTCATCGCGATGGAGAAGGGATATGCTTCCCACTTGAACACCATCATTGACCACATTATATCCTACTCTTCCCCCCGCGTCGCACTCGAAACTTTGGCTCATATCAACCGCCTTGATGTTCGCGCGGGGCGGGAAGTGCGAGCGAATGCCAAATTCCATAGGCTGTCGTGGATAAAGAGGGATAGTCCGTATCGGTCAATATTGTTTGGGAGTTTGCGTTCCCGTGACTCCGACAACGTCCGCAGACGTATCGACAGACGAGTTAACAGAGCTATTTACCATCTTGCTGCCGCAAACAAAACGCTCACTGCCCATCGCCTTCTTGGTGCATTGTTCGACGCCTCTCCTCGTTCTGTTCGCCCATACACAGCGGATATCGTTCTTCGCAAGCTTCGCGAGGGTCGGATGACTCAGGAACATGAGGATTTAGCTGAACGAATCCGTCGCGCACGTTTGCCCCTCGAGTTGAAGACGCCCCCTAACCCTCCGCCTCCGCTAACCTAGATATACCCAACCCCATTCCTTCGTTGTCTGGAACGTGCGGAAAACCCTATTCTCCGACCACCCCCCATCTATTCAAGACCTTGCAGCTTTCATGCGGAGATGCTACGAGGATAGCGCAGTCAGCGCATTGCGAGCTATGGAAAGAAGAATTGCGTGGCGGCTGATAAAGGATAACCCACGAAGTTGGAAACCTGTCACACTATGGTTTTTGGGAGAAATGCAAAGGCAACTAGATGAGGGAAGATATGAGGAAGTGTTCCGAACGTTTGCCACTCGTTTCCGACTTCAGGGTGTACCCGGCCAAAGCCTCGTCTCCTCGTACCTACAACGGCATCATAATATTGACTCAGCGAAGCCGAGTAATTCACTTGTCCCGCAACTCCTCAAGCCCACACCTGTCGCAGTGCGCATCCTGCTCCAGGCATTATTCCGATGGAGATCCACAACTAGCATTGGAGTACCAGTTGCTGTGAAGCGGAAGCTACTTCTAAAGGAGATGTTCCAGGCATTCAGCTGGAACGCAAAACAAGTCGATCCACCACTCGGTAATATCCTCGAACCAGGAACGTGGATGCCCGAAGGAGATGGAGTGGCTCACCCTATCCTGATCCCCCCAGATACGCTTATTTTCGACTTCATATTCCGCTACCTGAGCTCTCAAAGATTATGCGGGACAGTGCAACTCGTCAAGAAAACCCTTAAATCAGGGATCACTCTTCCCATCACCGCGTGGTCCATTGTACTCTATCGAATCGCACTACATGGAGATGGCCAATCGACACTCGCGTTGCTGCGCGCTATGACGCAAGTGGAGGCCGGCGGAGAGTCAGATACTCCCCTAATCGTTCCTATCTTCGGAGAATCAATCCCAATCTACCCCCAGCGGACTTTTCCACATATCTACACGCCATATCTGCGGCTTGGCGAGGTCGTCATCTGAATTTGCTCTACGATGTCACGCAGATGTTGAGATCTCAGAATTTGGAGCCTGCTGATGAACAGGAGGTGGAAAAGCTGCAGTTCTACCTATCCCGCTACTCAGAGACTATAGCCAAGCCAGGGTGGGACACATGGGCGACGATGAGGGGAAAAAGCAGTTGATGTACTTATACTCAGATCATATAATCATATTCTTAATCTGTTAAGTAATGGGATTTTTGCTGCTGCATGCGATCATCAAATGTCCGTTTAACTACATATTAGCGAGCGCAGCCGCCACAGAACGCCGGAGGTGCGTCAAGTTATCGAGTTTCCCAGCAATCTCGCGAAGTGTCTCTGCTTGTCGTTCTTCCTCGATGCTCATCTCTAACATTAAAAGGGACAATCTATCCGCTTCAGCACTCGCCATGTCATCTTCGTTCAGTTCCTTGACTTCATCGTCTCGCTCCTTACATCCCATCACACCAGGATATCTAGATGGTGTCATTGTCCCCGACTGCGTTGTCGCCTCGGAAGCCTCAAAGTTTTGTTGGAAGACGTAACTAAGGTTCTGCAGTTCCGCGATGACTTGTTGAAACTGATGAAGAACGCGACGAGGGGGTTGATCCAAGGCATTGAGTTTGAATCTTCATGAAGAGGGAGATTTTTTCAGATAAACGAGGTATTGGTGATGCTTTTGTATCGTCCGGCACATCACCTTCGTTACCGCATGTCTCAGCGAGAAAACTCCCCCCATCTGATGCTGTGCACCAAATCCGCCGAATTGATCAGGGCTACGAGAAGGGGAACGACCGTTCACACTGACCTTCTTCTGCTTTGGGAACAGGACCCCCCAGATTTTGCTCCAATGTCTGTGGATAATGAGTGGGATTGGGAATTGAAGTTCCAGCGTGTGGTCCATCGCTAAATCCATCTTCATTGAATACAGCTACGACGGGGAGTTTGGTGGTTGGAGGCGGGGATGGCAACGACAAACCAGATTTATCACCCAATGTCGAGAGAGAAAGGTGAGGTTCTAAGGAATGAATGCTTAAGGGAGGAGTTACAACGTTCCTAGCCAATTTTGGGAATGACGGAGGATGGGAGAAGTCCTCTGCGTCAGTTCGAGTGAGCTGTTCTTGGAGAGCAAGCCAAGCAAAGAAGTCTTCATCTATTATTTCTGGAGCTTCGTCTGATGTCAAAGAATCTAGAGAAGAGCCTGAGACTTCGTATCTGTTAGTGTGGTCGAGCCATGAAAACGTTTCCGCAGGGCCAGCGATTGGAAGGACAGGCGACAGATCTGGAGTAGGTAGAAAGGACTCATGCGGCAAACGAGTATCGATTGGTTTTGGTATTGGGGGAAGGATATCAGGCTCAGGAGTACTATGGGCTGGGGACACGCAGATCGTTGATGGGCTACTGGGTCTAGGACGTCCCTGTGTTATTGGGAGAATTCGACAAGGAGGGGGACCTGCCTGTGAAAGTATACCTGGCTACGCAACAAGGAAAGCTTATTGTAAGGTCTCGCATTCCATTCCTTTTGAGAATGTGATCTTTCAGCTGCGTCCGCAGGTGAGTAAAGCGAATTGCGATTGTGAGAACGGAACTGAGCGAGCGGTCGGTCAAGCAGAACACCATAGTTTTGTTCGATTAATTGAGCTGATTCCTCAAGCGATGCCTCAGAACTAGCGATGAGTGCCTCCAATGCCCTGATACAGTTTGCAATTTCACCCCTTCGAGTTTGGGCGGTGACGGCATAGGAACGGCAGTAAATGCTTCTTTCAAGGAGCGCAAGGAGTATGACTTTGAGCCGTAGAGAGCATTGTACGTTGAGAAGCGGTTTGCAAAAGGATCGCCAGATATCGAAGCCAGCGGTACCGCGGTCATGTCGAAGAAAGTGACATCCTTTGTTGCAACCTATTGACGTCGGCGCAAAACCACTTTCGAGTACTCAACTCCAGAACAAGCATTGCCCGATGGTAAGCGCTCAGTTGGACGGTTTAATTATAATCGACGAGGCTGGGTAAGTAGCGCTTGGACATATCCTGAGCACCCCCAATAAATTAAGGTTTTTCGAGGCGACCGATCGTTCAGTCCAATTTCCGCAACTCATCTCCATCCTATGCGCTCGCCCACGTAGACGCTTTCAATCATGCTCTCATGAAAGCCTTATCTCAGGGAGCGCAGTCCAGTTTGGATCCCGTCCTTCACTTCAATATACCGGCCTCTGCTGACAGGACCTCTTCGGTATTGTGTCATGTCGAGCGAAACGGTCTCTGGTTCCTTTGTCCCGTTAGTGTGGAAGGTATCCCCAAGTTGCACGACATCGAAACCTGCGGCAGCATCTGATCTTTGCATAGTTGACCCGATTTTCGTCTTCTCATTCATCGACACGTTCATACAAACACTTATCGAATATCTCGGCGATATTTCATCGTCACTCATCAAAGATCACTTCGACGTGGTGTATCAGGTACTGGTCACGTACAGAGCGTGCTACTCGGCAATGGATCTGAACATCTTGTTAGCTTCTAGAAGAAATGCTCGATGACGGCATCCCACTAACGACCGAAACAAATACCTTGAGAGATATCGTCCTCCCACCATCACTCCTTAACAAGATGCTCTCAGTAGCCGGTGTAGTGGGGTAGGTGCGTCCAAATACGATGCACAATTACGATGACCTAACTTATTCGGTTAGCTTACCAACAGCAACCCCCGCTCCATTCTCGTCTCCAATCCCGTGGCGTAAGAAAGGACTGCGGTATAACAATAACGAAATATTCTTTGATATAGACGAGAGCATTGAAGCGATCATGTCCAGGTGTTTCAACCGCTTACTGTTGCTCACCATCGATCTAATGACGCCCCGGCTAGCTCAGGCAAGATAGTGGCAAGTTCATTGTGGGGGAAGATAAGATGCGATGCCAAGCTCTCTGGTATGCACCTTTTGTTCACAGCCTAGTCCAGTCACTGAACGAGTTGAGTTATCCAGGAACTCCAGATTTGCTCATGATAATGGCCAACACAAAAGCCATATCCACGCCATCCTTCCACCCTTGCGTGCGGTAGGTGTCTCCATGGTCCAATGGAATTTACTGCTCGACTCACTTGAGAATAGCTTACAGCGATGGGCTGACAAGAAAGAACTTTCATTTGTTCCACCTGACGGCCGATTTATCTTGATGGAGTACAGTGCTCAAACTCCGACAGTCGTCGTGGCCCCTGTCGTTCCCTTGCACATAAAGACTTCCGTACAAATTTATCAAGGCGGAGGTATGTCTCGGCATCCCATTTCCACATGGATTGTCACTGAGCTGCCTTGGACATTTTGTTGAAAGGGTCCATTGAAATCGTAGCTACCTCTAAACTGCCCGCCATCAGGCCCCTGGAGTCAGTCGTTATCACACTGTATCTTGGCCCTTCGGCGGGTTCTACGAACTTCACAGTTACCTCTGCCCCCGCTCTTGGGCGTGGTGGTATTCCTACTGGCCCAGCCGACAAGGATGGCTCTTGGGGGTTTGAGCCTCAGAAACAAGTATGTAGATCGTTGTACTCAATGAATTGAGTTGAACCCCGTTGTTGCAGACTCTGCGATGGGAGATACCAGAATTAACGCCTACTCTGCGTACCTTAAAAGGGACATTTGCAACTACGTTAGCCACTCTCGGACTTACACAGTCTCGAAGACAGCTAATTTTATTGCACAATTCCAGCGACTCTCAGGTGCCTCGAATTGCCCGATCAATCAACGTGTCCTTCAATTTTCCTCCAGGGACCCCACTCTCAGGACTCAAGATTGAACAGATGAAGGTAACACAGGAAGCATATAAGGCATATAAAGGCGTAAGAGTAAACGCAAAAGGCGCTGTCGAGTGGCGGATATGACGCGTAAACCCCATGTACTGTACATGGAAGCAACCACGGACTTCGATTAGTGCAGCTAGTCACTCGGCTGGAGTGATAACGAAATACATTGATTGAACCTTCGTTCGGAGACATACATGCTCAATGACGCGCCGTCTCTAAGATATGGAGTATTAAAAGGATCTAGGAAAGTGAGTCTTCGGTTGAATAGTGGAAGCCGCACTGTAATTGTTGGGGTTGATTATAACGTATCGCTCTGATCCAGCAATATTTCACGCCATTATATGGTGGTGAGACGAAACATCGAAAAGTCAGATCACAGCAAGACTCACAGGGTGGGCTTCTGTACAGACAACGATGTGAGTATGCGCAGCTAGAATGTGAATGTATATGGGCCAGCATATTTCACGAACTGAGGAAGGATGAAGTCTAGTTCAGGACTTCGGTTTGAAGATTTGGATGCTTACGAAGCATCCTTCAGAAGCAGGTCCATGATCAAACCTGGGTATATTCATTTCGTGCCGAACGACGATCAGCGCCTTGTGTGAAATCCCTATGATCAGAATATTTCGAATCGACGGGAGACAGCCTCTTACTTCGGCGAAGGATCTTGAGCAAATGACGACGTCGCTCCCAGTTATTGTTCTCGTCAGGGAGCTCCGCTAGCTCGTTTGTCCTGAAGTTTGCATCAGCCAGAGTAACTTTAATGCGAGGGATTGTTTGGACGCGAGTTCGCTGTTCTTGTTTATTTGCATCATCTGCCAGAACATGCAGTATGTCGACGGTAGAATCGCACACCAGATGATTTGCTGCCTCGGGTAGTGGAGAGAGACAAAGAGAAGCAGAAGCCATCATCTCAAGGGGACCAGATGCAGTATGAACGGCCGCTTCTTCACGAATCACCTCTTCCAGGCATGAACTGAAGCTAGGAATGCGTTCCTTTTGTGACTTTCTCTCTTTATTATTGCACGAGCTGTACAATTCCGTCTCAATCAATGCAATCATGTCGAGACCACGCTGTTGACGCTTCCATTCCATCTGAGCACGTTGAGAGAGTGAATGGATGGCGAGGCGCAATGGATGTGGCTTCAGGGCATCTGCATCACGGAGGTCGCGTTTTTCGAGGGTCTGAGGTAATGGTTGAGTCCTATAATGTCCAAAAGAGTGTCCAGCACTGTGAAAAGGATGGCCCATATCCAGATGTCCAGAAAAAAGTAAGCCTGCAAACAACAAGCGTGAAACTGGGTTTACCCCGTTTTGGTGTCTGTCACTGTCACAACAAAGATCACACGGTCACCCCGTGTCGAAGGAAAGCCAACTTCTCCCAGGCAGGGACGCTTGCGTTGAGTCGAAATGTCAAACCTGTCCCCCAAAGTCCACATTATCTCTCATCCCATCGCCCGGGCGAAGTTAAGCATCGTGAGGAATAAACTGACCGGAAACAGGGAATTTAGAGAGGTGACTTGAAGCGATCCCAGTCATTCCTGGAGAGCTGATGAAACTGGTGTAGTCCATTAGTGATCTGGGCTATATACTCGCCTTAGAGGCTAGCAGGGACTTGGAGGAAAAGACTTTCGATGGTGTACGCGTCCTTGCACCTGGTCGTCCATCACGGGTTGGTAACATTCCATGACAGTCCACCCCCGTAGGGGACTTCACGGGTTCGGAGATTGTTCCTTCAATCGGTCTGCTGCCTATTATGCGTGCTGGTATCGGAATGGTCGATCCTTTTTTGAGGTTGCTGCCAGATGCCCGTGTTTATCATTTAGGACTATTCAGGTTTGTCCGTGCTTCCACAGGCTCCCTCTCTGAGCCACTCATATGTTTTGACGCGTAGAGAGAAAGTCAGCCTTCAGCCTGTCGAATGCGAGTGCTTTACGACCCTTTGTATGACCCCCGCTGATGTTACCACAGATTACTCGAAGCTCCCTTCGACACCCAACGTTGACCACGTTTTCTTACTAGATCCCGTTGTCGCCACAGGGGGCACTGCTTGCGCAGCACTTCAAATGATTCTCGATTGGGGCGTGCCTAGTTGAGTTTCCTTTACGCCAGTGGCTTACCTGTCATTCTCAAGTTTCGCTGAAGTCGAGAAGGTGAAACTCCTCTCTATTCTTGGGTCTCGGGAAGGAATTACCGCTGTGTCCAAGCAATTTCCCAATCTGGAGGTAAACACGAATGATCCTGTGATCTTTGACCTGTTGCTAATAGAATGCAGATATGGACAATTGCCATCGATCCAATCTTGACTCAGCAGGGTATCATTGTTCCTGGACTTGGGGATGTGGTGAGTATGCCAAAATGTGCACTTAGGTGATTCAGCTCGAGCAATTTCTCATCAGGGTGACCGCCTCAACAACACACCCAATGCTCACTAGGCATCCTGCACATCTATCCCCTCCGTTGATTCGTGCTGAATGGCTTCATAGAAAAACTTTGTGTTATTGCCAATATTACTTGTGTATTTTGTACATACTACACTCCTCAAATACAAGCTGTACAACTTTTAAACCTCGACATGAAAGACACGCGACGGCTCCGGTGTCAAAGGCTTGCTACGTTACAGTCCCAACGGAGCCCTACACTTGGACAGGCTCCTCATCAATGACTAGTTGCTGGCTGGGAGCCCACGCTCACCTGGTTTTGGAGCATCTTGTCCATCGACTTTGGGCGCCTGCAGCGGCCTGCTTTGAGTGAGGGCTGGTTGGGATGCCTTGTCCTTTGTAGCCTGAAGTGCGCACAAAGCAGCTACATTGATTTATCGCGTGAGACACGGTAGCTGCACTTAGCGAAATCACGGGCTCACCTCCCACACCACTTCCATCCTTGGCCAGCCCAATCTTGATCCTCTGCTCAACCTCCTTCCCAAGGACAGTGGTAAGGGCGACACGCGCTCTTTCTTCGAATTGAGGGTAATGTTCCGCCACGCTGAGTAACGGGATAGATCAAGGCGAACCCTTGGTTGTCCAGGAAGCCATTGATTCACCTTCCATCCACGCCTACATGAATATCTCCATTGGTTTTTTCCGGTGCGTTCGTTTTCTTCACAATGGCCGCAAGACCAATTCCACTCAGCTTGGCTGCCCTTGTAGCGACAATCCTGCAAGCCCATCTCACGATAGAAAAATCGGTGTCGGAGAATTCGAAGTCTTCCGCAAATCCGAGCCCATGAGTAAAGACCTTGCGTGCTCGGGTGAAGAACTCTGGCGAGTGGTCGGGGTCTCTTTCGATATCCGACATGAGCGCAGTGTCGAATCCGTAATGAGCGTTGAGGGAGGGTGTCGAATACCCCTGAAGAGGATGTGTTTGTCGACAAGGTGGACTGGAGACGAATTAGGAGGACGAATTAGTAGGTTGAAGTAATATATCATACGTATTATGTTCCTGATTATTTCGCCTTGGTCTAAACATTTTAACCGAGACTCAACAAAGGGTCATACCCGGTGAAAACATGACATACACATTCCGGAGATTAGCTTTTCGAAGGCTTGCTTCCGCCTTCGAAGCAGAAGTCAGACGGAGGGTCGAAGGTAGCACAAATAACAATAACTCACGGATTGATGCTTTCTCGGTCAAGCTTATTATCATATTCGGTGAACGGCAAAACGTTCCGCTGGCATGATAAAAGAGTCGTGTCAATTTCGAAAAGTCGATTTCTCGGAAGTTCACGCACCGCGTTGTCGAATGCTCCCCATTCCGTGTTGACAACCATCTTTCCGCCCTCCGCTCTAGCATCTACCGGAAGCTTTCGGAACGCCGAGACTTCATCCAGGTATGCGGCATTCGTTCCAGTACCATATATACATCCCACGAGGCAACCCCCTACAAGGTATGAACGAGAGAGTAATGTTCCCACCGTCTGTTTATATGAACTGACGCTAAGCCGATTCCTAGACCCAGGGACTAACCGGGACACTCACATCGTTAACGAGTGCAACACATTTGACGTGTAGGCGTTTTCTGTCAAAGGCGTCCTGAAGCATTCTAACGACATCTTTTCCTTGGGCCCCGGTGGCGGAAAATCCTTTTGTCCACGTGAGGAGCGTACCTTGGTCAAGAGCGGTTTGTTCGACAGGAAAAGAGAAGGTGAACCCCAATGGGAGATAGTCTCCACCCTCGATTTGACTATCGATGGATGTCAGGAAGGCGCTGACGCTATCGGCCAAGAAATCTAGTATGAGGTAATGGCAATAATTAAGATGTGAGCGTAATACAATGGGCTGGTGGTTCAGCAGTCATGATGGTTGTAGGGCTTGGCTCACCGAAAAGGATCTTAGCATCTCCCGTTTTGAGGGAATCTGATACTTGGTATTTTTGTTGACGGAGAGTGAATTTGTGCTTGCTTTCGAGTTTGACTTCGCATACACGACTAACGTCAACGGACCGCAATCGGATTCAAGGGTTAAGGACCAGTACAGTCAGTCGGAATGTCCAATGATTTAAGAGGCAGTGAAAAATGTCAGGGAAGTACTGACAGATTGGTTCCACCGAGATCCAATGCAAGGAATGTCCTACATGACCATACGCATTCGAGGAGTATAAGTGGAGCCGCGCACAATTAATCCGAGTTAGTCGCTCTTACCCTACCTCCTCACCAGTTGGCACGCCAGTCACAAACGTAGGTATCATAGCCATCGGATGACCATAGTTGGAGAGTCCATAATCGAACTCTTCGATGAAGCGATCGAGAATGGCGTGAAGCTTTGTATCGTCAAGCTCAAACTGCTTCTCGATTTCGTCAAGGATACGAACGGTTTCCGGGGACGAGTCGATCTTGGTCTCTGGGTTGGGGGGCATGGATTCGTAGGGAGGACTCCAGCCTCTGTGGCTCCGTATGAAGATCGAGGTTGAGAGAACTCTCAGACAGGGTTTTTCCGCAAACCCCGCAATTCAAAAAAATCGCGCTTCACGACAATTCTCAACCGACCAATCCCCACGATTTAACATGCGTTGGAAAGTGCTGAAGTAAGTATAGATCAATTTTAAAAAAGTGTCCCAAATGCAGTAAAATACAAAATACAGCCCAGTAAAGCTTCAGATATCGTCCTACATCCATACCAAGCCTTCGACACCAATTACAAGCTGAAACGAGCTTCCAATTATGCCGAATTGTGCCTCCACGCTCTGGTGACCCGGCCTTTGGCCGTGGGAAATTCAGGGTCTAGTGACTGGAGGCTCATTTCAGCTTGCAATTGGTGTCGGGCTTGGACATATGGACAATATATGAAGCACAAATATGTTTCTATTTGTTTTACTTTTGAATTTACTGCTTCGGACACTACTCTATACCCTACATAACACACATGGCTGCATTTCTGTACCCATGTTAAATCGTGAAAGAATTGGGTGAACAATAGCGTAAACTCTGAAGCGCAGTTTTGGAATTACGGAGTTTGCCTGGAATTTTGGAGGCGCGTAACCTCGGCTCACTCCAGAACATTGGCTAACAAATCGAGAGCATGTTGATGGCCTCCATTATCGAGTGTCACGATGCGCGCGCTTCGTCAGCTCAAACATTAGTCACCCGTGACTGCCGTGATCACCGTCGCTTGTATTCGCAAGGCTTGAGGAGGTCAGTAGCTTTCGCTTCAATCTGTGCCCAATCCTTCTTCGATAAGGGACCTCGCTTAATTTTTTCGAACTCGAAGACACAGAAGTGTGTGTTTGGGTCGGTCTGGAAACAAATGCTACATTGAGCATCACGAAACTAATTGGGTTTAACTTACTGTTTCAATCAATTTGAACCCTAGCGTCGCAATCAACGAGGTGAAAGCTTTCTTGCTTTTGAGGCGACTCGTTACCTCGGCAATTTTCATTCGTCCACTTTCGCAAACGAAACATCAGTAAATGGGATGCAATTTGAGGGGGAGATGTCGTACCCAGTTTTCAGAATCCTTCGCGCCTCCTTGACGCTTTTTATCCAATTTGTATTCATCAGACTCAGCGAGAACACAGCGACATCTACTATCTGGGCTGTTGAACCACCCAAATCGTCTATGTTCCCAGGAAGAGGTATATGATTACACAGGTCCGCTTCCGTGACCCATTCCCCATCTGAAACGAGATCGTATGAAAGCACCCGGAAGCCACGAGGGGAGAGATTTTTTGCCAGAGATGCATCTCCACATCCGAGGTCGGCTATCACCGTCGATTCGGCAGAATATGTAGAAGAGATAGAGGATGTAAAGTATGTTACCGGGTTCACAGGCCAAGAAAGCACTTGGCGGCGGAAACCCGAGTGATACTGTGATCGGCAGAATCAGACATAGTGCAGATAAATCGAAATGTAGCCTACGTCTTTGTAGACATCAGGATCTTGCTGCATCATTCTGAGCGAGGCAGCACCATCAGACTTGTATAACAGCTCGTTAATCATCCTGCAGGGATCATTTAAGAGACACGATCGGTGGGCGGGGGAATTTGTGCTACCTGAATCGACTCCCGCTCAGTTTCGCCTTCATGTCACGCTGGGAAGGCGTTAGTCCATCCAATTCAGCTGAGCTGCTACTGGCTAGTCCCGTGTGGTTGAGGTCGGGAGGCGGCGAAGATGGTCGCTCGGCTACGGGCTCCGTTACGTCACTCTGCATATCCAGAATCGAGGAGGGAGGAGGAGAAACTGCAGTTTCCCGATCCTTAAGGATGTTGGCCAGCTCGGCCTTACGTTGTTGTTTTGACTTTTTCTTTTTGGACTTTATCCGCGACAGTACGGTGCTTGGGTCTTCTTCGCCGTCCCCTGCTGAGGATGGCGGAAGAACGTCGCTCTCCTCTCTACGCAGCCTTTTGGGAGGCCGGGGGGGCTCCCTGTTGGTGAGGATGCGAAGGACGTTTTTCGTGTGGCCTCTTGAGAGGTCTTGGCAGGAGACTGAGGCGGGTCCATCCGTGACCGTTTCCTCGTAAGCGTGTCTTTTCTGCCAGGGATGGATAACTTTTCCAAATGGGTCTTGTGTTTTCTCTCTGAGCCATTGTTCTCTAGCCTCATCTCCCGCATTAGCGCCTGGAGATTGAGGTTTGTGGACGTTGATGACGACGCTCCGGAAGGGGCTTTATCAGAACGTTTTCGCTTCCCTCTCCCCTTCCCCGGGGGAACGGGTACGATGCCATTATCCCATCCAGGTACAGAGAACAACGACATCTTGAGACGTCGAATCCAGTGGCAGTGTCTAACGCGCTTAGGTAAACCTTCTGACTCATTTCACTATCGGGAATTATCGGCGGATGAACTTTGTTCTGGTGTCTTGTCGGGTGTCACGCCCTAAAATATCTTCACTATCTCTATATTCCGGAGGCTGCTCGATATCTAGAATGGGTAGCCGCAGATCTCGCTCCGGTTCGCCTCCTCCAGCTAAACGTTTTCGATTGGAACAAGAGGTTTCTGAGGCTTCTGATACTCCTTCAAAGAGAGTTAGCTATCGTAATGGCGCTTTTCTCGCTCCCATGGTACGATCTGGGACTCGTTAGTGATCTTTGATATGTGTTCTTGGCAGCACCGAATCTTTGACAATCATTAACTATCAGTACCCAGTAGGCTTCTTGCTCTGAAGTATGGTGCCGACCTTGTGTGGGGTCCAGAGGTTGTTGATAGAGCAATAATTGGCTGTGAGCGTGTAATTGATGGTAATTTTTTGGATCACTTCTTTGGCCACATACCAAAGCTAATTGTTCTTTTCACTCCGCTTCAGAGGAGACTGGGTAATATCGTACGAAAAGAACGGTCGTTTAATATGGTCCACCCATCCCATAGAAAAACCATATTTGGTGTATCAAATCGGCTCAGCGAACCCACAATTTGCAGTACAGGCGGCCCTGACAGTCATTCACGATGTTTCAGCCGTTGACCTCAACTGCGGCTGTCCAAAACCGTTTTCTACGCACGCTGGCATGGGAGCCAATCTACTTTATACACCAGACCTTTTATGCGAAATCCTCAGTTCTCTCCGATCTGCTATCCCTTCCTACATTCCAGTCACCGCGAAAATTCGCCTTCTTCCTGATGCCAATGATACCTTGAAACTCGTCGAGAGGATCGTCAAAACCGGGATTAGCGCTCTTACTGTTCACTGTAGGACGAAGGACATGCGTAAAACGGAGGAGGCGCATGTGCACCGGCTGGGTGCCATAGTTGATTTTGTCAATCAGTTAGGGGAAGGGATTCCAGTGATCGAAAATGGTGATTGCACCAGCCGGGAAGATGGCTCGAGGATTAAAGAGCGTACAGGTAGAGTGGAGTGGGCTGTAGTGTTCATTTGGTCTCACATTTCTCTAGGCGTGGATTCCGTGATGATAGCTACAGCAGCGGAACGGAATCTGTCCTGCTTTGCGAATGGCCCTCTATTGGATGCAGAAACTGTCCTTTCCCCGACATATCTTTCCCTGGTATGTTACAATTTATTGGACGTAGTATCCGCCAATATTTCCTGTTCATTTAACAGGCAAGGTATTTAAAGAACCCCTGGGGCAACTCCAAACATTGTGTATCTCAATTTACTTCGCCCAGCCCCGTTAATGGTCGGGCGGGACTTAAAGCGTTTAAGGATAAATTAGGGAAAGCAAAGGGCTACCTAGACTTTGATGAAGAGATCGGTGGCACACCAGATGGAAAAGTTATCATGGATGAGATCAAAGATATCTTAAGAAGGCGCACAGCAACAGCGCTTGAGGCACTGGAGCCTTGCGAACCCGCCTTCACCGAAGCTTCTGCACGAATAGCATCGGTTTTCGTAACACCGCCTCAATCTCCGGTCACCGCTGCTGTACAATCCACAGCCTGACCTCTCTGTGTGCCTATGTTAATTGAATTTGTGTGTCTTAATAAAGATGGGTGTTTGGGCCCGAATCAATATTGTTGCCATCTCTGTCTTGGAACTGGGTGTGACCGTTCGCAGGACGTGACCACAAAATTTTGGCAGGATTTTCGACACCGCAATCAGGCATTCACTCCCTCCTGGTTGGCCCCCATCACAACTGCGTTATATAGGGCGTGAATAACTGGTGACGTGCTTGCGCGCTGTACTGCTACTCTGACGTCGCGCGCAGCAATGTCTGCGTCCATCCATTCTACTTCCTCGAATACTCGCACTGGTGTTTGGGAACCCCTACCTGCCGTGATCTATGCAGTCGTAATACACCCTCTGGACCCTCCAAAGGTTGTTGGGACAAGTAATGACGGTCCTGGGGGTCCTGAACATGGTCCCACGAACGGACTCCAAACTCTGCCAGAGGAGCTCGAGCCTGATGATCCTATGGCGAATCAACATCTAGTGCCTCTCGAGATCGGAGATGAGGTATATGCCTTTGAGAGGTTTGTGTCGGATGCCAGAGCATCGTGGTACAGAGGGTGAGTGTATGTCGGTGCGAGCCGCTTAGAAACTGATACAGTGATAGCCCAGTTATGTTGTTTCGACATCCTTTCAAGCCTCCATACCGATACGTGCCATTGATGCCCCTTCGTCTCTGTATGGGGTGCCTTAGCTTCCGTTACGGTTGCCCCTGAGGAACAGAAGTTCTCCAAGGGGGTACTTCCTGCCTCCCACATTTACATACGTGAGCATCTTCCAGATGCACAGGGGCGTCTAGCAGATCTATACTCCAGAGTTATGAATGGTCAGGTTGACGGTGCCCCGCGTGCGATTGGCGGAATGGTACCCCTGCAGGAAGTTGAAGGAGAAGACGAACTGGAGGGAGGCAATTCATCGTCAGCCCATGCCAGGAGCCCGAGGGGTCCTCGTCCTGTGCACCATACACCGATCCCCCCTTTAACGATGGACGTCCAGTTGCTACCTTCTGGCGAGCTTGCTCATTGAAACCACCTCCACCAAGGCCTTCGTTGAAATCTAGTGACGAGACCGTTTCAGGTGCTGCTGAGCCCTTGATAGACGAGATAGCGTCGACATTAAGGGAGTGGCACGTTCACATGTTCAAGCATTTGCAACAGCGGGATTATCGATTATTCAATCTCGTCAAGGAGCATATTGAAGCTCTTCATCTGAGTCGGCGGCAACTGTTAAATGGATCCCTCAGCGTCGAGGAGACAACTATTCTTCGAAAAGAATGCGTAGTTCGTCTCGTGAAGGGTAATATTGCTCAAGATCTGGATGTTATTGTCCGCCACCCTCTTTGGGGGAGTCTTGTGACAGTTGAACACGACGGTGATGTTGATCCCCGTAGTTGGATGAGTGCCGTCCGTATGTTCACATTACAATCATCGCTTGCGTACATCGAATCACAACCAACGGCAACATCTGTTTTAACAAAACTGTCCGCTCTCAGTCCTCCTGACAGAACGCGCGGCCGTTCTTGTTCTAATCTTATCACATCTACATCGCCTACTAAATCCACACTTAATTTGGCCGAAAACGTAACCTCAGCCTTATCACCAGGCCTCCGAGCCACGGCACGTCAAGCGGGGATGTTCTTTCATGTGTATCTCGAGATCCGCGCTTTCGTGGCATCGCCTAGCCTCCCAGGCGAAACTGCGGAACTCTACTTCTCACTGTACAGCAAAAGCATTTCCCAGTTCATCAGTGAGGAGTTTTGTGCTATTCTCAATCACAACGGTGTACTTGCTCGGGATCTAGATGGGAGTACTTCCCCGGGGCACATCCGCGCTTTGTTCAAAGATGTTGGCGAGCGTGAAGCCAAGGACGATATTTACCTCGTATGTCGAATCGTGCGAAATGGAGCGATGAAACTTGGTGATTCCGGTGGCACCAATGTTGACCCATTACGACGTGGGTCGGAACCAACACTCCAGAATATCACGGAAGGCGTGGAGAATTCCCAGTTTAACCGTCGCAACTCAGCCCTCCCCGCCGCCCAGGATACTCAGGCAACATCCTTTCGTCGTCCATTCGGAGCAGCTGTATTGGAGCTCAGTGCATTGAAATCCTTATCTCATGACGGTGTGGAATCGACGGCGGCCACGGAGCATACCCTCCCTATTTTTGTGCCCACGAATGAAACTACGTTTTCGAACCTTCATCAGCACCTTATTATGAGCAATGTCCGGGAGTTTGAGAAGTCCCCAAGGTATGTTTATGAAGTTTTCATTGCCTTTATTGAGGATGTAACTGTCATTATCACAGGGCCCAAACGATTGCTGCAGTGGTGAAGACGTTTCATGGCGAAGCGGATGTTATTGCCCGCGAGAACCCGTCGCTGTTGCATAATGTCCCGACAGTTGCACGTCTCGGATTTCCGGATGTTGTCTTCCCAGGAGATGTTCGGAATGATGTGTATATCAAACTTTGGTCAGGGGAGTTCCATCAGTCCACTGGAGGGGGTGGGGTGCTTCGCCATATGCCATCATTTTCGAGTTCCTCTGGCAATCTCGGCACTGTCCAAGTCACCCTCGAGGTTCGAACTCGTGCGGGGGCCCTGGTCGAAGGAGCCATATCTCAAGGCGTCGGCGAGCCTCCAGTTTCGCGATTCCACTCGCTTGTCTTCCAACGCACGAACAGTCCTACGTTTGGCGAGCTTTTAAAACTTTGTGTAAATCCGGATGTTCTGCCCCAGTGTCATCTCTTCTTTACTTTCAGGAATCGGAGTTCTAGAGAGAAGAGTAATGGTAGAGGCTTGGCTGATTCAGCACACCAAGACCGGGCGTTTGCATTCGCTTATCTGCCACTTTGCCCTGATGGTCAGGCCTTTGTGCCCGATGGTAGTCACAGTCTTGTGTTATATCGTGCGGATAAATCCGCATGGTCATCTGCCGAAGACTATTATGGAGTTCCCCCGACATTGAAGTCTGGTCAGAAGCTCGAGGATCTTGTCATCCCTCCTCATCTCACGAAGACGGTCATCCCAATCCGCGATGCACTTATCATACGCTCTCTGCTTTGTTCGACCCAATTCACACAGAATTCAGTTCTTCTCGGGCTGCTAAGCTGGGATAAACAAGAAAACCAGATTGAGGACTTGAAGACAGTGTTGTCTCAATTTCCCTTCGTTGGGGAGGTGGAGATCGTCAAGTTTTTACGAGACATTTTCGATTGCCTGTTCGCCATCCTTGTGTCACCCGTTAACGAAAACGGTGTCCTGGACGACCTAGTCTTCAACGCTCTCATAGTTGTCTTGGGGATCATCCAGGATCGACGGTTCAATAATTTCGAGCCAGTTCTCGATCTATACATTGATCAGCACTTCACTTGTGCGGCAGCATCGTCCAACTTGATGGGATCGATGAACCGCCTTCTTGCAAATCCGTCCTCAGAGGAGACAGCGGCCCAGCTTCGCAGCGCATTCAAGGTCTGGCACTACATCCTCAAGTTCATCGTGCGTGCTCGAATGATCCAGAAATCGAGAGAAGTTGGAATGGGCGCAACCTCGGAACACCTGGAGGCCACTTTTAAGAAGGACCTCCGTTCTCATATCAGCGATGTCATCTCTCTGATGAAAATAACAAGCCCTTCCTCTCTTATTGGGACACAGACCATTGCGTTACAGCAATTCCCTTCTATCATCCCTGACCTTGGCTTCATCTTCTCTCCTGCAGATGTAGTATCTATTGTCTCCGATCTTTCGGATGCCTTGCGAGGTGTCAAGGGTCGGATGATCATATGGAAGCTCATGCTGTACCTTCACGTTGTCCGCGGTTACCTCTTTGATCTACCGGATTCAAGAGCTGCTATTGTGGAAGCCATGGTTGGTTGGATCAAGCCATATCTGGGGCATTATGATGAGTACCGTCATACACGCATCGACGATTCGGAAGCTGCTAAGGACAGTGCTCGTATCGGGTGGCTAGAAACTCTGCGGTTGACCATTTCTGTCGTTGCCGTCATGCTCGACAAGCTGCAGCAGGTCCTTGCCGAGCCTGTAATACAGGAAGATCGCAGAGCATACAGTCTGGAGGAAGCAAATGTTGGCTGGATTCTGTCACTTCTGCCACGGTAAGTGAACAGGGCACGCTGCATTGATCGTCACTCTCAACCTGTTTTCCAGAGTGGTGGAAGCTTATCATGAGTTTCAAGGTGCCGAGAATCTCAAGGCTATGGAACGATCGCGATTGCCAGCCATGGTGGCTACCTCCTTCCCGATACCATTCCCTGCTCTATATCCTTTTTCTTTGATATCCGAAGGCACCACACCTTCCAAAACGTTCATTAATGGCGTGCTTCACCATACGCCCAACTACTACAATTGTGGCTTAGCAGAAGTCGCAGTAGTGTTTATCGCTATGATTCTTATCTCTACTCCCAAGGACCTCCTTACGTTCTTTGAGATGACATTGGAGATCGAGAGGCAAAACAACCTTACCCGACTTTTGATATCGATGTTCACGGTTGAGGCATCAATATTGAATAACGAAGCGTTTCCAAACTCGTGGCTAAACATCGACATCCTTGCCCGCAAGACATTGCTAAAACTTATGGAGCCGATAGCTGTGATTCTTACTCGCGACTTCATACCTGATGTACCGGATTCTGAACATGGCTTTCACCAACAACTCTGGTTCGATTTCATTCATATCTTGCTTCGAACTTTGTCAAGCAACCAGCTTGTTATCGAAGAATTGAGTCCGCAGGTGAGTTCCGAGCGATACAGCCGGAATACAAGTTGGAGTAAAATAATGGATTCGAAATACGCAGAAACGGAGAGCAGTCTGGCGCTTAGCTGGAGATATTCGCGGTGAGGGTGCATCACTGTTGATAAGGAGTTGGGAATCTCTTGGCTGGACGCAAGCAGTCTCGACTTCAGGCCAGCCCATCGTAATATACGGAGTAAGTGGATCTTAACTTTCTATATCCGTCTAACTCATTTTTGAATAGGGGTATCAAGCGGATCTCATCGATTTGGTAAATGAGACCCTCCATCTATGCCTGAGTCACCATGATGAGCTGCGCACGCATGCGGTTCAGATCTTGTTCAGCATGATTCTGACTGAGTTCGAGAGCACGGGGGACTTCATCAGGGTCGAAACAGAGTTGATAAATAAAATGGACGAGCTCTTCATGTCGGAAGCGAAGACGGATGATCTTTCCAGGGCTCTCTTTGTCCATGAGCTCCGTGGACTTTTTGAGCAATGCTCAGGTGATCAGAGGCTTCGAGACCGGGTGACAGAATCCCTGAACTCTGTTGATGATTTCCTTGAGCTACTCATCAGTGTTAGAGAACTTCCTGAAGGGGACGAGTACCAAGACGATAGGGTGATAGCAACCCTCCGCCTGATGAATTTCATCCGCCGAATTGGTCGAAACGAGATATACATTAAGTATGTTCACCAACTCGTGAATGTGAGTACTTTCTTCGCGGCCTGACACGAAACTAAGTTTCACTGTGCAAGATGCATCTTCAAAATCACAATTACGTCGAAGCTGCTCTCACTCTCAAGTTGCACGCCGATTTACATGAATGGGATCTCACCACCCCGGTTGATCCTTTGCCTGACCTCAATCTCCCTCGCCAATCTGCCTTTGTTCGCAAAGAGACTCTGTTTTTACTTGTCATTGATTTTCTAGGTCAGTGGTTCATGAGATCCATCTGGGTTACCTTTTAACTCGTTGTAGGCAAAGGGAAAGCGTATGAGAGCGCGATCGAGATCTGCCAGGAAATAGCTGCACAGCATATGGAGGTCACTTTCAATTAGTGGGTCACATACACCCTCTCGAATTTCTGAGAATCTTAGATTTGCTCGCGACAGCCCTCGGTTAATGGATCTCCTTCGTCAGCAAGCAGCGTTATTTGACCGGATTATGACCGACGAAAGGGTGTATCCTGACTATTACCATTTATCATTCTACGGAGAATTCCCTGTTGCTCTGCGAGATAAGCAGTTTATCGTGCGTTTGTCTGGATCCGCTTTGAGATGCGTGCCAACATCTATCCTTAGTACCGGAGTTTTGAGCACGAGCCTTATGAGGACTTTTGCAAGAGGATGCAAGCAAAATACTCAGGGGCATATTTGATTTTATCACTGGATGAATCCAGCGATGACATCAAATACGGAACCCAGCAATATGTCCAAATCATCCCCGTCACCCCTGAGCCTGACCGCACGAGTCCCGTTTTCGTGGGCCTAGATGTTCCTGCAAGGATTAAAACTTACTATGAACACTGGTGCGATCTTGCGTCCTTAACCCTTAATCGGACTAACCCACATGCTTTTTTCAGTGCCGTCAATACCTTCAGCTACACCCGGCCGTTTACTCGGGTATCCCCAAGTGGTGATGCGGAAGACGTTTGGTCTTTGAAGAGCTTTTTGACGACGGAGGATCAATTCCCCACTGTTTTGCGTCGGTCGGAAATTATCGATACGCAACATATGGAGGTATCGCCCGTAGTGAACGCCTTGACGGCCGTGGAGCAGCAGGCGAAGGAACTGTCTATGTTGGAAGTCAGGTACTCTGCACTCTCCAAGATCGATGCCGTTACGAATACGAATGCATTGGCGATGGCACTGAACGCGGCTCTCGACGTGCCTTCCGATGCGGGTATTCACCTTTATCGCCTCATGTTTCTCACAGAGGCCTACCGGTCGTTGCATCTCGACGAGGTCGAATCAATTGGAAAACTCTCAGCCGCCATCATGGAATTGGTATGTTCAATATTTACAATTTTTCCCCCATACGCTCACCTCTCCCAACAGACGCAGGTAATTGATAAATGCCTAAAGTTGCATGGCGAATACTGCCCCGAGGACATGCTGGATTTCCATGGGCAGTTGGTGAAGTTGTTCCTCAAGAACTTCGGCGATGAAATACAACGGTTGGCCATTAACGCCAACCCAATAGATCCGTCAGTTTCGACTGGAAGGCTTCCCCAAAGTCCAATGCCAACATTGAATGACCCCAGCAATCGAGTCGGCGGTACCAGAGGCCATTCCACGTTGGCACGGCAAAGTCTGTCCGCTCTGGCACTTGGGAGAGACGTCCCTTCCCTATATGTCCACGCCACCGCTTCCGCCCCTTATTCTCCCGAACTCCCTTCAATGAATCCTCCTGGCTCTCAGACACCTCTCCAGCGTAGTCTTGCGAACCTGACCCGTCACGGTATGCACGGGATGTTGAACTCGTTGGCAAACGGTTATGATCAGATTGATGCGTTTGCAACGAGCCCAACAAACGATCTTGCCACCAGGAGGACGTCTGGATCTGCGTCGCTATCGTTTTTGGAACACCCTACTCATTACGAAAATGGTAGCATTACGGCGAATGGGTATCAGCAATCCGTACTATCGCGTGGTGCCTCCATTGGCGGAGCAGCCAGCATGTTCAGCACCCGATTGTCACGCTTTGGTAGCATACTACGCCGACAAGGCACTCTTCCTGATCGTTGATTTAGATCCTCTGCCACTTGCGCCAGGGAGATTGCGGCTTATACGTGCTCCATGTCGCGCACTATTTAAAGACGATCTGTTATGTATCACTGTTTAATGTCGTCGTGTCTTTATTCGTACTATCATCAATTTTTTGACTGTAAAATATATGTTGAACTCGCTGATTGTCGAACGATGGATCTTCCAATATAGGTATTAGATTTGACGGTAAGCTTACAAGAAATTGGCGCTTCAGCCGAACTAGTCGGGATTCGGTCAGTGTAGGGGTTCAGTCAAATAAAATGGAGGCCCAGACCTGAATAAGATATGATTCTGCAACTATGCGAGCACGAGAATTTAGACTAAGCTTCATTTCGCTAATTTCCTTGTCCACCTCCTCCATAAATCTGACAGGATTCCAAGGTCAGTGCAAGAATGGATTATCGAGACGACCCTATTACTGGATAATGAAATCCACAAGCTTGTGCTTCAGCATCGTCTCGGAGTGAAAATTAGTAATGAGGAACGATATATCGTAGCCCTGAAGACACGTCCATAAGTCAAAAGCCCTTAGGTGAAGCATAGACACGTACAGTCACCGGCTTTCTTCGTAAAATGATGAAACTTTCGGCTCGCATAGTCATGAACCGGGTGAACTTGTGGCAAAGGATCTTTTCAATTTCATCTGCTTGCTTGATCCTTATACTCAGTCGTATTGAGTTGACTGATGGTTCGATGAGCACTCTCTCATTCTCATTACGCGATATGACAAGGGGCGTCAATAGAACTTCGCGGGATGTCCTGAAAAGAAGATACGTCAAGATATAATGGACCGAAATTACGGATCGAGCCGTACTGCGCCTCAACTTCCGGCTTGTTGTGCCTTTCTACAACCTAGCGCACCCATCAACATCAACTATCGTCCCAGAGCGCGTCACGAAAATACCTGCGATGCGAAATTCTCCAATGTCATCGCAGCAGTCAGGGTGGATCGGACCGCAGCGAGATACGGTCGAAGTGCATTAGACTGTAGGCGATCGTAATTTTAGCTTCCGTTGACCAACAAGTAGGATACCCTAACCATGTTGCAAGTCAATCGATGCTAGCTCGGGAAACCTTGGACCGATCGGGAACGCGGAAGTTGCCGCGGCAACTTCCACATATTAACTTAAACTGGGCCACCAAAAACTTCACCTCTTGCGCATTCATTCAACATGAGCACCGCTCTCGCATTCTGGTAAGTGCAACAAAACAAAAACTTCATATCGTTTGCCGTATGTCCCAATGTTTAGGGCGCAGAAGCTCGAGCCTGGCAAGAAAATCCGACTTGAACAGCCAGCGGAGCTCGCTATTAAAATTACGGGCGTCACCTTTGATGAGACTCTCGTGAATAATGAACGAACATCTGTGAAGGCTCATGTTAAGGATGAGGAGTCTGACAAGCCCGTCTCCTTCGTGCTTGCGAATCTTATTCCTGGCAAAGTGGGTAAACTGTCATTTTACAAATTGTATCTCAATGTCTGATCGATATGTTTACAGATTGAGTCACAACTCTTGGATTTGATAGTGGTCGAAGGCGAGGAGATCGAGTTCGAAGTTATTGGAAAGAAGTCAGTTTGCAATACTCCAATGCCACTATTCCCCTCCCAACCTTTCCTTCACAGCACTGTCTACTTGTCTGGCAACCTCATCTGTGAGTGTGTTGTCGGCATTTACGTTAGTTTATAGGGCTCATTGGCCTGTCTAGATCAAGTCCCTCCCGGAAGTGACGATGAGTTCGATGAAGACGATGATGATGAGGATTCGTATCTCCTGCAAGATGTTGGCTCTGACGTTGAGATCAACCCTGATGAGCTTATGGATGTGGAAGATGAAGGGGATTCAGGGTAAGTTCACTACGCAATACTTGGGTATCGGGTGATAGCGAGTGACACCTCACTTCGACAGTCGCTTTGAGGATTAGAGGAAGACAAAGAGCCCGCTCCAGCACCGAAAGCACCAGTGTCTAATACTCCCAAGAAGGAGAAGAAGGGCGACAAGGCGCAAGGGGGTGGCAAACCGAATAAACCTTTCTATAAGAATGATAAGCCTGCCGCAGATGGGAAGAAACAACCAAATAACAAACCACAAGGTGACAAGCCGCAAGGTGGCAAGCCGCAAGGTGACAAGCCTGGTCACTCTGGCGGGGCCCAGAGTCAAGAGAAGAAAAAGCACAAGGTAAATGGTCTTCGTCGCTTTTGCAGCCACGACCTAACCCAAATTCAGAACAAGAACAAGAACAAGAATCAGGCTTGACGGGCACCTCCTTCATGTTAGTCGCAGGATCTCATTCCATTAAAAGTATCTATCAATGTCCATAAGAGCATAATCTTAATTCTTTGGATATTCTGGCGTCCTTCGTTCGTTCGGCTCACACGTTACCATTCCCATGTCAATTGTCATTGAATGCTGACGTTATTGTTCCTTGTTGACGCCGTGAGCTCAGCCGATTCATCTAAGACCGCCGTGTGCCACTAGAGCAACTCTGAGCCGGTATATGCACTGGAAGAGCATTCCACTTTGTTGCTATACCTGGGAGCCTCGTCGTAACATTTGGTCTTTCGGGTCTTCCTCAAGGCGGAATGCCTATGGCACGCCGTAAATCAACGCCTTTGCATCGTGCCTCCGCTCCCGATCTTCCGTCTACTACTTCTGGGTCTGACCGGTTGCGTGAGGCCCGAATTATCCGCGTCCAAACGTCCCAACAGTGTATAGCTCTATTTCATCGTGGGCTTCCTTTTCCTTGTGCGGAATCCATCTCTCTGCTTGGCTATCTTCACTACGTCGACCCACCACAGATGACAAGACTACTTCTACTAATGGCCTGTCTCCCTCTACAACTATGTGTTTACCTGACGAGAAGTGGATCCGCGCTGGTGGAGTTTATAACTTTTTTGAGCATCGCCCCCGTCAGCGTAATCGTTACATGCCCTACGTGACTAGAGGAGTCGGAGTTCTCGATAAATTACCTTCATTCTTATCTTTAATGCTTCTCATCGCTGGCAATGACCGTTTCATGGAAAGCCATAATTCTATAGTACCAACCCTCAAAGAGTCGGAACTGTCGACGATGAGCGTCAGTATAACCTATTACACAAAAACTTTGACTCTCGCGATCGCTCAGCATTCTCTTCCTCTCGCAGCTGTACAATGCTACGCCTCAAGCTCTTCCTAAGATTCTAGGTGCCTCTAACGTCACAGATGATAATTCGCCTCCTATCTCAGTTGAGGCGGTGCGTTCGAGACAGGATACAGGAGGAGACATTCACATCACCGCACGAAGCCCTTCCCTCGGTTCGGCTACACCTTCACAGGTCGCCAATCGACCACCACCCCGAAAAAGAGGTCGACCGCCCCGCCCTCGAGTTCAACATCCTCGTTCGGATAAAGAAAACAATACTGCATCACGACCCTACAGAACCCTCGATAGCCCAGCAGCTACAAACAAAGCTAATACATTACCCATAATGATCTTACCAGTAATCGTAATGACACCCTCTCCGTCCCTGAGCGTTTACCATCGTCATCATCATCTCGCATGCGTCGACCCTCCCTCCGAAAGCTTCTCTCGGCATCTGGCAGCAACAATAGTGAAACTCTAGAAAAGCGTATCAGCCGTTTTCGACTGCCCCCCTCCCACTTGCACCAACGTGTTGTCATCTCGGGGACTTCGCTGCCAGCTCACC